GTGGCTTGTTTTGGGGTGGCTTGTCTTGGAGTGGCTTGTTTTGGAGTGGCTTGTTTTGGGGTGGCTTGTCTTGGAGTGTTCCGGATTTGGTTGGTAAGGGACTGTGGAGCCCGGAACTCCACATCTGTTTGATGTTCAGAGGATGACTCCTCCCTCGGAAGGACACTAGAGCTCCCAGGCACAGGCTCTTTCGCGTTGATTAGTGCCTCAGCATTGAGACGCCAGTGCTGCAGCTGAGCTTTCATTCGCTCACGTTCACTGGCTCTATGCCACTTGACGGGAATATACGCCTCGTTAGAGGACTTTTTCTTCTGGTTGAGTGAGCCAAGTTTGTCCACGATATGAAGATCATCTTCAGTAATCATATGATGATTAATGCTGGAGGTGTTCTTAGCCAGGTTGAAGAACTGCCGTGCTAGACGGTGGACGTCCTCCTCTTTCATGGTGGCAGTAGACTGCGACATTTTGCTTTCTTGTAGTGCCTGTATTTTTGTTCGGTCTGACAACAGCACTGTTGAGTCATACTTATACCTGTGATGGCCTGGCATATGTGATTGTAGCTATCTTTTATTTTCTGATTTCTGTCTTCTGGAGAGTGAATCACAAAAAACGAGATTACTTTACTGAGATCACATTCATGGCTTGTACAATCTGCAAGTACATAAATTACCCGTTATGAATAAAAGAATCCATTGTCCTTAAGGACCAAGTCAAAGCTTTACACTTGCTGGTAGCTTGAATTGTAACTGCTAGCGATGTCTAGGATGTCTTCAGATCAGGAAAACCGACCACCGCTAGAGGACCTCCTGGACCACAGCGGATCAAGAACAGACACGGATGGCCTCAGAGGATTGGAATTTAAAAGACATCAGCTCGAAGACTTTATCCTAAGCCTGGATAATAAAATTGCACGTGATTGCTACGAGTCCTTTGCGCCCCGGTTTGAGGAAAGAGTGAAAGATGATCTTCACGCCGAGGCCAACTCAATCTTTTCTCTTGAAGGGCAAAGGCTGAGGGCTCGCAACGATATCACGTATACCCTCCGAGATAACTGGCGTCACGCAATGGAAAATATTGATCGCCGACTTGAGAGCATTTACTACGCTCTAGCTGGGCTCTGGGACCTATTCTTGATCGTGAAATACGCCGCCAGACTTCTTCTCAGTCTCCGTGGAATTAACGAGGAGCCTCACCGTTTGGCCTGTCTTCTCTTGATTTGTGACGTGTTTGTTCCGAATCTTGTGGAAGCGATCAAGAAGATGGGACATTGGGAGGGTGAGGCTGTCAGCTGGGATAATGATGACATTGACTTGGATTGATGACACTGATTTGGATTGATGATATAGATTAAAGTCTCGAGCCGGCTCGAGCGTATCTATTACTACTACTAGCAACTAAGCTGAAATCCGTCAGGTTAACTGTCTCTTCTGTGACATTGATCTCATTTCGTACTCCTCCTCCACTATGACTGACACAGACATGCTCTCTTCTGTGTTCAAATGAGTGACCTGTTGCACGACGCGATGGTTGGCAGGTGGGTCGCGGTATTGGACTGAAAGTTGCCGACTCATGTCGTCTGAAAGGACTATGGCAGGCTTTTGGCGAGGCACGGGCTGGTGCTCTAGTTCGTAAAATTTTACTCGAGCATGCTCATTACTTATGTCCCTAGCCATGTGTCGGAACGCGGGCGTTCCACACACTCGAAGAGAGATTAGAAAATGGGGATATCAAACAATAAGGCCATCTTACCAGCAGCCACTATAGTGCCAGGTGATGTCTCCATAGCTCCGGTTAACTGCTGCCGCAGTACCTCGGACCAGCAATTTTTCGGTGCGTAGGTGACCCTGCAGTGCTTGGGGAACTCGTCACAGGCTTCTAGTTTTTTCTGAGCCTCCTCTAAGCGAGGGAAAGATAAAGTAGGGTCAGGTTCTTTTGGTTGGTAAAGCCAGACATGGAGAAGTTTCTATTATAGTCAGCTAAGGTAAGACTCTACAATCAAGTGCCTTACCGATTGTGGGTCGAGCTTCATCAACCGATTAATCTCGCCCCGTGCCCATTCTAGCTGAGAGTTTTCCTCCATAGCCCATATGAGCGTTACTCTCCTTGTCTTGTCGAGATAGAGCTGTTCGTGAGACCCTCCCGCAACTGCCGGTTTCTTCTCGCGATCATGGAGTCGTCTGTGGGCAAGTGTAAATGCGAAGGAAATCACTGAAGCAATTCCTATACCTTCAGCCAAGAGGAACACCTGGTCGTATCTATCGAGTCTCAAATTTCGACCGTATGGGCCATCGATAGTTAGTCTTGTACCAGGCAATAAGGGAGCTAGAGATGGATGGTCTTCCATTAGGAAAGTTAGATCGGACGCTAAACAGTTATTAACAGACGAGGATGATGATGTCGCCCATTCATACACCGCCATGGGTGTACCTAGGCATCGTCTCCAGAACAGGTCGTGCTCGTTGAAGACGTAGAAGTAAGCGCCCGGATATATGGGAGTGTCTCTAGGCGGTCGAATCTTGATCCGAGTGGCCCCCGTGTATATCTCTTCTTCGGCATGAGGACTTCTCACCGTGAGGTGACATTTACTGATGTCCACTTGAGCTGTCTGCAACCGAAACCAACGGTAGAACGTAAGCAAGGTCGAGATACCGATGACACAGAGCAGGATGATCCCAGCTATGTTGCGATCAAGCGGGTAAACAAGCCAAAGATGTGCGAGAAGGAAACCAAGCAGACTGCATGCGAGGATTCTGTGACACCAAATAAAAGCGACGGCGTGTCTTCTTCGGATGCAGAACATGGACAAAAACGTGATGATAATGAAAAGAAGCATAGCCTATCATATGACTGAGTACCCATTGGTGGAAGCTTGGACGTTTACTTACTGCGAGTCCCATACCTGAGATGGTCGTCCAGCTCTCTTGCAGTTGGATGTGAATGCCAGCGTGCACAAGCGACTGTAATAGAGCGATCCTTGCCATCCAGTGATGTAGCAAGTAGTAGAACTGCAATGGTATTCCAAGGAGATCGGCAACATGGCACGTTCTTCCGCCAAGAACCACCGGGATAAGGTTGAGGATAGCTGCCAGCGCAGCTCTTTTCGCTGGTGGCCCAAGTGGTGTCAACCATCCCCAATCCAAGTTTATGACAACGTTGGCTACAAGCCAGATGATCAGGAGCACTAGATAACCATAGGTGATAGTCTTGCCATCCCAGGTTGTGTATGCGCTCCTCCATATGAGCTTGGGGACTCTCCATAGAAGTCTCGAGATCTTCCGTGGGTGGCGAACATAGGACCAGACTTCGCAAAATGCTTTCTTTGACATGTGTCTTGTTCGTCGAAACATTGCGATGGAAGAATAGGTGAGATGGGTTTGAGTGTTTGGTGAGCCTTCAAACGGGGTTTCTACCAAATAGGTGTAGATGAGCTCCATCTCCTCACATGCCGTTGATGTACGACTGGAAGATATTGATGGGAATAAACCAAGAAAAGCCGATTCGACGACGAGCCGCGCTGCTGTTGCGCGTTTACCCACTAACAGATTGCAGCAAACTGATAATCCGCTTGTACAGGGACATCGCTGCGACCAATCATTTCAGTTAGTGTTCACCCAATCAATTGCCTTGACGCAAGCGCTTTTCTTCCTATTCTAGTAATTACAGGGAGATGGCTCTTCGCGTTCTGAATTTAGGATAATGCATAGTACGGTGTATAAACGCCGCCCAATCAGGAGATGCCAATCTGCAAAGCAGGACCTCTCGATGAGCCCCTGGCATGAGAACTACTATGAATCCTAAAGACGAACAAGTATAAGTATGTATTCAGTCGAAGAGATAGGACAGGACACCAAACCACAAGCATCAACGCATCAACGCATAAACACATCTCTTCTGAACTAATCAGAGTCTACCTTTCGTTCGCTGAAGTCATGTCCCGCACACCCAACACACCGAGTCGTGCTTTCCAGATTCGCACAAATGGGCTTTTCAAGAAAGGTAACACTCTATTCAACCTGCTACACCCCAAGGTTACGATCCTCATTCAACCTGGTAACGACGTGATCCCTGGAAGTGGAGAACCACTCGCCTATGCCTCCCACAGAAGAGAAGAGTGGCCAGAACTCTATGACTTTTTTGAGTCAGCCGGTGTGAGACCTCAAAAAGTCTTCGGGCCCGATGATTTTGATACAGTGGCTGCCCGCCAATCTAGTGCCCCCAAGGATCGGGCGCCTGTCACCAGACACCAGGTCTCTGGTCATCGCCGGGATACTCCATTCCCTGAGATGCCCCATCACCCGGGTTTCTTTCAATCGGCCCCAGAGAGTCAATCCTCTGACTCTTGCCGTGAGACTCCATTTTCAGAAATGCCTGCTGTGTCTCAGCAGGTTAGTTTGGTTGCATCCGGCCTGGAGAGCCAGGCTCCCGAGTCGCTCCGAGCAACTCCAGTCCCAGACATGACTTCTATGCACTCCCATGCGTCATATGATAGACTTGAAACAGAGCAGGACTTTGATCAGTCACTACTCTCTATACTCAGTGAGCCACTTGAGCAGAAGTTTGAAGCACAGACTCAGCCTAAAGTGACGCATAGAGCAGAGCAGCGAATCAAATCCTCTGGGCGGCCTGATGATGGCTTGCGTTGGTCTGGCGAAGCAACACCGCATGTCACCAACAAACGGAAGGCGACCACAGAAGCAGAGGGAATGAGGAAGCGACGATCCACAGCTGGGCCTGAGGATCGAGACCGACGCCGTAAGATGATGACCCGATCACAAGGACGTTCTTATTACTCTTGATGGATAGAATAGCTGGTCCTATTTTCCTTTAGATATCTTTACAGAAACCTAGTAGCTCATCTATCTCGGCATCTATCCTAGCGATTTCATCGTTCCACTTCAGAGGTTCCATCGTGCACTGCTGTTCTGCCACCGTATTTGTTTTACGTAGATCAGTGACGCTCGCCTTGCGATCTTGCGCCATGTACTTTACAAGATCTCTCAGCCGACAAGGGGAATTGCTGACACCTTCCTGCCGTCCGATCCGTATAGGGCAGTCAATTTTGACTTCTAGGGTGGCTTCTGGTGTCGAGCCTTCGATCTGAAGCCGCCTGGAGAAGGGCTGTAGGGGATCCCAACCTGGCAAACGAAGGATTTTTTGATACCATCGGCCGCAATTTCCGTAGCTGACCATCAATCCCTTGTCCTGCACCTTATGCATGACTGCACTGAGGTGATTTCCAGGTGGCAGGCAGCACTTGATATCGACTTCGTAAGAAATTGGGTACGAGCTCAGACTTGTATGTGAGACGAGGTCGACGTAGAACAACGCGGAAAATAGTTTCCCCGCAACTGCCTCAACACTCATACCCAGTTCATTGTGGCATTGGATCCTCAACCGAGGCACAGTTCCCCATAGACCTTGGCACTCCAGATTCATCTGCCCTGCAAGGTCTACTTCCTCTCTCTTACTTCTCTTCGGAGACGGGATCTTGAACCTTGACAAGAAAGGGCGGCGGGGATTCGACATGGCAGGTCCATAATTTCGAAACCAACGACCGTTTTTATGCAAAGCAATACGAACGCGAGGGTTTATAGGGTAAGGCCCAGGCCACTGGCCATCTCTCTCCTTCTTGCCACCTTTTAGCTCTTTGGAGAGTTGTGGAAGTCCACAATTGTTGCTGAAGTAGCCTTCTATCACCGAAGTATCTGAACAATATTAGCTGTCTTTACAACTCGGCAAGGGAACCCATCTCACCTGATTCAGCTCCTATAACGAAGTCCACATAGTCTGCGAGGTGGCCAAAAAGTAGCTTGCGCACTTGGTGTAGGAGTTTGAGAGAGGACTTGGGCTCGAGAAGCTCTAGCGTACGAATTCCAGCTGTGGGTGGTCGTATACTGAGTGGTGCCTTATTTTTCTCTTCACACAAGAGACAGGTGTATTCTTGAGAAGTGGAAAGTGAATTTCCTCCGATAGTGATGCAGTGACTACAGAAGCGATGGCCACAGCTGAGTGTGTGCATGGGAGTTCCGAGTAAGCACAAGTTGCAGCTACAGAATATGACACCCTGGTTCTCTCTTATTCCCTGCAGATGCTGGCTGGCGACCGCTCGACCATTCTTTCTGACGAATCTTACGAAATGAAAGCGGACAGCCTCGATGAGCTGGAGTGACTGTTGTGCGTCACGGAACAGAACTGGCTTGACGAAGGACTGGAACACTAGCTCAGGGTGGAAGACTATGGTAAGATCAGCTTACATATGAGCAAACAGTGACCGTATCACGAACCGTGAGAGGCTTGATCATATACACTATAAGCCAGACAGGAAGCCACAAGATCTAGACGTTTTTGTCCGTCGACTGAAGCAAGGAATTGTTTCAGATATTGGCTTGCGTCTGTCGATGACGGATCTCGAATACCCAAGGCTTGAAAAATATCAAAGTATTTCTCGCTCTTCCACGATGCGATTACTGCTTTATGAAGCAAATCTTTAAAATTCAAGCTCGAGAATTGGAGTCCCAAAGAGAGGCGCGCTCGCGAAGCCATCTGTAAGTACGTTGCGATGCTGGCCGAGCCTTGACGAACAAATTGAATCCCACTCACTCGGCTAGTCCACATTTCAGCAACCTCATCTCTGCTGTACGGTCGTTCAGGATGATGTTGGCGTAACAGACACGAGAGCTCGGTCGTGAGGTCCCACCTCAATTGGGACTGATGGCAGGCTCCATCCTGGGAAATCACAAACAATTGAGGGCGTGGGAAGGCGTCCGTCAATGGTGAATATCTCATCCATCTTGCGAGCAGCTTAACTGCAGGCACTGGTCCTCCGAGACTGTCCACATGTAATAATACTAGACAACTTAAGGGTGCCAAAACCTCTCCGCATAGCTGGTCAAGATTGCTTGAGCTGTTCTCCTCGGGGCCTGAGTCTGAATACCGCGCCAGTGGCGTACAATACTCGGCGATTACCGTTTTTTCATCAAATCTCCTAAGCCAAATTCCATGAGGATCGCTGTCTAAGCTTGGTGATGACACAATCTGGTCTTGTTCCATAGACCCAACCAACCTCAGCATGAACTGGCGAGTCTCTGCGAAAGCACGGTAGAGGCTCATATGCTCACACAAGACTGGAGTCTTCGAATTATTACTGACATCGCGTCGGATTTGCAACCATGGGAACAACATCACTGTTTGCGCTTTTTTTTTTTTGTGAGGCAGGATAGGTCAACACTGGTATGTATTCTACTGTAAACATTTCGCATCACTATCAGATACTACATATAGTAGTGTGCCACTCAATCCGAAGAGTATCATAGACGAGAGAGTGTACACGTATGTATTCGTAGTAAACGGGGACATTTTGGTTACTTTCTAAAACGGAACGTGCTGAGAGTGGATGATACGGCTAAACTCCAAGCCAATGAGTGTTTGAGCTCACGTATTCTCAGGAACAATCTGAGAATCACCAATCAAGTGAATTGTATTAAATTACTTGCAGAAATCAGACAAACAGTCATAGCATTACTTTGTTTCCAAAAATGATAAAAGGGACCTCAAACTAGTGAATAGTATTAGCTTGTTCCTGGGAACAAGGTGAACATTGCTAAACGATAAAGCAATGTTTTGAGAAAAGTACAGAGGATCGCCAAATGAGTAAACAGCATCATTCTGTTTCTAGGACGATGAAATGAATGATTAAACATGCAAACTGCTTTACACTATTCCTAGGAACAACGCTGGGGGTATCAAACATGTGAACAGCATTGCATTGTTCCTGGGAACAATGTAGGGGTGTATCAAACATACTGCACCATTCCCAAGAACAACGTAGGGGGGTGGGTATCAAAGATGTAAACAGCATTGCATTGTTCCTGGGAACAATGTAGTGGGGGTGCCAAACATACTGCATTATTCCCAGGAGCAACGTAGGGGGGTGGATATCAAACATGTAAACAGTATTACATTGTTCCTAGGAACAATGTAGGGGTATACCAAACATACTGTATTATTCCCAGGAACAATGTAGGGGGATATCAAACACGCAAACAGCATTGTATTGTTCCTGGGAACAATGCAATGGGGGTGCCAAACATGTAAACAACATTACTCTGTTCCTGGGAACAATGTAGGGGTGTACCAAACATACTGCATTGTTCACAGGAACAATGCAAGGGAATAAACCAGAAAACAGTTTGCTCATTCCTTGATGTTAGTGAAAGACCCGTAGTTCGTTTCCCGGATCACTGTTTGCTAAAGAGTGTAGGCGCTTCTTCGTCCAATAAGAATCGATGAGGCAGTAGTCCAAGAAGCAAAAATGTTAGAGTCACACACGGTGCTCGAGAAACAGAGCCTGGAATTCGTCGGGCTAAGCGCCCTAAACCACGTGTATCGCCTGTTTCTGCTTCCGGATTGGCCTACAGTAGCACGTTACTGGCCTCCAGACAGGCGCCGTTCGCGAAATTTACATTCCAGTTATGCGATATGTTGAGTATTTCTATTTATAGATTACTACACTAGAGCCATCGAGGAACTTGCTCGTGCCGTCCCTTGGAGTGACTCGATGGCCGCTCTGCTGCATCGCTGTCCAGAACGAGTCCCAGGTGCTGTTCTCTAGGGTGACTGCCACAAGCTCGAGGACAATTTCCTCTGACTCTGTGGTCGTTATAATGTGAGATAGGGCCTTCTCAGTGATCCAAACGCTACCTAAATACATGAACCTTAACTCCGGCCAGATCGTTTGATCAAGGTGAAGTGATACAGGGTTTGTAGATGTGAAAGAGAATCGAGTCAGCCGTGGGAACGCGGCCATGAACTGCCGGAATCCGTTCATAGATCTAGCATCAACGATTCTGAGCGAACGCACAGTTTCGATATTTGAGAGTGATATTTGTCCAAAGTCCAGACGCCCATTGATGCACAACTCTGTCAAGGCTCCAAATTCAGGAGCCAGCTCAGAGAAAGTACGGATGATGATGCCAGATAGACTCAGGAAGTAGGGGCTTATCCCGATAGCGTCTACAAATGATGCAAACATTGGGTTAGGAGGTCGACGCCGGTATGGGGTCCGATATGGCCGAAAGCTCACGGTTTGTATACTAGGCATACATGCGAGTATGAAGCGGAGCACTTGTTTGTCCCTTTGGGGGCATCTGTTGTCTTCCTCGGTGATAAACTCCATGTACCTTCTGTAGCTTCTATCAAGTGATTTTGACGACTGGTGCGGTTTGATTCGTTTTCCTAACATCCGGGATGGGTGAAGTTCATGGTGCAGCAGCGGATGTGTTTCCCACTCGTGCCTCGAGCAACGGGGCCACTCTCCGCAGTAAATGGTGATACTCCTTGTAAATGGGAGTATGTTATTGTGACCACGTACAAAGGCCACCAAATCTTGCATGCACCAAGATGTATTGAGCAAGAATAAATGACGACTTATAATAGGGTACGAGACCGCCGCATATTGGTGATTGACAAGACGAAATAGGCAAAGGTCAGAGTGAGAGAGCATAGCAGCAATAGAGTACAACGTCTCTTGTGGTAACAAATCCATCTTTACAGAGAACCAGATGTAAATGGAGGTAATGACCGCAGTATTTATTAAGGGCACTGCTACAATGCCTACAACACAATTCCTGAAACTAAAAAGGGGCGAAAGAATCATCCACGCCGGTTTTGCCTTCCGCCAAGCTGTGCTTCCAATAACTGCACCCGGTCTTCCAGAGACGAGGCGTCACGCAAACTTTGCTTCAACTTCTCATTGAGTTCTTTCACCTGTTTTCTGGTCTTCGCTTGAGATGATCTAACCTTGGAATATGCCTCCCACCAAGGTTCTGTCTGTGTCACTTGGTCCGTTTGTTGGGGCTCGTTTGTTCCATTTCTCGTCTCCTCGGTCTCGGTCACCTGGTTATTCGTAGGATCTATGTTGGCTGGAGTATCAAGTACGTACTCCATCGGTTGATCTCCAATCGAAGTATTTGTTGCTGGGAGAAAAGAACTTGGAAACGCCATAGTTGCGGCGGAACCTGACGGCGTAGTATGTAGCTGCTGTGCTTCAACTCTTGGGTCAAGCAGAGCGGCCTCCGAACTGGAGTTCACATCCATGCTTGAATGGCGAGCTGCAACACGAGGCCGAGGTGTATTCTGCTGCGAGCCGATAGATGAAGTCTGGGATGATGGACGGGGCTGCCCCTGAGGTGTGATAGACCCGTTCCTAGACATTGTAGCTGGCACTGGGGCTGGCGCCAGTAGACGTGCACGATATTGTTGAGCGTAGACATGATTTTGATTCATAACGGGAGAGATGAGTGCTAACGTTTCAATTTGATACGGACCAGAGCTGGCAAAGCAACTGTATCTATAGGATAGCACTACTTTAAATAGGTTTGAGCCTGCACAGCAGGAATCAGGTTGACGTCTGCCCATTATCCTCTTTCTTCAATCGATCTAGCATCGGGCACAGAAGGACCCGGAGCGCGCACTATTCTCAGCCCTGCTGCTTTGTCGATCCCGGCATTGGCATCGGGCATGTTGAGATAATGGACGTGACAGTGACATAAGATGGTTTATTGGTCGGCTGCTCTTTTCTGGTGTGCTCGTTCGTGTTGAAGGATGTGGTGGTAGGATCTCCAATGGGAATGAGAACCGGCACAGTGATCGAAGCGGTATTGGTGGTGGTAGAAGTGATAACGGGGGTGTTGATGGGAGTGGTGGGAGTGGTGGGAGTAGACGTGTCTGTAGATAACCGCGCGCGAGTTTCGCCTGTCCCAATTAGTGGTTTATAGCTCGTAGGTTTTGTCCGTGGTAGCCTGGGGGTGGCTGGCGTGGAAACTGTGACTTTGACAGAGGCAGTAGTTTCCAGGTCAAGATTCTTTGACGCTGGTGTTGATGGGACATCTGAGATGATTGGATTGAGGACTCCGGTATCTAGAAACACACCCGTCGGCTTCTCCTTGTCATGAGTAACAACATGGGTAAGAAACGTTGTGGGTGAGATACAGCGAGCAGTCTCCGTTATCAGTCTGGGTGTTGTTGGTAGGACCAGATCACCCTTGCCCTTACTAATGACGATACGATTACAAGACATGGGATTGTCCCCATCACACTGCCTATAGGTTGTTAGTACCCAACCTCGCTTAGGGATTTCACGCATGTGGGTTGCACCATGTGATGTAGGCATCACCATTGGGGACGCCGAAGGGAACGGAGAATCGTGCCAGTTGTGCATCGGCACACTCCACCGCCTTGAAGTACCACTTCATGCTTGGGGTGCCATCAGAGAACTCAAGTTCGGCAGAACATTCCGCACCGAATGAGTTCTGGAGCTTCATGGACAAATCCGAGCCTGCCTCGACGGACAACGCAGGTTCCACGGTACAGAACTCAAGGATATTCCCCAGAGCTGCACCGCAGGTTGTGAGGTAAAAGAGAGACAGAAATTTCACGTAATTCATGTTCATGACGATGGGTTGGAAATGAGGTTGATCCTGGGGATCTTGATACCTCGGTAGGTGAGGGTGGAAGGGGCGAAGACTTTTTAAAGAAGTGACAGAGTCCCTTTCTTGTTTTCTGTCATTGGATTGCTGAAGCTACTATGCAGTTTCTGGGTAGAAGTAGACGGCACATGGGTGGCATTAGCGTCAGCTTTTATATAAAGAGCCACTCCGGGCAAGCACTCACACTCTCAGACTCAATCACAAGTTCCCCAAACAACAAACACTCTCCTATTATGAACTCCTTTGGCAGTAACGAGCACTACTTGGGCATGAACGATCCATCGTTCGACATGTTCGCCGAGTTCGCTGATATGGAGCAGATTGCCAGCAAAGGACCTCAGCTTGATCAACAAAGGTACGTATTAGATTAGGGTACAGGCTCAAGATAAAAGAACTGACAAGGATGGAGCCAAACCAACAACAAGGTTGCCGTCGATCCTGCCAATGTTATACTGAGGTTAGTCATGGAATACCAGATCAAGGCAACCCAGCAACTTGGCAAGATTGAGGAGAAGCTGGAGAAGATTAGCCAGAAAAGTGACGATCTTGAGAAAAAGATCGATGAACAGAGCAAAAGACTGGAAAAGCTAGAGACGTACTCTCTCGAGCGATCGCAGGCGATCATTGAAAGACAAAACGAGTGCATTGGTCTGCTGGAATCCCCGGGGTTGAGGCAGAGGTATGCAGCGTCGGACTACGGCCATGACTCTGACTCTCTGTCCGATTACTCCGACTCTGGTTTCAGCCAGGAATCAGAGTCTAACTCGGACATTTTTACCCGCCATGATCTGAACTACCACTGAAAGTGTCGCATGGGTGACCAGGGTAAAACGCACGTAGTCCGCCGTAAGAGAGAATTAGGTATCATGTATCTTGAAGAAGTGAATACACAAGACTGCTTTCTGTTTTCGAACGACGTTATTGCATGATAAATGCGTCTGTGTTTTCAAACTGTTAAAAAGCAGCCATTGTCCGTCACTCATGGAAACGAGTAACAATGCAGATTTTCCATCATGGACATTCGTAACAAGACACTACCACCCACACCTAGAGAGCATCCACACTCCATGGCGTGCGGCCACAGAAACGCTAGACCTTGTTTGAGCATGCTGCTCGAAGAACCCTGTACCACTCCAGAGGATGGGTTCAGGAAAGAGAACGAAGACCTCAAGAAAGCAAATGAAGTACTGCAACGTCAGGTACAGCAGTTGGCGCTCGAAAACAACGTCCTCCAAGACCGGCAGACAAAGTCTCAGCACGAGCTAAAGCATTACCTGGAGATCATAGAGATCCAGAAAACGTCGTTGAAGGAGATCATGCAATACATTCTCATCTCGACATCAGACTGCCGTGCAACGGTTCAGAAGAAGCGTACAGAGTGGGAGACAAGGGAGGCAGAAGATGCTTTCTCCTCCATGGACATGGACATGTTCTAGTTATTCATGTGTTCCTATTGGTAATAGAAACCCTTTTGCCTCAATCAATCTCAACCAGCCGCCGCACTTCCCTCCGGGGATCACGTCCGTGCCGGGCTTCCTATCCAAGTTTGACCCCAAAGATTCCTCTTTTTTCAAGCACCATGAGCTATTCAAAAGTCCCATGGTGTGCTTCGAAGCGCGCTTTGCCGTTTCATCGCCAATGAGAATGTGAGTATAAGATCCCAAGGGTGATGCTTTCAAAGCCTGCATAGCGAGCATACCAGCCAGTTACAGGCTGACCCAACAGCTTGGATACGCTAGTTGGCACTAAAGTATGCCGGCAAAAAAAGATCGAATCAAGCACAACGATAAGACACGGGAAAGAACAAAGAAGGGTACTACGGAGGTGAGCAGACGGTTTCAAGCATCGACATGACATGGTGTCCGTATATTTGCAGAGCCTCAAGACCATAAGCTATGGGACTAGGATAACTAGTATCAGCCCTACAGCCCTATAGGACCATACACTGTTGTTGTACTCTCCAAACGTCAAGCGGGGCAGTTTGGAAGTGCTGCATGACGCCAAGCGAACCTGCGGGCGCTAGTCACACCATTAACAAAGAGGAGTGTCACACACAGTTAAGGAAGCGATGGCTGGACGGAGTGATTTCACAAGACGAAGTAAGTGAGGAAATTGACGTGATTGGCTTGGAAGCGGTCGCCCAAACTTAAACTTTATTCTGAGCGCTTAGAGTGCCTGCGTGATCCTCGTATTGAGCTGAATCGCTATGCATGTCAAGTCCTACATACAGGGGTACTGTTGCGAACGATGATAAACGAGGCTAAAGACGTACCCTTACGCGTTCGTCTCTGTGCAAGGACTACAGCATAGCATGCAAGAACTTGGCAGCAACGCCAGAATTATGCAGTCTAGAGTGATGGTCGAAGTGTCAAGACATCGTTGCCTGTCTCTAAAGTGATCTGTCAATTGCGTTGCGGAAACAGTCATGACGATCCGAGGTGGTCTCATCCCTGTCGCAAGCTATTCCTTCTTTGACAAAATTCTGAAATGGGGCTTTGCGTAAATTGGTTTATCTTTGCAGTTACAAGTTTCCCAAACTCGAATTTCAGTGGTACACAAAGCAAAAAGAAAGAGAAAAAGCATGCATGTAGGAAAGAGCGCTCAGGCCTCTCTTTTTCCAACCAGGGCCTTTTGCCTGCAATCGGGCCCTTTTCCCAAAGCCCCTCCCCCTCTTCCCTTTCCCCTTGTCTGTCCAGAGCTAGAATGGTCCCTCCACCGCCCTCCATTTTCCTCCCCGATTTGGGCTAAAAAAAACGATGGCGCAGGAGGCTCCGCTACCTCTGGGGATTATCCAAGTCCCAGTGACGAATTTGTACTTTAACCAAGATATTGAAGGTCGACAATATAGTAAAATACAAGTGCAACATCTGGAGACTCTATTTAATAGAACGGCAATTGACCACGAAGATCACAGGCATTGGATCGATGGCTATGTGGATCGATCAGACGTTGCATCAATCCTGGGGGCCTTGGGTGGGCTGACGGCATTGCAGCAGCACAATGCCGTCGGCATGTACCCCTTTCTGGGTGACCAACAAGTCGCGTATACCCATGGCCGCCATCGCGTTGAAGCATCTAGGAGAATTGATGCAGAGTCGTGCTGGACCATCTTTCTCTCTAGCACAGATTTGTCGTCGCTTGCTACAAATCAGATCGTCCAAAGACGAACGGAACAATTTCAGCACGAAGCACCCTACACAAATGGCTACATCTATGCCAAGCTTCGCCAATACCCTGTCGGCAGTCGCGACTATAACGAATGGTACATGAGACTAAGCCCAAACAAGCGTAAAAATTTCCAGGCCATCGATAGTCACCCGGGTGTCTCGGAGGCATTGACCAGACTCGTGGGCTTTCCTGGCATCATCGATGCCCTCTACCTGGCTAATGTCTGCAAATATTCTGCCTGGGGTCTCTTGAACGAATTTCAGACGTGTCTTGACCACATCTATAATGAGTGGTCCAACTACACCCGTGGGGATTGTGTCGCACAGAGGGATATCACGCCCGAGACTGTGAGACTCTTGGAAGGACGCGCTCCCAACATCAACCCGTCTGACCGCGAGTGGGTTCGCGCCGTCTTCCAGACGCGGATGGTTTTCCCGACGATAAAGGATCAAAAACAACGCGATGAACTACAGAAGAGCATTTTGGCAAGATCAGGCGTGATTCCAAGCCTTCGATCCTGTCAAGCCAACATGCTATACATGGGAATTGCTGCTCAGATTGTCCGGACGCTTCTCATTCCCAAGGACCTCAAGCTCAAACGAACGGTCAAAGCGGAAGATGGCGTGGCAACGCTTCGGTCTGTACTTCGAAAGTGCTGGATTGAGACAGAGCCGTATGTGGAAGTTCGAGAAGGCGAATTCCAAGCCGTCCTCGGCGGTCCGAATTTCGATCTGGCTTACAACACCGTCATCATAGCAGCACTTCGCCAGTTCGCCTACATGTCGCAAGACAGACCAAAGATCGAGGCTGGAGATGCAGCACTTCGACTGTCAACTGACGACATGCTGTCGTGTGAAGCTTTGTTCCACCGTCGGGCGAAACTCTTGGGTTTCCGCAGCTCTCTTATTGAACAAGGAGCTATGAACCCCGCACTTCCATTTCAACCCGAGAAACTTGCCCTAGATTTTGATGAAGAAGCCTTCCTGAGCAGGGCAGAGCGTCGCTGGGGTCGGCCATCAGCTCGAGTGTTCGCCATCATCCAAGAGGTCGCTTTCCTACCTCACCTTCTCGGCACGGAGGCATGTACAGGAAACCGCACAGCCGTCGTCCTATTCAGGGATCTGGTACAGTCATTTCTATCTCCTGTTTCGTTCGACATTGACGTGTCGCGTCCCAGCATAAATGTCAACCATACCGATCCACAAACCAGGCTACAACTCTTGTACACAAGTCGGCAAGCGTCAGCGCCTACTTCTCCAGAGCGAACGGTCAATATGGATCATGATGGCTATGGGTGCAACGCAGAAAGCATCGAGATGGATATGGATACCCCTTTAGCCTCCCCGCAAGCATTCGTTCGTCGAGACGAAGACGTGGTCATGAGCGACCTCTCTGAACCGGCCGAGAGCGAGGTAACCGAAGGCTCCCACTTCTGGGAGCAGCTTATCTTGGAGTACCAGAGCCTCATCAGCGCCAGCAATGGATCAGCTAGTCCGTTTTCTGACGCATCAACACTTGTATTGGATGGTTTGGGTGAGTCGGAAGATCCTAGGAAAGACCTTACCATGTGCAACAACTCGTCGGCAATTTCTCTTCCGTCCTATTCAATGGTGGCTGACCAGAGTCGGACTTTGTTCGATGATTCGGCGGCCAACTCCCGTGCTGATGGCTCGACCCTCTGGTCGTCAAGTGGCTCCGAACGGTGCTCGAGACATGAACCAGCACACGACGGTACACGGCATCTTGCAGACGTGAGTTGCACAACCAGACAGCGCATAGCAAAGAAGACGAGAAAGAGAAATTCACCAATGTTGCATGATCATCCAGCGGCTATGCGGCGTAGGGGAGGGACATTTCCTAGAGCACCCTCGCAAGGCAACGGGGGTACAAGGTATGGACTTTTACCTACCGCTCCAGCAGAGTCTTATCAGATTGCTCACTTGGCTGGCTGTTGCTGTTCCTTGTGCAGCCAGAATGCTGGCTTGAGTGAGCAAGATCAACCGTGGCAAAAGAGACCAACATTGCCCCAACCAGATAGACTCCCTTCGTCGTCCCAAGAGAACAGTCATCGTCTCATTTCTGATATCTACAGCACGTCATCCGAAAGGTCAGTACTCCCATCACCTTTTGCTCAAAGGGTATCACGGGAAGAATCCGAGATCCAAGATGCGTCTGGGATTATCGCAAGGCCTTCTGGCAATCGCTTGACTTCAACGAGCTTCTACACTGAACCTCTTCCGAGGTCGACCTTGCCGTCACCGAGAGCCCACCGTACCTCTACCCATCACCCTAAACCCCTGGCATACAACTCTCAAGGTCCAGGTGTGGCATGGGGAGGGTCTACTTCGGTATCGGCAGACTCACAGCTGTATAGTGGAGATTTTTCACAATCAGGTCATTCTCACATTCATTCATACTCAAGCAAGTCTTCCCCCATACTCTCGCATTTCAATACCGCTCAGACGCGATTCCCGCACCAGCATGGCTCAAGCCCGTTCCGTTCCAACGTTTCGACCCTGATCTCTGCTAATGAGAGACGTGGAGTAACGCCCAGTGTAAAAGAGAACATGGATGCAGGCCTGCATGTGGCCCAAGAGGAACAGGAACAGCTGCCTAGAGGGTGGCAGGGCTTCATCGATAGCGACGATACTTTGACGACAATTAGTCTGAGCTGAAATAAGATTGGCTGAGAGAGCATGGTTGTTTCCTGGGGTGAATCAAAGCTGCTGGTTGGCTTGCCCGAGCCACCCCAGGGGTAGATTTTGGATCTGACTTTATAAATTCTTCGCAGCCTCTTATCCATAGAGAAAAGGAATACTAGCTAAAGACACTCCTTAACACGTAGTAGCCTATGAGCCTTAGTGCAATTTATAAGACAAAAATCTACTTCACAAACTACAGGGTGTGCCACAACGTAGGGCGTAGAATCAAGTCGGGTACAGGTGCACGACACAAGAAAATGAGGTGCAAGTCGAGCATTCCAATTCGTCTTAGTCTATATCGCACTGGTCGTATTCCATATCATCAACCCGCCCTAGCATCTGTCAGTGTCGTTCACCTAACGAGCTCACTACAAACCATGGTCTTCAATCTTTTGAAGTCTCGCTAGCAACTCCTGACAAAAACTCTTTAGGGCTTCAATCTTCTCCAATAACATGCTGTGGCAAGTACACTCCAAGTACGTTCCGTGTCCAGAAGATGTGTTCTGATATACAATCACTGGCCGCTTCCAACGACGATCAAACATGCCGTCGAATTTCGGGGATTTAGGTAGAGGTTGGGATACTGGCATTTGTACGTTGTCAGACATCTTGACTAGCAAAAGATGTGTTTACCTTGTGTGTAATGGCAGGAGTCACAAATATTGGGGGAACCGTCGTTTAAATATCATGAGAGCCCTCTAGGGTAAGCGAGTCATTTCAGTCTATATATGTCACTTAAACTACCGACCAATCACTTGATGCTTAGGAAGAGACAATTCCGCCCTCATCGCCGGTGACACTACCTCGTCCGGCTCCACAGTTGCGCCATGCTCCAGAAGAAGGTGGACAATGCCAAAACAGTTTCCTGCTGTCGCCAAGGAGAGAGGGGTCTGATTCGATAAGCCAGTGATGTGAGGGCTAGCTCCACTTTCCAAGAGTAATTTTGTACAGGCCTCGTTGTTGTGAAGGACGGCCACATGCAGAGCGGTATCACCGTACTCTGCCACTTCGTAAAGACCGTTCCGGCGGTCGATATTAGATAGGCACGAAGTGCGGGTCACTATGGGTGCCTCGTCCCCGAGCAGGAGCTCCATGAGTTGGAAACTCTCTTGGTATGCTGGCATTTCAGCTATGATATGGAGGGCCGTGTTCCCGAACCGATCGGGCTCCAAGGGATCTACGCCATTCTTCAGAAGCTGCTTGATGATCTCTAGCTTTCCACCAAAAAAACGGGTAGGTGAGGTGCGAAGGAGGAAGTGAAACACTCGATCGCCCATTTGGCCCAGTACAACTGGATTCAAATCTATCGCAATATTCGCAGAGAGTGCCCGAATCATGAGACTTCCTTGGGTACACGCCTCATAAATTGTCCATGCATCAGACGGACGAGTATATGCGCCAGTAGCTGCCAACTCCCGTACTTGAGTCAAATTGCCGGAGACGACCGCATACGCAGGGGTCACAGAGGGGACATCAAGATCGCACAGAGTAGATGCGCTGCTGCAACAGAGCAAGGGGCTGTGGCGATCATCAGATTGTTCGTATTCGTCATCAAGCATGGTGGAAGAGAAATCGAAGAACATTTTTGCCGCTATATGAGTAGCGACAAGCTCTTTCGGGAGTGTGAGCATAGATGTGTTTTCTGGAGCTCCCGAGCTCTCCACTGACGTTCGAGCCTTCGTTCTTATCATATCTCTTACATTGTGCCGTTCAAGGATTGCCGTGAAAATATAAAGGTAGATATCAGAAAACGACTATTAAAGTTTCTGGTTTGTGGTTCGAGAGTCCTATTGTCATATTCATGGAACTTGAGACTAGCGGCGGCAAGTAAACCACTTAAAGCCATCCGACTGTTGGGGACGATCTACAGAGTTTGTCTCAGCAAGGCATGGCTTGGTAGCACGATTAAAGGATGAGAAATGTCCCTCATCATAACGGTATAGGGTTCAACTGTACTCTCTCTCTTCTCAAATTCCCGTCCGGCCTTTTAAAGGAGTCACTAAGAGCTATGCTAGCAGAGGACTCATCAATGATTAGCATGCCCCAAGTAAACAGCTCGGAGAATGTATGCAATCCGGCAGGGCTGTTCATGAGCGCCAGCCCCTACCTACAGCCTCATGTTCTAGGAAGCATGATATATGGGTACAATGCTGCTGCGGCCAACATATGGTCCTCATTCACGGGATCGATCTACGTGGCTCCACCTCTACTCTGCCTCGACATGAGACAGGAATTGCCTTGGCCATCGTTATTGTCAGGAAGGGGAGGTCCCACGTATTGTCCATCCCAGTTTTCGGACAATGCGACCGGGGAAACTTCATCAGCGTTACTATCAGATGCAGACAACTCCCCGTGTAAACCCCAACCCGAGACAGAGTCGAATGCCAAACATGAATGGAGCGCCGCGTCTTTGCATTCCATGTACTGTTACCAGAGCCATCTACGACAAATCGCTGACAGGACCTTTAGGCTCCCTGAGACTCCCGCAGCGACAGAGCCGGTGCCGATGGAGACTATTCCTCGTTACAGTAGCATTGCGTGCGGCGCGGATGGCCTCTTCCACTGTCCGTGGGAAGGGCAAATAGGCTGCAAGCATAAGCCAAACAAACAGAGACGTGCATTTCGGTAAAGTTGATGATACAGCCTGCGCTCTCTTTGGGATAATGGCTAACAGATTACTTCGAACAGAAGGTTTGTGGAGTGTCACTCGAAGCCGTATCAATGTACCGTATGTCAAGGCCGCCTCGCTTCTAGGAGTTCTCTCCTACGGCATGAGCGCCGAGTTCATAAGATCGATAGCCATAGCGAGAGCTGCTACCATAGTGAATAAGTTGGCGCTGAACCTGACGAAGGTTACGCTTGTGCTAGGAAACTTCACGAAGATTTACGTACCAAATCGCAAGATCACTCTTTATTTAAAAACTAGTAGTTGAATTTCGCGCGTATAGCTAGCTTAGGAGATGAAGCTCTGCTCAGCGATCAAAGGCGAAGAACAATCCTATAAGAGAGACAAGTGACTAGCGTTGTAGAATGTATGTATGTATACATACGTGTTGTTCCCGTCCAAGTTGCGGCATCGCAATTGATACAAGCATTTTCTTCCCAAGATACCTTTCCGATTGTTCGCCATGAGATCCTAGAGACTTGAAAGAACGTGAACTTACTAGAATACTTTCTAGAAGCTGTCGCTTGGCAGCTGATAGTGTCCTCACAACTGTCCTCACAACTTTGCGTACTGAGATGGCTTTTCGAAACCATTCGCTAGCGTCACAGCACTAACAATTCGTACCAAAGAAAAATGTTTACAAGACAGAGTTCGTCGACATACGATGGGACCGATCCGGCTGGCGTAGGTTAAGCTGAGTAATCCAGATGACATGGCTAATGCATGAGCAGATACCCGCCGCACAATCGTCGTCCGCTGATCAACTCCACTACAGGTATAGACGGATTCTATGGGGGAATAATTGAATTGATGCGTTCCAATTCGCTGCTTAACTCAAGTTACACGGTAGGTGTAGATGCGCTAACAAGTCGCGCTTGCAGTTAAATCTTATTCGTCTATGGGCGTTATACGGAGTTCACATGCGATGATGCGGCTTGCTGATTGTCCAATTTGAGCTTCACGGTCGGCGTACGTGTGCGAATGGGTTCTATTCGTTATCCAACTCGAACTTCACGGTCGGTGTAGATGGGAAGATGAGTCCTGCAGCTACCGCACTACCGTTCTTCTGACTTGTCGACTTCCATGTTACACCACCGACCGATGACTTGAAGGCCCTAGGGGACAATGTTGCGTCTTAGGTAGTGAGCAAACTACTGAACACTCCTCTAGATGCAACTGGGCAGCAATAAGTTACTAATCATGGACTTTTCATGAGCACGAGGTGGTTCTTGCTCTGCGCGAGGAAGCGGCAATACACCTCAAACAGTTGGTTGAGCGCATACAAGGGCGTAGTCATGCTGGCGGCTATGTGCAAAACACACATCAACGTGCGATCTTGACACATGCATAGTCTTGGAGGTTGTATTAAAGCAAGTGCGCAGACAAATCGAACTCTCCAATGCCCCCATATATAATCGGAACAGAGCTGGGTACCCTATCCTCTTCGTTACGATGTCGTCGACCAGCGAATTTCTGCACCTAGATAGGTTGCAAAACGCCATTCCAAGGTGCGAGGGCAAGCTGAAGGAGCTAAAGATCATCTATGAACAGTCTCTTATCGAGCCAAAGGATCCGTGCGAGTATCTGTCACAAGCACATTTTCAAGAGCTATGTCAGTCTCTTGTCTGTCGGATCTGTGAGGAGCTTAGGTTTGCTGTGGAGCGACCTGAGGCAGCAGTTTTCACAGTGGAAGTGCCGCAGGAGCAGTCAAAATCAGGTGCTCTGCGGCCTACGCCTGCAACGTGTGCATCTCCCACTTGCACCGACCCGCAGAACGAAGACTCAGTCATATACGTGAAGGAGGCAAGTCTCTCACTATCGTGCTTGACTTGTGGCATCATCTAATCTTTCTAGATTCCCGATAAATTCAACTGCCAGATGGTTCAACGAGCCAGCCGGCGACGGATTTCGAGCGGACGAAAAGGAAACAGGCCAGGAACTCGAACAAGTCCTCGTCGAAAGAATACTTCCAATGCCGTCGTGGCACCTGTCCCTAACGAGATATATCTGGCATATTGGCGTATGTCTAAGAACTGGTTTGCAGTGCTTGTTCTTCCCTTGGACAACGTCGAGATGTTTGGACTCTCTGAGTTCATGCCAGCCTGTTACGATTACGATAAGCATACGGGGCAAATAATATGGACGCAAGGATATGAGAATGGTGGTCCTCTCATGGCTGACCGGCAATTCCCGGTCATGTTCTTTGAAGGAGTGCCAGCACTTGACAGAGATGCCGTTGGCTGGGTGGCGGCCAAAGACCTTCAGAACTTCGATCCTCATGGTTCTCAAGCCTCCCTGATTTCCAACTACGACTCAGTGTTCACCTTTATTGGGGAACGTCAGGCGTCTCAAGATGATAACCGACTTGCTAGTGGTCAACACACAGATGGATCTGAAGAGAACGGCCACAATAGAAGTATGCCCAACATGAAGGGGATGCCCACCACAAGTATCGACGAGCCAACGATGGCAACATCTCTATTTGCTAAGATCACGGAAATCGATACCATGGAAAGTGAGACCAGACAAGATGAGCCTGAAATAATGCCAGGACCGTTAAACTTGATAGATTTATCAAGAGATACGAACTTGTCATCTTGCGATCAAGACGAAGGCAGTGGGAGTGCTGCACCTACATCGATGTCTACGGCAGATGAGTCGCCATCTGACAGGCTTGGTCGCCCTGATAGTTCCCTTCGAAACGCCGAATTCGTTCAGGAACCTGTTGTCCAAACGACCACTCGAACTGTGACATCGCCCACCTCAATCTTTTCAACGGAGTCGATTCGCGTTCCAACGTTAGACCACTCCCCAACTTGTTACGATCTACCCCCTCTTCATAAAAACCCGTCAAAAGTTACTGAGTCTCTCCCCACAATCCGGCTTCTCATTGACACAAATCCTGTGTTGACATGTAAAACTACCATGCCTAGTGATCGTAATATTTGTACAATGGCGACCTACAGGAATATGGAGCCGAGGATAATGCCAGTCATTGACTGGCCATCGCTGTCCAAGCAGAAACACAAGACACAAATGATCATGCATGCAGAAGGTTGGTCTCGCATCTCATCACCATCATTCAGTGGGGGGGCGGAAGGGCCATGGAGCAGGAAGCGACCTCGTTATGAGGATTCATGGTCGAAGAGTCCTAGACGAGTAAGGTTCCAGCTGGACAAAAATCAAGACTACTAGAGAGATAGGCGTTTCGCTACATAGCTAGAATGATGGCAAACTCGATCCAATTTTTGAAGCTGTTTCGAGATCGTCTTCGAATTGACACTGCGATTTCCAAAGCCCGTACTCGCGTTGATATCTGAATACTTTATGCAGATATATTTATCTCCATACAATGATTCCTGATTCTGGTTCAGACAAGAGCAGTATGACCGTGCTCTAGAAGTGCGTGATGCTGTCTGGAACACTGCCAAACTCAGCGTGTACTAAATTCTCGAGAGTTGCGGCTAGCCTCTCAGCTGGTTCTTCGCTCTCGTAACGTCTGGATACTGTACTGTTTGTTGTACCACTGTGTCCTACTGACACAGTTTCCTCAGAGGTCAATCCGGCTAAGACTCTGGTAGTTTTTGGTCTGCCTGAAGTTAGAAGGATGAACCTTTATCTCTGACGGGTAGTAGCCATGTACGAGAGTGAGTCAAGGGTCGAATTTTCATTGACAAACAACCTATTACAGAACCTAGCAGACAAGTGAAAAGGAAGAAGCTATTATCATTAAGGTTCAAAACAGCTTTACCACTCCGAGACATCAAAGGACCTGGCTTTCAGTCTGACCTAGAATATTAACGTACCAAGGGTATAACTTGTCCTTACTGCTCGTACAGGTCTTCATCTAGAGAAGATGATAGACGCGGAGGAAATGAGGTCAGGAGGAGGGATAGGAACGGGGGATGGCTCTGACCCCCAAAATCACAGCTACCACCAACACACCTCATCAGCTGATAGACGCCATGGAATCAGAGAGATCCACACGCCATGATGAACCAAACAGTTTGCCTTACCTATGGCAATCGACACACACTGCTGTCGAGATGTGACTGACCAATCGCTCCCCATGCGGCCAACGGCTGGCTCACACCTCGGAGTGAATGAACATTGTGCGGGAACCTGAGGCGGTGTGAGGGAAACATTCAGAGTTATTGAAGCAGAAAGCTAACATGCGTAAATGGCTTTCTGTAACCAGATTGAGACCTATCCATGATTCCAGAAACGTCTTGCCGTCACCCGCTTTCCAAGCTCAGATCTCGACAATCACAAACATTTTTTTCACCATCAAAACTAGATGTTCGTAGAACTACCCCCCATCCAGCGCTAACTGACATATGTATCTATTTATTCACACCTCCGTACTGTCCGCTAGCGAACGTGATTGAACAAGGGGTAGGATGTGCTGTCATAGTCTACGCCATGACAAAGCTAAGGTTCAGTAACGAATAGAAGCCCTAAACATACTCACACCCACCGTGAAGCTCAGATCAAAAGTCAGCTTGATGTATTATCCCCCCAAAGACCTGTACAACAACTACCGACAAATAGAAGCGAACAGGAAGCGGGACCTGTTAACGCACTTACACCTGCCGTATAAGTCAAGTTGAGCAGCGAATAGGATTTGTTAACACACACATAACGTCGTAGAGTTCGCTGGCGAATGAGGTTGAACAGCTAACCGCGCACATCATCGCCTCTACGCCCACCTCAAGGTCAAATTGAACGGCGAATGAGACTCGAGAATGCACCTACGCAAAGGTATTATTCATCAGCCAATGGGGTTTACCGGCGAATAAGAGCAACGAGGCTCATCGGCTGATAGAACACATTGGCCAATGAATTGAATACCGCTCTGTTTTCGACACCAAATTAAACTTTTCATGATTCTCACTTAGATGGAACGTGAAGGTAATGCTTGACCCAGACCAACATCACTGTCTGGGAGGAACTTCTACAACCTGCCACAGGATTTCAGTCGAGCATTTTGGTGTTTCTCTGACACGTTTAGAATTTTAACCTTCTCCAAAGCTGAACATGGTCTCTCTATGTGAAACGCCGATGTTCGAACCCATCGTTGCATTCAGCCAGATCGAGCAAGATGTAGGTTTGTGCGCAACGAAATTGGCAAGTATACAATTGCCGGAACAAGAGCACCTGGTCCTAGTGGAAAATGCCAGCGTTAAGCTCAGTGCTGCGTGGCAGAATCTTTTCCACGATACTGATCTATCCCAACTACCTCGATTCCAGCGGAAAGTACAAACCCTCTCTGACGAACTGGAGTGCCTAAGCCCAGCTACAGGCTCGGCCTCAACGAAGCAAAGCCAAAGAACAAGCGCGAAGTTAATGGGACTCTCATAGATCTATGCAAGAAACTCAAAAACAGTGAACCTTCTACTACCAAGAACACCGAGGTGAGTTTCAAGTCTACCATTCCTCGATCAGAAGGACATGCGTCCGAGACCAGAGAAACAGCGACTATAGCAAGCTCAAATGATCATGGTGTGCGATGGGAAACAGTATCAGGTACGACATAGGAATCTGTAGCATCACTGGCGGCACGCTGACTGACACATGCGCCGCAGAACACGCTGTATATCCGGATTCTCCAATCACCATAGCTTCATCGATTGAAGAGGCACCTTCACGGCTCATATAGCAAGATCATCATATTATTGTAAGAGAACATTACGGCATCCAACGTATGTCAGACCGTCCTTGAGACCTCTGCTACCTAAGTCTCGCGAGTTTAGTGGCTGTTTCTCTGGGTAAAAGAAGTGGTTGAATTTCAATGCGATCCTCGCTAGTGACCACTTTTCTCCTTTCATTTCGATCATTAGAAAGTTTTGTCACAATCAATCTAATTAGAGGCATGAGCGAGAGAACGTAGTAGTAGTGGCTAGTTTACTTGTGACAAGTTACTTAAGAGTCCTTCAAACTACTAGCAATTCGCACTTTGTCGTTTGTACTGCCCAGAACATTGCCGTATATTACAAGTGTGCGGCGTGGTCGACTTAGGTCTCAGACAACTCTCTCACATCAAGGCCATACATAGGTAGAAATAACGAGACTCAATTCCATACAATTCTCTCGTACCAAAAACAAAAAAATTGCAAAGTACCATATCTCAATGAACCACAGACGATTTAACTAGTTTATTGCTATTCCTCAAACATCAAATGGCGAAAAATCCGCTCACTATATTGCGTGTAACGTAGAGTTCCGCAGCTGGCGCGAACATCATGCTCTTCACAGAGGCTTCTAATCTTGGCCATATCTTCAGCGATAATTTCATCGTGTCTCTCCTTGGTGGCCATTAAATGGTATCTCTGAAGCCTTGGCACCTGCTCAAGGAGCTTGTCTATGCGTCTCTGCTTGATGCCGATAGCCTTGCAGATAGCACAAGGTGTTGGAACTCGAATCGTCAGGAAGATGAGTTTCATGCCACACGTCTCTCCTATGCGGTACTCTTTGTGACACTGTTCTCGGAAACGTCCCCATCGCCAGTACCCGCAAGCCCAAAGAGACTGCTCGTAGAAACACATTTCGTAGGCTGAAAGCTTACTTTATTTTGCTCACAATCAAAAGCATTAAGTTGTGTCCAAGGAACGACGTTGCCTCAACGAGTTCGTGATCTGCAATGGGGAAACAGGTTTATCACAGCCTAGACACCAATGCTGGAAATCGACATACCAAGGACTACGAGGCTAACCTCGATAAGAGGGCTTGCACTTTTGCCTCCAAGTCAGAATTTGCAGTAGCAAATGGCTCGATGAGTTCTGTCATCTGGACCTTACGGTGGGAGTAGATGTGTCGATATGTCGCGCTTAGTATTCGACAGCATTCGTCCACACACTTTGTGCAGGGTCCAATCATGATTACCTGTCCTCCTGGCTGTTCAATCTGAGCTTCACGGTGGGTGTAAACATGTTCATGGCTTCTATTCGTCGTTCAACTCGATGTTCGCGCGGGGTTCGATGTTCAACCTCATTCGCTAGTGAACTGCCGAGGGTACAACGACCTCAATAAGTCTCATTCGCTATTCAACCTGCCTTGCGCGATAGACAGGGGTACCGCTGTGTTGGTGGTCGAGGTATACGCCCTGCTCCACACCCATCGCTGCATTCCCTACTGGCCATACGCTACTCTGCTTACTCCTGCCGTGGCTGTTCTCTAGACGAACTCCTGCCCCGACACGCACGATTTTTCTCTCCAGCCGCCAGTCGTACGGCACATGTGAACATCTGTTCAATGCCTCTGACCCCTACATGATAGCAAATTGTGTGATGTCCACCACGGAACGTCTTCTCTTACTACTTGATAGCATATGTGTTAACCGAGAAAGAGCCGATCAGTTTATCTTCGATGTCCCCGTACGGTTTGCGCTGCGTTAGCACTAACAGAACTGGACAGGGCTCCGCTGGTCTCGGCGGTCTTAGATAGAAAAGTGTATTGTAGCATTCACGAGAATGTGGCATTATGTTTTTCTCAATAAGAGTAGTGATTCATTTCGTTACGCTATCGAGAAATTTGATTGAGTCCGCTATGCTACAGTTTCTCCTCGTTACTCTCTCCAATCGCCGTTCCAAACCCAACCCGTCTCAGTACTTCTCTAGTATCTCTCTTCATCTGCTGTAGCGTTGACGAGACGGTGGTGGGATAGCCAAAGATCATCGTATACGAAATGAACGTGATGACGAGCCCTGCATCCACACCAAGAATAGTGCTGATGAAGACTGTCATCAAATGGCAATGCTTTGCAAGATACGATATATCCTCGTGTGCGAATCGAAGCCAATAGAGCCTCAATGGAAAGAGGAGTCGTAAAGAAAAGACGGCCGAGGCTAACGAGAATATAAAAAAAGCGCCAGAAAGGCAACTGCGAGCTTGTATGGGAAGCTCCTCCCGTATGCTATAGTAAGGCAGCGCTCCGCAGATGACCACAGTTGAATATATAGTCATAATGAAAAAGTAAATGACAGCCTCCCGTGCGTTATATATGTCAACGTCCTCGTCCATGGCAGGCAGGAGGTGTCTCTGCGCGAACCAGGTAAAGTAAGTCGAAGCGCCAGGTATGCCCGGAAACACGGCCAGAAGTACAGCTATTTCAACAATGGCCAGGATGCATCGAGCGATGCCGTCTACAAGTATGGTAAGACTAATTGTAGGTGTCATTGTTTAAGTTGGTGATCAAATAAAAGAATATTCAATGAAGAGACTGTGTTGTTTGCCAACCGCAGACGTTGATGGGCTTCCTGTCTTTTATAGCATGTTGGAGAGACATGTGTCTGGCCTGTCTGATTGGCAGCGGTATCGATGTAGCACGAAATAATGGAAGCTGACTTCAGAATACCACAAATGAGGTGTGGCTACTTTCACTAAATGAGAAATCAGGAAACGTAATTTGCAACCCATTTTCCCCCAATAACGTTGTACATACCTTGAAGGAGCACGGGAACTCAACAGCACAATGCCAGCTCTGCCGCTGCCATCGCCACATTCACAGTCCCTTCCCCCCGTCTCAGACTTAGGTCCGAGATCCCACCTGCCTCGAGAATATGACAGAGGACAAAGATTCTGAGAAAGAGGGCAGCTCGCATGATAGTTACCATTTTGTCGTCCAAATAGCAATCATGATGAGGATCAACGCCAATACTGGTATCGTACTGCGAACAGGAAGCCGCGTGAGAGCTGATAGGAGTGAGAGAAAAGAAAGGAAGGAAGGAAAGGAACAGGATGCGAGGAGTGGGAGGACGAAAGATAGCCGTGCGAAAGAAAAACGGTGCGGATGGATTGGTTCAACTCAGCAGCTGTGGGAGCAAACAACACCACACGGCCCAGTGCTCGCATTTTCGAAACGGATGGCGGGCTACTCTCTCTCTTCCCTCCATAACTCGCCAAAGTTGTAGTACTACGTATTATACGAGTAAGAGCGACCAAGACAGTATGGGTATTGTAGTAGGGGTAAACACATCTTTGATTCAATACTATTTATAATAGTGAGGCTGTGTAGGCGTTTCAACATACTCAGTATCTCTAAGCAAGCCCATCATTACATCTCTATATCGGCTGAGGAGGCGTTGCTGCTTGTGATTCCTCCGCTTCAGCTCGCAGTTCTCCCGCTTGTACTTGCCAATGTGGCTTTTAGCCTGCCGGATTGCCTCAGATCTTCCCTCTCTGAGTCTGATCACTTCGTCTTTGAGATCTTCCATTTCGTTCCATGGCTGTTTCGCGACCTCGGTCGATGGATGGACTGCCTTGAAAGAAGTTCCTATCCCTTTGCAGAGCTCCATCAGCGGTCCCACAGAGAGCTTGCTGAGATGTTTCTCAAACAAGTGTTCCTTACCCGAGCTTGGCTGCCATCGATAGAGATCTTCCTCGCTCGGTTTTAGGCGGACGTTGGCTGGGTCTATCTCGAGGTTCAAGCTATCATCTGACAGGTTCAGTCTTTCTTATGTCTTCTTGCTAGACGGAATTACGCACTGATGTGCTTGGCAAGCCGCTGTCGGCACTTTGTTCTCCATTGGCTTCGTTCAATATTGCTGGGTTTCGACATCTCGTTGGTAGGACTCTCATGTGCTTCATTCATCGCGGCTGAGGCCAGCTTTTAGTACTTTCTGCTCTATCCATTTTCTGTTTTCTTGTTTAAGACCTGTGTTTTCATGATGGGCGCTTAAGCACGCGTAGGGTAACCGAAGCTGACTTCCCATCTGGAGCGCTATTTGCACAACCACATTGTGATTCGACTGGCATCTAAACGTCCGCGCCACTGTGTAAAGCCCAACTGTCAGCACGTGACATGTTGCTTTAGGATACCCTGGACGGTAAACCAGGCTAGAGGACGCTACCAAGAAGGTAACCTCTCTTTGTCGCGCTTAAATCTCTGGGCATCCCGAGCCACGATCAGCAGCGGATGAGCCTCCCGGGATGGCAGAAAGCAAATATCGCTATTCTTACTATCAATATGTTGTTGACAGCTCCACCGAATACGAGCAAGAATAGAATTGATCTTTAAATTCGGACTACCCTTGAGTGAGAACAACGAGATAATCTACAACTATCCTCGGCCTTGTTTGGGCTGAACGACAAAGCGCCCTACTATTCATCGACTTCAATCACTACTCGTCCCCCAAATTGCTTGGTCCTCGTCTTCTGTCGCTTATGAACCTTACCGGTGGCCCCTCTGTTCATCTTACGTTTTCTATCCTCATCCTTCATCGGCGCCACAGTCAATGCACCATCACTCCATGCCGACCGTAGAATGCGCAGCGCTGCCATCCTCAGTTCACTCGCGTCGTAGGTATGCGAAGCTCCAGATGCCACCGGGCGGCCCATCATTCGATCGCGAGCATTCTTGATTACCAAAGGCCCGCAACTATGGAAATCGTTCTGCTGCATGGTTTCCTGTTCGTTGCGAATTAGCCATGCATTGGCAATATGATGTATTCAAAACTAGCGAATTCTCGATTGCAGGCTGTCTAGGTGTGCCCAGGTTAGCTGTTGTCATTGAAGGCATGGATTCATGCTTACTTTGATATCGGAATTCTCCCTGTGGGTCATAGAGTCGTAATGGTATATCTTTTTGTCCCGCTCGTTGATTTCCAGGAGACTGAAATGATTCCCACGCTGAAAGAAAGGGAATAGCCACACGAGAGCATCAGTTTCTAGCGAATGACGCTTTTCCGAGACGAGGTTTGAAGCTCTCTGAAAGGAGTTCGGTACCAAGCCACCAGCTCGAGTCGCAGTCTGTCGGTGTATGGGGACTGAGAACCCCACGCGAACAAAGGGCAGCTTGGTGGAGAGGTGCAAACAGGCGAGTATAATATCGTCGTTCAGCCACGTTGCTAAAACAAGCCTCTGCAAGGAGACCATGTCAAATTGGAATTTGGCCCACGGAATAAGAAGTCTGCCAGACGTGCTTGAACTACGCACTTCAGCGAGAAAAGCATCGACATTGTCATTGCCTGTCGTAGAGGACGTAGCGCAGGGGTCAGGATACCCCTTTTCTATCAACTGCTTCCGGAACTGCTCAGAGTCCGTCCTGCCTGTGTTTGATATCAATGTGATCTGTTCTGAGAGGAGCCCCAGTACATCCATCTTCTGTATCTGATAAGTGAGATTCTCAATCAGAGCATCCAGCTCTGCATCTCGAGACTTTCCGAGGCCCCTAACGTATATTAGTAACTGAGCCTCAGCTCGTTAAAGAAAGTAACGTACACCTTGAACAAGATACCATTGTCAAATATGTCCAGCAAGCGAAGCTACTTCTTGCCTCGTGTGCAGAATGTCGAAGATCTTTGGCGGCGTCATTTCCACTCTTCCTGACTGGCTCCAGGCTGCTGAGGCTTAGGGTCAAGACCCCTTTCAAATGCCGAATTGGCAGCTGACTGCGTCGCCATGTTTGCTGCACTCTCAAGCCATTTCACTTGAGATTGATGCCATCGAGCAAAATTAACCAAGAGAGCCGCAGTACGGAGGCTCCCCACGTACCTGTCGTTGTCCGCTGCTTCCATCTCATCCGTTAGTTGGGAGCCGTCGGACCATACGTTCTCTTCTTCGGATTGGCGTAAGCCTCGAAAGGCATCCATGAGGGCTCTATCTTGTTCTGGGGCTTTCCCAGGAAGACTCAGCCGTTGAACTTGGCGATAGCGTTCGTACACGAAATCGGCAACCGATTGATCTAGTAGAGTGTAACAGACTGAATCCCGAACAGGTCTTACTGTACTAGCGGGTTCCCCGACAACAGCCGCCCTCGTCGCATGACCTTCCCTGCCAGATGGATCTGATTCCTGCTCAGCAGTGCTTCCTCCGGCGTACTCGACTGCCCAGATTGAGATTGGCCCAGCGCCGCTGTTGGTAGCCTGGGTGTCAATTTGCTGCCTCTCGCCACTCAGGCTGAAGTTGGGAACGTCCTCATCCACCTCAGGCCTTCTACTGTTCGCGCTTTCTGCCACAAGGCTAGGCCTCGCAGTTGAATGGGAAGCTTCGCCATACTTGTCGCAGACACGGGAAACTTTATGGGCAAATGATCTGATGCTAGACCGTTCCAGTATCGTGAGCTAATTCAACGCCACCCTGATGTAATCTTCAAGTTCGGGGACCTCGGTAACTCGCAGTATGTCCTGGAAGATCGTGGTGATGGCGATAGGAGTCCTCAAGCGACAAGCCACAGTGCCTGCACACCCATAGCCAAGAGTATCAATGGGCTGAGGGTGCCCAGGGGATACCGGCGAAAGATTCATTGAGAGTTTCGGTCGCGAAGATGATGAAAGGTCGGGAAAGCTCTTCCTCGAAGCTTGGGGAGAAGCAGGCATTTAGAGTCGCCCCCTTGGCTTGATCACGGGGCCGGGCTCGACTCAGCAGTCCTGCAACTCGATTACTCTGCAATACTACAGCGCGGAACATCATTTCCTGGGAAATGGGCGCATTGCAAGCACACAGTACCCTTACCGAAGCCACCAAGAAGGCGCGATAAGCTCGTCGGTCGTCACTGGCCAGCCCCTATCTCAATGCCTCTCAGTCCCTCTAGATTGCTTCAAGCCCGTGGCCATGGACGCACTCGTATGATTGAAGCTGCCCCATCTCAAGTAACGCCCAAATACAAAAGAAGACTCGCCATGATGCTATATCGCAGTTATTCTCATCACAAGTGATGTTCTGCTAGGTTGGTTGCCCCAACCAAGTTTGGGTCGGTGTCGTTGTCCAGAATCAAGTTGGGAACACCCCCATGTATTAGAGTTGCTCTACTGCTATTGGTTTCTGCCGTTAACGGAGAACTGACCGCTGTGATGCTCCACGGGCTGAGCAGGGCACAGGCTCTTACAGTCGGCGTCTTTCACTTTGTAACGGGACAACGAGGCGACCTCGTTCTGGCGCTTCTGCGGCCCTGAGTGATCAGACAGTTATCATGTGACTTTGAACATAATTTCCCAGGAAATATCTCCTAGATAGGATGCGAAATCTTTGCCGAAGCCAGCGTGTCAAGCACAATCGCAACATCGTGGGGCATAGGTACTCCTTGCTTGTGGCTCGTCGAGTCTCCTTGGTTGAGGAGTCTTCTAATGCGCTCAACGAATCTAACTCCACGAAACAGTCAGGCTTCCCTTCGAATTGCCTGGACGGGGAGTTTGCGGCTAAGAGGCTGCTGCTGTCTCTCGTCATTAGTGAAGTCTAGAAGAGGGAGCCATATGACGAGATTGGTTGCTATGATTCGTCATTGAGAACGGATTTCCAGCAGAGTGTACCTTGTTATGCGAAGTACTTACCTAGTCATAGTTGTAGCTACCTAGAAATGAGCATGTTTGTAGCCAGAAACTGGTTGGTAGCTGAGCCGGCAAAGAGCTACGTGATTCAAGGCTCGAAGCGCCTCTGGTAAATGCTGTTATCAAAATGTAGATTTCAGAATCATACATCTCCCTCGAACTGCATGCAACAAAAAAAGCGATTTTCTTATTCCAGTATTGAGACATGGAGTATATTAAATGCCTAAACCAGGAGTGGCCCAGGCCTTGTCTTTGCCTCTTTTATAGCCGCGTATACACTCTGTTGGCACTCAATCCCAATCGACTAAGCACAATGTCTATTAGCACTCAAGATGTATTATTCAAGTTCTGGTACAATTACTGCGGCAGACAATCAGGAAACGTGTTTTCCATCTTTCCCCCTGGGCTTCATGAGTCCTTACTTGCCGACGCCGCCATCCCCTCTCGATTGCCCAGTGCAACATACGATGCTGCAGCTCAACAATGTCGACAGGATGTACAGGCTATCGTCCGGGAGTGCGAGCACACCAACAATAAATTCAGTGACCCCGAATTCGATATTGATCGAGACTTCTCTTCGAACGATGATAATTGTCTTTTTGGCATTATAAGAGACGATGTGGACTTATGTGACCGCCCCGGCTCTGTTCATAGGATACCGTGGATCTTCAAGAATCCGCAATTTGTATCAAACGGTTTCAACTCGGACATAAAACAAGGAAATAGTAAAAACTGTTGGTGGCTCGCTGGTCTGGCTGCCGTAAGTCGCCGAAAGGACCTGTTAGAAAAGATCTGCGTGGCCCGTGATGAGAATTGCGGTGTTTATGGATTTGTTTTCTATCGAGATGGTGAATGGATCTCTACTGTCGTGGATGATAATCTATACCTTTGTGAAAAGGATTTCAATAGTGACGTATATGATACTACAGGGAGGATGTCTCTGGCCTATAGGAAGCACAAACAGACAGGCTCTGATGCTCTTTTCTTTGCGAAATGTGGAGGTACTGACGAGACATGGTTACCACTACTGGAGAAAGCGGTAAGTAGCCCTCAAAACAGGCCTATTGATCCAATATAACTCTATTCCCTAGTTCGCTAAAGTTCATGGTGATTATGCAGCACTTGACAGCGGCTGGGCGGGCAGGGCAGTTGAGGACCTCACTGGTGGAGTTACTACTGTAATCAGAGGCGATATGCTTCTCTACAAAGAACGACTTTGGTGCGAATTCCTCACGATAGGGGAGGGAAACCTTCTCTTCAGTCTTTCTACCGGCAGCCAAGGTGATAGCTATAGAAATGGCCTTGTTTTGAGGCATGACTACACTGTGCTTGAGGCTATTCAGGTGGAAGACGAGCTCGGAGACACAGTTTCACTGGTGAAGATCCGGTATGCCTATATTTGAGACCCTTTACTATGTTGTACTGACTCAGTAGTAATCCATGGGGTCAGAGGTGCCCAAGTGGTTATGGAGATTGGGTTGGAGCTTGGTCTGATGGCTCTGAAAGCTGGACCCCTTTCATGATGGAGAAATTACAGCACAAATTCGGAGATGATGGCACGTTTTGGATGTCCTTTCAAGATATGTTGGACAACTTCCACTGGATCTATAAGACTCGCCTCTTCGATCGACAGTGGATGATAACACAGCAGTGGATGAATGTTAGCGTCCCCTGGCTAGGAGATTATTTAAAAAGGAGGTTCATCCTTGAACTTCCACAAGATGGCATGGTAGTTCTGGTTCTTTCCCAGGTATGTTTAATCGAAATGCTGTTACCAACCAACTTACAGTGAGATACTAGCTAGATGACCGGTACTTCCAAGATCTCAAAGGCGAATACGAATTCACAATTCACTTTAGATTAAGATTACTGGGAAATAGAACGCCCATCTGCCAAGTGCAGCCCATCCATCACTTAGATACACGGTCTGTAAATTGCGAGCTCACGCTTGAGGCTGGGATATACGAAATCATACCCAAGATTGTGGCAGAACGAGACGAACTATACATGCCCATCGAGAAGATGGTATGTCTTGCAGCATATATGAACCCTGCCAAGCTCAGACAAACTGGGAGGTCATATGGCCTCGCACACGCCAAGGCAGGAGAGATTGATGGCGAGAATCTAATAACCACTGCAGCAGGGAAAGGTCCTACATCAATGCAGGTCCTGCCTACTAGATTGAAAAAGAGTCTTTCAGGCTCATTTCCTGAAATTATGACACATGACAGCGAGTTCAAATCTGAGTCTGAGTCTGACTCCGAAACCGAGTCTGACTCTGACACAGCTTCGGATACCACGACAGATTGTGACACCAAGCACACGTGGAATCCGTCATGTGTTATTGGCCTGCGTGTTTTAGCGCAGTTTGGAGGCATCGAAATCAGAGTTAGCGACGATCAGTGATGTTCAATGGCTAGAAGAGGTAGTGTTGTTGATTGGCTGGCCCAGATACATCGACACCCTATGACTTTATCCAGGAAATGCGTCTCTGATTCGCTAGAGCCCCCTTCTCAATATTTAAGTAGTCCTTAATTCCCAAAAACAAAAAGAAAAAAAAACATGTCTCATATAAGGTAGTTCGACTTATTCTTGTTAACTTTAATACTTCTTGTGTACCTACTTTAATAGTAGCCTGAAGCGATGAGTCTGCCGTATCTGTTGCGGAAATTGGAGATCAGCGAAGATGGCGAGTTCAACTTTCTCTCATGCCTCGTCACCAAAGCCGTTGACGAATACCATGAGGCCAGCCGCAGTCAAGATCTTGAATTGGCAATTGCATGTGCTCGGAGGCTCGTTGATTTTACTGCAAAAGACGGCCCGGAGTGGGCAGAACAAGCGGCAAACCTTGGAACCGTACTGATTTATCGGTATGAACGAAACGGCACAATCAACGACTTGGAGGAAGCGACAACTGTGGCCCGGCAAGCAGTCGCGGCAACACCTGATGATCATGGCGACTATCCGAGCTGGGTAAGCAATCTAGGAATAATATACAACCACCGATTCGAGTTCACTGGGTCGATATGGGACTTGGAGCACGCAATTGGACTATTCCGTCAAGCTATCGTGGCATCTTCACGAGAACAACATGACTTTGCTGTTTGGGCAAACAACTTGGCCTACTTGCTCTGCGTTCTGTATGAGAAAACAAGCAGCTCGCAGGACATTGATGAAGCGATACATTTTGCCCAGGAAGCTGTGCTTGCGACATCAGAACGAGATCCAGGCTACCCAGCCCGGATCTACAATCTAGGTCTTGCATTTGATCTCCGATTTCAACAGACTGGCAGTACACAAGATCTATTACAAGCCATCCTCAGTCTCCGACAAGCAGTTAGCGCCGTAGGACCTACAGACACATGCTGGTTAGGAAAGTTGGATAATTTGATGGATCAACTAGACAGTTCATTTCCGATCCAATTTAGTTAACTTCAAGCCGAGTAATACGAAGACAGCTGAACAGTATCACGTTGTTCTTGTTATATGAAAATATTCGGATTATGCCCCATTTCCTCACGGAGCCAATCCAAGCCGTCCTGTAGGCTTGGCTTTTTGCAAGATGATATCTTGCCAGAAGATCGGTTGGAGTCTGCTCTGACAGATCCATAGACTGAAACGGGCAGCTGGTAAGCAAAACAATCTAGATGAGCTTGGTTGGATCTGAGCCAGTCGTACTGATCTCAAATACCATGGAGATCGTGCTCAGGGACTCACAGATCATGATCAAGCGTGGATTGGCGAGGCTATGAGGGGGTTGGTGTATAAGTCATTGTTGTTTGGCTGGCTGCTAGAGTGTGTCGACAGAATGTCGTCTGGCTCCTCGTCAAGCGCTTATTGGCGAGTTCATGAGGAGTGAACATAAAACCTCGGCCTACGGGGCTTTTGGTGAAAATGGCTGATTATTGGTTGATCTATCTGGATGCCGGAGTGTGTCTATCTACTCCATGAGATCTCGGGGTGTACATTTTCCCAACCTACAACAAGGTGAACTAATAAGCATCTGCATCTGATATGCAGGCTACAAGTCATTGCTTCGGCTTCCACTTCGATAGCGCCTTGAGGTAAATGGGAAGAGCGCGTTTATCATGAGCCGGAAGGATTCCCGTCATTGGAAAAGTGTGTACAAAAGGCCCCGATCTTCAGCTGGGAAATCTCGAATGTGGTTTGCTCTGTCATTTAACGCTGCCGCGAACAGCCGTTTTTCTTCTTCGTGCATTCAGTACTGCTTCTTTCATATCCTTACTTAACTCCCTGATTCTAACGCAATTACCCAAGGACCCAAGAAAGCTACACATCCCCAAGCTCAAGCAGTGCCGCATGATATGTATCAGACCGTCACGTTACACGATGCTCCCAAGTGGCGGCGAGATAATAAGTACATCCTCACCGGCTATCGTCTAGAAGCAGACTATCTACAAGCTGTTAAAAGCCTTGCTTTCTTGCATAATGAGACTTGCAATATATATACCCACTTGATCAGCGCTATACTTCTGCCATTCTTAGCAACCTCTATTCTCCGAACTATCTATATAAGAACTGATTTTACTATGTTTAGTATCTTCTTCTGTTCTGCTGAGAGCTGCCTGATTTTCAGCACTATGTACCATCTTACCGGAAGTCACTTCTGGCACCAAATGGATTTACTAGGGATTATTATTATTACTATTGGCACCTTTATCCCTGGGATCTATTATATCTTTAACTGTAATCCAGTTCTACAGAAGATTCATTGGACTATTGTTTGATACCCAGCCTATTTAAGCATACCTTTAATTCCAACTAACCAGGTCATTAGGTTATATTTTGCGGATCTATTCTAGCAGCCCTTGTCTCTATACCTAAGTTTAGGACCTTACAATGGCGTAAGATAAGAGTTACTGCCTATATAGCATTTAGTGCATCTGCTTTTATCCCTTTACTACATGGTACGCAGATCTATGGGTTAGAATATATGCTTAAATATTCGGGTATGAAATGGTATCTTATTGAACTCCTTCTATACGGAGTGGGCTGTGCCCTTTATACAGTATGTGTCTCTCCCCCTCAGCATTTCTATCTCTAACCTCAAAGTGTAGTTTCGAATCCCTGAGTGTTTTGCCCCAGGCTATTTCGATATCTGGTTCAGCTCACATCAGATCTTCCATATATCGATTTTATGTGCTATATGTGTGCATATACTTGCACTGATGCAGGCTTTTACAGCATACCGTACATTGGATATATGTCTAGGGGCGTAGGGTTATACGGGGTCAAATATGTTCTATCAGATACACTTTATGCATAATCTCTTTCATTAGCCCTCTCTTCCCTCGTGCATGGCGGTGTTATCTGGAATACAGGTCTTCCTCAGGTCAATATTGGCCACAGTCTCGTGAGAAGTTCATGAAGTGAGTATTTATTGACTAGGTACAGGTAGGTATTATACTAGGTAGTCTAGACGTCGCGACCCCCTCTACCACTACTGCAAGTACTTCATTTTCTCGTACCCTGCGCTTTCTCCCTCCTTAATGTTCGGACAAATTTCGTCATAAGGTGGTGGGGGGCCTTTCTTCTCGAGCCGGCAAGAACACCATGGCCCCCCATCATGTAGGTTATGGGACTGATCCCACCTCAGGCATGCAACAACCCCCGTTATATTCCACTTGGACATATCCTCATGTAAAGCTACCACCTTTATATGTGACAGAAAGTCATGTATATCTTTATGGGTATAACTCGCCTTGCGAGCTCGAGCTTTACCAAGGAAGTCTAGAATATCCTCAGGGGCAAGTACTTCCCTTTCTTTAAAAGCGACCGGATTGCCTCTATCATCTAACACTCTAGGCCTTCTCCAGAGCCATGCATGGGCAAGAAGTGACACTAGCAGTCGACGTCGAGCATTATGTAGTCTCTGTTCTCCCTTTGAGGCTTTAGATGGGGAAAAGAGGTTTGCCAGAAATAGAGAAACTTTCTGCGCCTGCACTTTAAAGGATCCTTCTCTGATCACTTTATGTGAGAAAGATCCATCCTCATTTAAGAATATCGTGGAATCATCAACCCATTGTTGACTTGATTTGAGATTCCGTAGTGCTTTGAGCCATATTATAGCAGAGTCCCTTATTGTCTCAGGGCCAAAGTAGACAGGCGCACAGAGTCTTCGACTGGGATGCATTTTCTGCGACGAGCCAGGCACGGAAAAGTGGTAGGATGTGTCAAGGTGAAGAATCAAGCTGAACGCGGCTGTAATCTACCTCTTCAGCGATTTATGACTTAGCTATTTATGCTCGAAGGGGCAGGCTTCTACTGTTCTTGAGGAAACTGGCCTTGATTTACACCAAGACGGTATCCAGATACATCTGATTGGTGAGTTCATAAGCACAAGATCGCCGACAAGGATGGCGTGCGCAAGCATCATTGGTAGGTGTACCTATAATAACTCAGGACAGATAAAGCACTGATTGGAGAGTTCGCAAGTAACGAACGGCTGGCGTGGGCATCGGCGTGTAAAAACTCATTGGAGGATGTCGCTGGTATGTCTGTGAAAGAGGAAAGACACCTCCTCCCGTCGCTTTATCAAATCACCCAGGTTATATCTCGGGCCTTTCCGAGGGTCGCGTCCCGCTCAGTACTACCTGCATTGAAGTTATCTACCAAGTTCGCCATGCTCGTATGTACTCTACCCTCTGCACCATCTTCGCTTCAAAGGACCATTATTGATGGCCAGGGGAATGACGATGTCAGATTTTATCCGGATAATAGGTAAAGTTCAACTCTGTATTATTGTTGAGTCAGTTGAACTGAAAGTGGCACTAAGCAATGCATATTGCTTCATTCCTCCAGCTTTTGGTCTTCAACACCGCCGCTTCAAGTTCCAATCCCCGGCGGAAATTGAGGGAGATGACCTCAAAAAGAAGCTTGACTCAGGTTATCATCTCTGCTCGCCGCCTTGTGCACGCCCAGGCTCAAATCCCACCCAGAGGACGTCCCTAAGCCATAAACATGAGCCGACTGGCTGTCAGAAAGGCAATAAATCTAAGGCACCAGGTTTCTTGTGTAAATGCTGCCCAAAGAGGCGCAAGAGGTTCAGCACGCTCGAGGAACTCATGTAAGTCAGGTCTGTATATTATATTGGCATCTGATTGACGACTAGTAACCATGAAAACGATACCCAGCACGAATGTTCATTTTGTGGAAGCCGCTTTAAAAACAAGAACGAAGCCAAGCGTCACGAAAATTCGCTCCATATACGCCGCAGCTCATGGTCTTGCCCAGCGATCTCTGAGTATCATCAAGCGTTTTACATTTCACTATACCGTCCTGAAGACACTGATATTTGTGGCTTCTGTGGGGATGAATTTATACGGGCAGGGCCGAGTCTCAGTGACATCGAGATTGAACACTTACAGCGGGTTCATAAGATTGGGGAATGCAACAGTTCTAAAAGATTCTACCGCATAGATCACTTCCAACAGCATCTCAATCATTTTCATACAGGCAGGATTGGAGAATGGACCACTATGCTGGAGAACACCTGTATGCGGATGGCTTGAAATGAGTAGAACTACCACACAACGGCTTAGGAGCTGGGCCCATGAGCGTTACGCCTTCTACATTAGAAGACAATGGCGTGCCGAGAAAGAAACTTGGTCGATTCATAATGAGTAGGCTCATCGGGGTTGCTGTAGGCCATTTGAACTTGCAAAATCCTAGATTTACACACATGATAGCTAGAACCGAACCCCATTGCAATGTTGATAGTCTCGTGGTCCCCTCACTCTCACGTCCAACGAAGTCACTGCTACGTCCCTAGATATCGATATCTGAAACGCCAACACAAGCGCTGGGTTTCCAGATCTAACTTATGCGCCGTAATCATTGCATACGTGACCATAGCTGGTGAGCAGCGCCGATTTTTGAGGCATTGTACTGTCTGTCTCCTCCACTAAGCCTAGCCCGCCGAGCTCATACTTTGTGAGTGGCATTATAACAATAGCCACATTGCAGTATTGGCTATACCAGAGGTAAATCACTGTTTCTTGCTCCTTTCAGCATTTTCTCATCTTGTTCTTTTCAAGATCGCAATTAAATGTTTGAGGACAGCTGCTATGTATGATTGTGCTACTAAACAAACAACAAGGAACCACACTGAGCAGTCTGATGAAAGGAAACATGCATTGGAAACCAGAAAGCACGCCGCCACTAGCTGCGCTGGCGTGTATAGCATCATACTCAAATGAACAGCAGCGTTGAACTACTTCAGTGGCCCTTTTCGGTACCGACACCGGTCGAGAAACCCTTGGATAAAAAAACTGCCGAATCTCGCCTCTTCTTCTGTGCAGAGCTTGGTGCACTGTTCTGCCTTGCGTTCTTTCTCGCACTCCTACGAGACATCTCGTTCTCCGCCTCCTTGATTTGCGACCGTGTGATCACGTACCCTCGGTGAACCATTTCTGGAACTTGATAACCGACATCATCCTCCTGTTGGGAAGATGGGATAGAGAATGCCGGCCAGACAACTTGTATGATGTCGTCTGTTTCCACTGATTGAGATTCAGTTCTAGGCGATTGGCCTTGCCGATCCGATTTCTCTGCCTTTGTTACCAAGGGCTCCCGAGCATCGCTAGACGGCCCAGCCTTGCTGTTGCGCTGGGCTGTTGATGGCGGGAATGCCACCCAATCATCAGACATATGCGAGAAAAGAACCGGACGAACTGGTTCCAGTAGCTGCTGAACAACTGACCAGGCATTGCATGCCGCCGTCGAAACCTGACGCAGATGTGCCTCGAAGCCTTCTCGCCGCGAAATGGGGACCAGGTCGGCGATGGCGTCTGATACTTGGTCAACGACCATCTTGACGCGAACTTCCCTCGTTCGAGCTTGTCTCGCTGGCTGTATCTTTAACAGAACCGCGCGTGCGAAAGCCTCATGCAGTGGGTCTTCTGTCTCCAAGTCCCGTAGAACATCATCAAGGTCATTGGTCTGGGTGAGGTAGGTTGATCTAAAGACATTGTCGACGAGGGCCATGCTATATATTCGAAGACCGGCAGCAACTCTCATTTGCTTGGCGGCCGGAGAGTTAGAAGCAGGCAGTGGGATAGTACGCTGGATCGAAGCGTGATTCCGAACCCTTCCCCACATTCCCATGTCGGTCAAGCATGTGTCGTCTAGAGCAACGCCTATGGATGATTCCACAAAACCGAGACCATTGTTGAGTATACTGTCTAAAGCATCTCCCCTACTCAAGTATATTAGTGATTGACCAGAGTAGCACTCCAGCTCCAACGTACACTTCAGCTCTTCTGGCCTCAAACTTATCAAGTTTGACCATGATGGAATGAAACGTCATCAATCTTCCGTGCGCTTCCTCTAAGTTGTTGGTCAAGTCATCTATGCGTGATTGCATAGACTCTTGCGCGCTTCTCAGTGTTGCCAGCTCCTGTTCGGCTTTCGTCATCTTTTGCTGCTGTGATGCTTTGGAAGCCTCGAGAGAGCTGATCGTGGACTCTTTTTTCTTGATCTCATTCATCAACTGTTTGGCAGATGACGACTGGACTTCGAGCTTGTCTTGCAGCGCCGCCAGTTCAGCTTTGTGTTTCTTGACACTATCCTCGGCTGCTCGCTTTGCTTTGAGGGTTGCCTCATCCTGTGCTCTCTGGGAGCTCAGTTGCTTTTCGAAATCGTCCTTTTGTCTTTTAGTCTCAACCTGATGCCGGGACAGTGCTTGTATGTTCGTATCGTATGCGGTTTGGAGCTTCGCAATGTCTCGTTTAAGATTTTCATTCTCTCCAACAACCGCCTCCAAGGTATCGAAACTACCCTCAGAACAGTACTGATTAAGTAAGGATACTAATTGGCGGATGGACCCTGACGCGTCCGGGCGAGGCAGCAGCTCCCTGGCTGGGTTTCCATCAGTTGGTGGCATTGTGGTTTAGGACTGTGCCTGCAAGACGCAGTTGTACCATTAAGACCAGCGCGAGTACGTTGGGATGGGAGAGGCATAATATTAGGCAGCAGAGACGTAGGAAGTGACGGCAGCCTGATCGACTGAGCCCGTGACCTTTGGCCAGCTTAGATAGCCAAATCTGGTCATTTGGTGGGCCTCCCATCACATTATAGATACGTGCAGATGTACAGAACTGTTGGTTGGGTTGCCAACAGCCTGGTCAACAGCGAAGGTGCGGGGTTGCGGCAGATTGCCATCAAGATACGGTCATTCGTCAAGAAGTCATACAATGGTGGCATAGATCACACAAGTAGATCTGACTTCATACCGGAGTATCGAAATCGCTAATGATACCGAGATTGAGGCAGGTCGAGGTAGCAAGAATGACCACACATCTCTCACTTTTTCTCCTTCTCGTTGGACAGCCCACCGAAAGGTCGAGAAATCTACGCATGCAGTTGGCGTAACAGTTCTGAAGCGCCCAATGGAAGATATTGAGGCAGGAGCATGACAAGTGACCACGTGACAACGCGACCCCAGTGAGCGACTACATAAAGATCGCGTCGATCCTCACTCAGCCCTGCGTTCCTCCCTCCGGCATCATTCATGATTGAGCCGCCAACAACCACAAGTTAAGATAAACGTACGTATGAGTTCAATGGTCTAGAGTCCTATCATTACAGTGCTGTGGCACCTGCTAGGTATAGCTTTATCTAATGAAGTCTTTTTTCCAGAACATCTGAACGGTGTCGTAGCCCTCGATCGTAATCAATCCTTCTCGTATACGTCGCGTAATTCTTGCACTACCAAGCAGAGTATCATCATATGCCTCAGAAAGGCACTGTAATCTGAGGTGGCAATTCTTCGGTCGGTGATTTTTGTGCTTCGAGAACGCGTCTAAAGCATTCATTGGCACGCGATCTTAGTCCCTTCGCGGCTCGGTATGAATATGTTGAGTCAGTCAAGTACGGTAGAATACTCAGACATGGTCACCCAGGACGTCGACATGATATATGCCGAAATGGAATATCCTGGTGGTCCTAGAGTTCCATCCGCTTATGCCAGTCAGGGAAACCCATTTAGTGAGGGGTATCGAACGAATGTAGCATCTGGTGGAGGACATATAGATCACGCTAGACCCTCACTCAATAACAAACATCCATTTGTCATAGCTATAGATTATCTGGTTACTCCTGGAAACCACTCAGAGAAGGTGCTTGATTCTCTTGAGGATGAGGGCGTCCTTTTCCATCTACGTTTCGCAGAGAGCCACCTGGAACTAGGCGCGAACAGACCTGTTCTCGATAATCGACTGTTTTCAGACAGTGACGGGGACCAGCTCATGTTCGAATCCCCTGCACATGAAAAAGCACTTCGTCTTCTGTGCTTTGCGCATGATTTTCTGAAACCGAACGAGTCTTGTTTGGTGATAACTCGTTGCGAGTACAGTAATGCTCTCTATCATTTGCACCTTGCGCAAGATCTTTTGAGTTGGTGGTTGTCTCAGTGGCGTGGATAGAGCCATTCAGAGTTTGAGACAGTTGTGGAGATGAGCCGTTGGAGTTCATTCATAGCAAGGAAAATAAATTATGCTAATCTTGCAGCGGCCCATGTGGGTGCAGTACATGTGAAGAGGGAAGAGTAACAGAATGTTGAAGAGGATGGAGGGATATGATTTGGCTCCAGTAATGACCTCGTTTGTTTGTATGCCGCAAGAGACATAATGGCGAGAGAATACTATCACGTTTTATCTATATCATGGTTTGCAAACTGTTTCAATATAAGTACCAGTGTGTAAAAAGCAGTAGGATCAACTCGAGGTCTTTATTGCCTCTTGTAAATCCTCTAATGTCTTTTCTAAGCCGCTACGCCTATCTCTTATTCCGTGAGATTCGCCAGCAATTGCGCAGAACGAAGCTTTTCCTAGACCCGCGAGATCCCAACCCTCTAGTTCTTTGGCTTGTTTGTGTATCGTCCCTTTACTGCTCAAATATCGCGGGTCTGAGTAATGTTATCGTTGTCAAGCCGGAGAACACCATTGCACCATCCTATTCTTACCCTCAGCTCAATTACTGGCCGGAGAACTCAAGGTCTCAGGTGATTGAGCCAGTGAAACCGCATTTTCTGGCTTTCGACCAACCACGGAGTGGCTAAAAAGCAAGTTAGTCAAATGGGGTCGAGGCATTTGGCAATTTGGACATACACAATCAAGTAAGGTAAAGACTTTGGGTCGCGAATAGCATTCCGCATCTTGCTGACAAGCACGGTAACCTCGTCGAAGCTCCAGCCCAGAATCTGTCCAATGGGATAAACAGCATAGCCTTCGAGAGATTGGTCGATGTAATGTCCGTTGTATAGCCCAATCTTCTTCAGCCTCGGGTCGCGTGGCCATCCGCCGATGGGTACCTTCCACTGCTTGTGTACGACATCGACAAATCCTGTCTTTCTCATCTCTTCGACATGTTGACCGCCGACAGGCCACCTAAAAGTACGCCCGGCTTTGTCACCGGCCTCAAAAAACAAGGATGCCCACTTCTTGAAGACATGCTCTGGATCATCCTTGAACTTTGGGTTTTCTGACCGCGTTTCAAGATCAAAGTCAATATGCTCGAAATAACTGCCGGGTTTGAGGTGAGTGAGCGCTTGTCGGTAGAACTTATGCCAGTCGTCAATGGCCCCATAGAGATAACGCGTGTGGATGAGGTCGAAGTAATTCGGCTTAAATGTCCAGTCCAATTGGGCATCGTCGATCTGAAAGTGGCAATTCGGAGGCATCCAGTCCGGTTGAACTGCTGAAATATCCGTGCCGATGACTTCAGCTGAGGGGTATTCGTCCGCCACGTCACTAGCATATCGACATTAGATACATTTAGGCCTGGAGGAGCATTGGAATCCCTTCATCAACTCACATTGCCCAGATGCCTGTACCAGTTCCAACGTCCAAAATAGCCGGGGATAAATCAGTGCCGATGTCTAAAGTTTGATCTCAACGAGTCGCTTACTTGGGGATTATCCACAACTGGGGCAGAGAATAGCTTATCATCGAGAAGCATCGTGGTAAAATGATGGCTGATGAAGCACGAGTGAGTGTCTGAACCGGAGAGCGAAAGTAAGACAACTTACGCTACGTCAAAGCCCTCTACATGTTGATCGTCCGTAGGAGCCCTAGTACAAAAAACAAGTAATTCATTAGTATTGCGAATCAAAGGGGTAAAGGTTTGATGGATGGAGCGGTGTGAGGCCATACTACCAGTACTCGGTGGTTTTGGAAGATTGATACTTCCGACCATTGATGGTGCGGTAGCTTAGAATACTGGAGGTTATTGATGCCGTAGAGTCCCTCAGGCTGTTGTGCAAACGTCAAATCAGCAAAAGTAGTGACGGTAAAGCGTCGGTTGACTGACCTTGCGCTATTGGCAATCGAATCAGCTTCATCGTTCTGTTCACTGTCTAGGCTTCCAACGACATGAGGATCCTGTGAAAAAGAGACCAGTTAACGAACAAGGACGATTGGTCAATAATCTCCTGGTCTTCATTCTTAAGTTTACGATACTGGGTAACTTCGCGAATGGTCCCTGACATAGAAAGAAAGATATTCGACTTACGGATTGGATTATCGGCTCCTCTTGCGATGCCATGTCGTCGACTGTTGGTAGTTACTGTGTGAGATCGAGGCCACTGAACAGGGATAGAAACTGTTACAGAGTTATGAGAGAACCGACGGGAATCCATCGGCTCGGTCCCTAGAGGTTTGTCGCGCTCTGAGCACATGACTGTCCTGCTATGACATAACATGACTTAACCCAATCCAGTTTGACTGAATTCGACGCCATTATGCCTGCTTTGACTGACTAGTAAACAGGGCTCTCGGACAGCCCATGCGCCCGTCAAGTGAACGCTCCATTTCTCTTCATTATTGAATGAGGCCAGCCATCCATTCCTATCTACTATCATGATTTAGAGTGCTTGCTTGCTTTTCATCAGAAAATCTAGAGTTTCCTCCTCTACGAAGATCATGAAAGAAAGGTCCAGGAGAAAAATAGCGTCCTGGACTAACTTTTACGTGCTAACGGTTGACTATAGGACCTTTGGTTTTCAACTAAGGTCAGACGACTGAGAAACCACATCTTGTTCTACTCTACAACCAAAGTGGTAGGAACGAAATGCTCGCATGTGCGACGTGTCCTTCGACAAATCGCCAAGCCCCCGCAGCACTCGCCAATTGTGGCTCATGTCGCTGAAATAGAAATGCATGTTTCAATTTGTAGTTTCATGTGCATTTTGCCATTACCTTATGAAGTACATTGCATGTTAATAGACAAAATGAGTTGAAGCCAAAGCATTTTGCAACCGTCGTTCAAAGAGATTCGGTTGACAATGTCCAAGCGCATGTAGAATACGACACTGACAGACCAGGCTAAAAGACTAAAGTCAAAATAAAGTTGATCAGTACATACTTGTACCTATTCAGGAGTTCGCAATTGCTTGACCGCGCCACAACGGAATTTCAGAGTGCGTAGACAACATGTTCTGATCTATCTTAACGTGCAATGGCCAGCCCTACATCCCTCGCACAGGTCTGTCTCATGTTCTCCCCTAAACTCTCCGGAGTAGGCAGGCGGGACCAGGTCTATTCCGTTCCACTTCTTAATACGGTATGCCACTCGATCCGCATACGAATCACCATTTAGGAAAGCTCGACTGGGACTGTTGCATGCTTTACAGTGCTGACTGTAGACTCTGGCGTTGTATCGCTTGTTATCGTACATCCGGATGGTAACCGCGATCTTCTTACTCGACCAACCATTGGTCGCGCATCTGCGGTTGTTGCAAGTGAACCTGCCCATCACGGTCGTGTCGTATGTCTCAGTACATGTGTTGTCGTCGTCGATATCGTGAAATCGAAAATGGAGGCCAGACTCGGAGAGTAAAGGCGATACTTTTTTGTGCAACTGGGGATACATAGACCACCTCCAAGAGTTGTTGCGCGGCATGTCAGAATGGACGCAGTGGTAGCTGCGATAATAGGTCAATGCTCTAGGAATGAAGTGGAATAGGTGGTAAAATAACGTAGAGAGCAGTGGCAGGTGACAAAAGGGAATTGTCAGTTTTATGATCAGCTGTTCCTACCGGCACTTTCACAGTGAATGGTGATGCATATGATGTGAAATGCCCGTCGCGCGTCACTCCGCATATACGATGCCAGTGAGAGGGCCTCAAATATTGCTACCTAACCGAGAACTCAGCGCCATGGTTGTTAGCTGGGTGCATTCGCATTCGCGACGACCATAGTTCAATCCCTCAGGCATCAAGGACAATAACCAAGAGCAATATACCTCGCAGACTACTATTTCCCAAGTCTCGTGTATCTCGATACGAACGAGATTCAGATAAAAGCAGCTCAAGAGAAGAGCTGTAAAGAAGCGGGCGCGAGGCCGACGGCATCGGGCCAAGAAGCTGAAGGTAAAGCTCAAGCGCCTTGTCCAATACAGAGTGCTAAGTCGATGGTGGAATTGGGGGGAGGCGCCTTTTCTGACCTCCCGCAAGTATGCGGAGGACCACAATTTAGTGGTTTGCGAAACATTGACCAAAGTCTGATTCGTTCAAGTTTGGGGCAAATGTGACTTGAGGAGGCCTCAAAATACACATCGACACGGGCATGCAGTGATAACAGCGCCTCGGTATGGTGTGCACGTCTAGGAAAACGCGCGAGCTCAAATTTCATGACCAGCCTCGTCTTGATTCGTACGGATTTCGAGTATATTTCCCCGCGGTATACGCGTACGAGGAATGGCTTAAACAGTGTGTCATCTGAACACGATTTGGCTTCTAAGCCTCGGGACGGCCCATTCCGTGGGTAGCGCCCCGCTAAGTCGACATGAAATTCCTATGAGGCAAGGCTAAAAGCACGAGTATGAGCGACACTACTGGATAACATTAATGTCATACGCAATTGAATAGCACCTGTAATGGAAATTTGATCGCTACCTGACCTCTCTTTCGTCATGCGAGATTTTAGGTGGGCGCCTTCGGTCTGAAGCCCTGCTATCAATCGAATATCCATCTAAGGAGAATCATTAGTTAAGGACCTAGTTCAGATATTGAGCACGCGCGTGGCAACCGCGAGGAACCAGAACGCTGGATCGATAACTGTGAAGACTATGTGGGGGACAGGACACAAGCTTGGGGCAACAGATAATGCCCAACAGTAGAAAAGCCTAACATCGGTGGATTGTCTATTAAGTGTTAAGCAGGCTTCGAGGCACATTCGTCTATCAGCTGTGTCTCAGCTGTGTCGTCAAGTCATTATCTAGGATCTCAATATGCTGCGTCTGCCCACGGTTGAACAGGATCTGCATCAGTTCTTGGGATCCAATAGCCTGCCAAGACTCATCTCCAGCATGGACGGTGTCGATATCCATAGACATGCCGGTTTGAGGAGAAAACACCTGTCGAACCTTGTTCCCTCCCGTAATGTTGCGAATCTTTATCCCTCGTGCAGGTTGATGGGCTGGTGGCGCAAAAGTTACTCCTTGCTCGCAAAAAAGCTCAAACTCACATACTATGCTTAGCAAATCTATTGGGAACGTCCCGCTCTGCTTCATTGATTAACCTTTGTAGTCGTTCTGTAACTATCATATAGTAGGCATGATGGTCTGAATCATATTTGACGAGCCCGGAATGATCAGTATCCAGAGCAACATTGTCCTCGTCGTCCACAGCTACCAATTCTATGCTAGTTGCCGACTTTTCTGTCACTAGCAAACAGGGAGGACCGGTTTTACACCACTTTCCGACTTCATTGAGCTACAGGACCCGTCAGCTTTATCTTGGGAGTCGACGATCACATGCGTTACCTTGAGAGTTGGACTATGTCTGCGCTCGAAAAAGCTCACAACCCGATATTGATCCTTGCAGCGTTCAGAAAATTCATCTGCAAGCCTCTTCAAGTAATTGGATGGTTCTGAATCGTCATCGACGAGGAGGTCGTGAATTAGGGCCTGGTTCGGTTGGCCGTGAACAAGGGTTTCCAGCTGGTTATTTCGAAGACCAAGATTGGGCACCCCAAAGAATAGGAGCCCATACGTGGCTTTGGAAAGATCATGGCTCGTGTCGTTGGGACTTCTACGTGCACGAACAAGTGCCTCCCGTGGTTAGTCGCCTACTTCTTATCAACAGTAGCGCATCTCACCTCTTTAATCACCAGGCCGCCGAGGCTGTGGCCGATGAAGATGATCGGACGACAAGAAGTCTGAGAGTATCAGCCTGAGTAAGTCAGCGTTAGAGAGCACGCACCCCATCTCTTGCTCGAAAGGCGACGATTTGTTCCAACAGAGCGCCACCTAGGTCTCCAATTGACTGCTTCGAGAGACTGCCAGATAGCGCAGTATCGTAACCATAGAGCAGCACCCGGATATTTGGTGCGTCTTTTGGTAGGAAGTCGCGCAGCCAAATGTCGTCGCTCTTTGAAGATTTCCAAGAGCCGAATGCATGGCTTCCCAGACCAGGCACTGCAATAATGCTTGAAGAGTCAGTATAGCTGAGAAGATGGAGGGAATGAGAATAGGCTTACTCGACTTCTCCGCCACCATGGCCCACGTAAAGCGGTGTAACACCATCAAACGTATCGGTGTATCTATATAGGCCACCATTCGTGTTTCGATACAACCAGGCTGACAAGTCGTTCGCAGGGAGCCATGTTATAATCGAAATGGTAGCGCAGACGGTCTTTTTGTCTCTCGGCGCTAGAGAGCGACAGACTGGGGCAGCGGCGATGGCTTTCAATTCGCGGTTGAAATCGTCGACGCGGTCGGCAGGGATGTTGTCAACTCGTAGGCAGCGGGTTGCCGGTGGCTGATGTGGTTTCTTGGCAGTTGGGCGAAAAAGGATGCTTGTTAATAAGACGATGATGATAGACGCGAGAGTGATAATGAGTGATTCCGGCAATGTGGCCATCTTACACGATGAATTCAAGAGTTTTCTTCCAAGAGAATCGGGGCGTTGCTCTACAAGTTATTCCAGCCTTGAACAAATTACACACAGAATTCACTAGCTGATTGGTTGCATGCATTGAGGTCGTTTCAGCTAGCCACGTGACGTCAGTACTTCAGTCCGTTGCATGATTCTCAAGCTTTTGCTTTATGTATATTCAGAATGGCTTTTGATGCCTCAACGCTGCCGTTCGCATTAGCACATCAGCTAAGGCGGGACGAGCCGCTCCCACAGGTACTAGGACATCCCCACATTCCCTTCGATGATGCAAACAAATAGAACCCTAGTGAGGTGGGTGAGGTGAGTGTTTTAGATGAAGTTCGGACCGTTTCGGCTAACGGGCAAACCTAATAGCCGAGTCTAACTACTATATTTGCGGCAAGAACGAAATAAGATTAAAGACCAAACCTAAACCCGAACTTGATCCTGAATCTGAACCCAAAGCCATACAAAAACGAAATCCTCCATTACAAAACCATCAAGCTCGACTATATCCATCCGCTGCTGCTCATTACTTTTGGCAATGGAACATAATCCGAATCCCGATTTCCAAGATAGGCTCGAGAACCTTAACCGGCCTACTCACAAACTTAAAGATATAAAGATTGGCGATTCTGGTGTACAACTTCTCCTTTCAACAAAAGATCATCTATATGACGCACAAACCGTTCAAGCAGGAAACGATTCATGGCAAGTTATTGGGGCTTGGGGAGAATCGTCAGTCAAGGACTTAGCGCAAATGTTGAGTACTCGTGCGCCGACCGCCAACCGCCAGAATGCCGGACAAGCAAATTATAAATACGGAACAGGGCAAAAGCTTGGAGTGGTAGATGATATTCGACGATAGAGATACATATTATTGATTGGATATGTATTCATTGGCGACCAGGCCCTGAGACACATTCATCCATCAGTTGTGTCTTTGAGTCACCATCGTCTAAGTATCTGATGTTCTGCGGCTGCTGAGAGTTACAAATACTTGACATCAACGCTTCGGATCCAATGACCTGCCAGCAATTATCTCCAGCTGTGAGATAGCTGGCATCGACCTCTCCACCGGCACCACAGAGAACCAACTGTCGAGCATTATCTCCCACCGTCATACCATGAGCGGTCACCTTGTGCGTGGTTCGTTGGCCTGAGGGTGCTCGCCGCTGCTGCTCATGGGATGAACTTTGACTAGTGTTGCTAGCAGAGGCTGATTCTGCTTCAATATCAGTTCTATCCAGAATCCTCACTGTGCATGTTGTGCTTGACTCTTCAGTATAGCTATTACATACCTGGAATTTTCCTACGTGGCATGATAGAAAGAAACTCTTTTGCGCACGCCGCTGCCGTGCAAGCAGCGTATTCTTGCCATACATCGTTCTTGTGAGCATCCGCATAATCACTAAGTCCTCGTATCGACAAGCAGGGGTAGCTGTCCATGACGCCTGCTGCTTCCATATCGATACAAAGAACATCAGGCTCCTGTGCGATCTCATCCCTTTCGGTCGCATTTCTTACGACCCGATTTCCTGATGCAATCTTTCCATAGTGGATGCGAGGTTCGGTTGATCGCGATGCCCGTTGCACATGATTGAGCTCGTCGCAGAACTCGCAGTCGTTCGTGGATAAGGGCTCACAGCGGTTGCAAAACAACACATCCAGAGTCGGATCAGGTGCAGCGTACTGGTCTAACTGCCGTAAGATGTTTGGTATGTTGTTCTGATGCGCATCGTGTCCAGCCTTGAATCTGGATAGAGCGGTGCGTGCGTTTGAATGTGGACGTTGATTAGTGCCTTTACGCTGGAAATGGTCGTCAAAGCTTTTACCGAGATCGTATTGTATAACCTCACTGCCTACCACAACGTCGCCGAGACGCGGGTTATGCGGCCCAGGAATACCGCCCCCAATTCCAACCATCAACATTAGAGTTATCGAAGGAAAACTCCGCCGTAGGTGGGTAGCGGCTATGGCGGCATTGCTCGTCCCAGTTCCTTTGTAAGGAAGACACGCCAGAGCAATGTTATGCGGACCAATGCTCCCAAAAATGTATGTGTTACTGTCATGAATATGTTGATCGAACGTCTCGTGTAAAGCGTCCAACATCGACTTTGCAGCAGCCAGTTCGACTGGGAGAGCGCATATCCAGCCAACAGAATATTCATTGCGAGGAACATTTAGAAGCGTCTGATCTTTCATCGTTAACACAGAATTGTCGCCATTCTCGTGTTTTCGCCTTTTGCGTTCTCCGGATGGTGCTAGACTTGTGGCAGCGTCATTGTCGTTTCGGTCTCTTCTCTTGGCGCACATAGAGGCTTCAGGGTTGATCCTTCCCAGTGCGTGTGGTACGGTATTTGTAAGATGAAATTGGATACTTTTTTCTTTCGGCGATGCATGGAAAGGAGCTATATTCAACTCATTTGTAAAATGTTACCTTGGCGAACCGCACTCTAGTGGAATACACACGATCAATGCCCTGATTAGCACTTTTATTGCATATCGCGCTTTTACTAGGCTGACTACGATGCGAGATCAGGTAAACTCGCCATCAACATAGTAGGCACTGCCTAACGAACTTATGCTTGCTACTGAAAGTGTAGGAAGATGTGCTTGGCAACCCAATCCATTGGCTAGTAGTTGAGTAGACGGTGGGCATAGAATACTCAGTCGCTTAGAGCTCGATTGCCATTGGATCTACTAAGTCCCAAATAAGCGCCCTGGCAGGAGCTGGTCTTGCTAGTTGCACTATCAGCGGCAACGACTACTGCAAGGAAGCACCCGCAATCTCCTTAGATCTCCACTGCCTTACGGTAGGCCATTCGGTGACGTGCCGAGAAAGAAACGTGGTCGATTCGTAACGAGCAGGCTCATTGGGTCAATGGCTGCTGTAGACCATTTGAAATTGCAAATTTTTATATTTACACACATAACAGCTAGAACCTAGCTGATTGTCCAACATTGATGCGCTGATCTTCATTACAATGTTGAATAATCAGGTTCTTCAGATGCACTTTTCCTCGTGACACATCTCACGAAGCTATTTCTAGTGAAGATCTGCATCCTTTCCCAATACTGTCTTTACTCGAAACAGGCCCAGTGTTCCAGCTCCAGTCATACTAACACTTTTCGTCACCACCTCAAAGTTGATCTCACCAGACAAACGGGTCTTAATAATGGTCTCCGGTTCAATGCCTCCGAATATCACCTCTGCTTTGGCCGTAGTTATACTGCCACCGAGGTCTTTTGACTCAAGTATACCATCTTTCTGTACTCCGAGTTGCCTCTTGACACAATTTAAGAACTTCTCGATATCATGCTGATATATATGAGTCGTCTCTAGGGTGTCTCTGAGCTGCCGATGCATGTAAATACTGCCAGCCTTGGTACCTAATAGGTAAACGATAAGAGCAGAATAGCCGAGAAATTGCGTACCACGAGGACTAAACCTCAAAGCAGAGATGCAATCGGCAGTTGGTGGGGGAAATGCATCAAGAATGTCTTCGTAGACTGGGCTGAGAATATAGTAAAACAAGCCTCTAGAGTAATCTTCCGTGATAGAAGAGGAACCAAAAAGCCTGCATGCCTCGAAGGTAGGATTCAGCGATCGACCGCTTTGTAGGGCCATTATAGCCGAGAACTCGCGGTTTGTACGGAGTTGATGGTAGCGGATGAAATACCGCATAACAAGAAAAAGAACAAGGAAAAGAAACAAGTACGGGAGCCAGCCCTTCATTATGAGCGCGATGAGAGCTGTTTCCGGAGAAGATATCAGAATTTGCTGACAATGCAACTATGTATATGCCAATGGCGAAAGGCGTGTCTTATATGTTCTTCCAACACAAGCTCGCTAGTGGTCGTGCGATTTTCGCTATGATCCTCAGTGAAGCGTCATGAACTAGCCCGTCTATCATTGGCAGTGGGCGGAGTCAGGCAGGTGGGTTCACATTTAAGCGCGCGCATCAAACAGAGCCTCGCTGGTCAGGCTGTAGTACATCGGCCAACTGGGCGTCAGCACTCCTGGCCAAATCAATGTGATAATCACGAGGTCACAAGCGGAGTATCGACTCCTAATGAATGATCTACTGGTACATTCCCATGTCTTATTTTTGAGAGTTAGTCCAGCAACCATCATGCATCCGGTGCTTGACAGCGCGTCAGCCCTACGACGGCGCGTAATGACGTTGCCAACAAAAAGATCAGTTTAGAAATTTAAGGGGTTCATTCCAAGATGAAAACCTGGCTGATCTCTATGCGCGCGCGAAAATAACAGATAAACTCTGCGCCTATCAGCCGCATGCCCTCTAACTCTCATACCCAACGAAGTCACTGCTACACAGGTGTCGATATCTTAAACGGCCAACACAAACGCTGAGTTTCAGGTCTATGTACCGTAAGCATGCGGCTTATCACCAACGACGGTGTCTCACCTGCCGCCATCAATATCTGCCAACACTAACACCCCTCAATGCAACACCGAAAGCTATACTTTCTGTAGTGGTGGGTTGCACAGTATCGATAGGTCCGAGCTTTCCATCGAGCACAGAAGATGTTTGTTGAGTTACTATACGTGAGTCATTTCGATTTTCTTTCATGTGCTCTTGTAACAGAACAGTAGACTCTCCTAGTAATTTTGCACATTCTTCGAGCATCAAGAGGGCCAAGGTCTGAAGATGGATGACTGTTTTTAAATCCTTTGTCGATGACTTATTTGTATCCTAGAACTTCGTTATTCAACTTCCCTTGAGGTTACCATATACGCTCAACTCAAGCATACCTGCTGGTAACCTTTAGGACAACCAGACTCGTCCCGCAACTGTTGTATATCTATGTGAGTAGATCGCAGGTCCGTCGGCTCGATGCTGATCTTTCGGTTCTTGTTCATCATTTTGTCCGTCATAAATATCGAGGGTGCTCGTTCATGTCAAAAAATACACGTATCGGGAGCTCTTTGCGACGAACCGAGAAAGACCGCGAATTTATACGCTTCTGCTTCTAACCCTTAGTCCTCAACATGCAGATGCAGATGGCTCTACGAAATCTAAGATCTTGACTAGTGATAGTGGTAGGTGAGCATCTAAGTCTAGGCATCATCAATTCTGGGCCCGTCACGAGGACAATCATCAAGAAGCGCGGTTGTTCTAGCAATATGTCATTACGATAACCAGATTGCCACCGAGGCAACCCTCATTTGCTTAGCCGCTGAGGATTCAGAAGCAGGCAGAGGGATGGTGTGTTGGATCGCAGCGTGATTCCGAACCTATCCCCAGATTGATGTGTCGGTCAAGCAGGCATCATCTAGAGCAATGCCAGTAGACGATTCGCTTTCTTTTGTTCTCTTCTACGACTATCGACGACTAAACGACACTCACCATGCACGGCAAGCGATACCCCAGCTCGTTCCAGTAGCTCGAGAAGCTGGGCCAGGGTAATTATGCAACCGTCTTCAAGGGCCGCAACAGGCAAACTGGAGAGTTCGTTGCGCTCAAGGAAATCCATCTCGACTCTGAAGAGGGCATCCCGTCGACTGCCATCCGAGAGATCTCCTTGATGAAGGAACTCAAGCACGAGAATATCGTCGGACTGCATGAAGTTGTTCATACCGAGAACAAGCTCGTCCTCGTCATCGAACACATGGACGGCGATCTCACGAGATATATGAATACCCATGGCGAGCGCGGCGCTCTCAAGCCTGCCGCCGTCAAGTCATTCATGTACCAGCTCCTCAAGGGCATCGACTTCTGCCACCAGAATCGTGTCCTTCACCGCGATCTCAAGCCCCAGAACCTGCTTATTAACAGCAAGGGTCTTTTGAAACTCGGTGACTTTGGTCTTGCCCGCGCCTTCGGTATCCCCGTCAACACCTTTTCCAACGAAGTCGTCACCCTTTGGTACCGTGCCCCCGACATCCTCCTCGGCAGCCGAACATACGACACGAGCATCGACATCTGGTCAGCCGGCTGTATTATGGCCGAGATGTTCACCGGACGTCCTCTATTTCCCGGAACCACCAACGAAGACCAAATTGTCCGCATTTTCCGCATCATGGGAACACCAACAGAGCGTACCTGGCCCGGCATCACACAATTCCCCCAATACAAGCCGACCTTCCAGATGTACGCCACTCAGGACCTTCGAAATATCCTCCCGGCGATTGACCCAACTGGTATAGATATGTTGCAAAGGATGCTACAGCTTCGACCAGAGTTGCGGATCAGTGCCCACGAGGCCCTTCAGCATGCTTGGTTCAACGACCTGCTGATGCACCCGCAGCAGCAGCAGCAGGCTCTCCAAGCACAGGCCCGTGCATACCTACCTCACTGGCTTATCATACACGTGAGTTCATTGGAAAATTATGCACCTTGAAGCCGATGACATCTGGACCTTCCCAGAAGGTGCCGCTTACGGATCGGTCTTCCCATCCCACAGGCTTCGCGCCAGGATCTGTAATATCCCACATTGGCCGCAGCTTGCCGAGCAAACTCCTCCGATACTCGACGTGATTGCCGCATTCCGGGTCCATGATGATGGCTGTTGTTTTCAACAATTTCGTTCTCGCTGGTGATGATGCTTTTCCCTCACTGTCATTGTATGGCAAGGTTCTGCCTTTGGTCCTGCATGAGCAAGTCACATGAGAGGCACGACCCACTTCAGCCCAGCTCAACAACCTCTACCCCGCCTCCCGTCAGGCAGAATGGAAGCAAAGTTGGATCTCAAGAGTGAAGCGGCGGCCATATCCCGCCATTCCCTCCCGAAGGCCCTCACCCTCAGATCCCAACCTTAGGTCGTCTTCACTTATTATGGAGGCTTTGCGGACAGTCGCTCGGTCAGCCTTCCAGAGTGGTGTCTTTCACAATAGCCCGTTGCATTACAATATAGTCACCACAACTGATACTAATCCTCATTCGCCGGTCACGCTGGTTGAAGCCTCTGCGAGTCTTGCTGAGGTAGAAGACATCAACAAGAGCGATCGATCACTCTTACTGGTCAAAATCGTCTACGACGCGACTCTCTCATGCCATGCATTTCGTACCACACAAAGCGACATCCAGAGACTATTCGAAATCTTCCACAGTGATCCCTACGGGCTTGGCCTGGTTGCTAACGACATGACGGGCTTCCATTGTCTTACGGGCAGCGAAAGCGGGCCTCTTACCAGCTACTATCTCCAATGCGCTGCGTACAAAATTTTGTGGACCTATAACTCTGAAAGCCAGTTCGTCAGGGGCATCACGTTTGTCATCAGCTCAAAGAGGGGCTCTTCAGCCTTTGCAGATCTGGTCAACATAATGAAGCTCAATCTCGCACTTCTCTTACACCCCCTTTTCCTGCCACTCTCGGCTGCTACTCAGACCGTGGCATTTTTCGATAAGCTGCTGAGACAGGGTTATGATCAGGCCAGGCTTGTTGAAGTTGCCACCGGCTACCGCCCCATAACGGAATTATTAGAAACCCGAGAAGGACTGCGAAAGCTTACCGATGTGTCGCGCGAGACGAGTATTTTGATTCGAAAGTCTCTGATGGTTATTCGACGGATCAAGCAGTGGAAGCTTGCAGCTAGAGACTTTGAACGATTGGCCCTAAATCATCGTCCGGCGAGTGATTCGGTACGCCTCGGCCTTCTTTCCGCTGAAGCAAGCGCAAAAACGGTCTCGGCCAGCCTTAAGCTCATCCAAAGTAGACTGGAAGTGATGGAAATTGACTTCAACTATATCGTGGGTCGGGCCGAGAATCAATCTACTGTTGTATGTACACTCCACCAGACATGATGAAGCCAAGCTAATAATATCATGGATATCCCAATTGATCACTCGAGAAGACGCTCTAACTAGCATCAACTTGGCGATGGCTGCCACGCGCGATAGCTCTAGCATGAAAGTAATTGCCATCATGACTATGGCTTTCTTGCCAGGAACGTTTCTGGCAGCCTTGTTCGCCGTACCGTCTCTGGACTGGGACTCTCAAACTGTTATCCAGAGCAACTTCTGGATATACTGGGCGTTTGCAATACCCTTCACCATTATGGTCTTTATCATTTGGATGTTTCTTACCCAGCGACAGGAGCTGTCACAGTTTTACGACCGCATCAGAGTGTACACAGGGCGCAAAGGACGCAAAGCGCTATCGACTTGAGTAGATGGAGGACTACACCCGTTAGATTTTGAACTGCGTGCGCCCCTGGCCTGGTCGGAGATGTCGAAGGCTGTAGGCTTCCTCGAAAGCCACGAATCCAGTCGCGAAACTCCCGTCGGGTCGCTTGGTCATCGAACAGCACAGAGAAGATAGAGAAGCTGTTTGTTTCAACCTATGTACCGACAAAGACAGGGGAACATTGTCAGACTTCACAGTTGAAGAACGTAAGGCATAAGTAGACATTATATCACAAGGCTTGCCTAAACTCCTATTCAGTTATCCACGTCCTACCCGTTATCTCTGTCGCCGTGAACCAGTCTTGAGAATGATGCGCGTCTTTGTGGACTTTACGGCTTGAGTTTGTTTGTCCGCCTGTATGGGCTCTGCACCCTTAATTTGACACCAGGCATGGGTTACAATGCCCTTTGCTGTTGATCTGCTACCTTCACGACGAGAAAGACGGAACTCAGTGGTAGGAGGCTGATGCACCTCGCAAACTTTACATCCCCTGTTCGCCATCACATTCGAACTTGAGTCGGAACCTCTTTATCCATGTTTGCCCAAAGAGACTTATTGCTTATGAACTGTGAGCATACCCACGTTGGCGTTTAAAGTGGTTGGCACACTGTTGCGGAATCCATGTTGCAACTAACGGGGTGACTCGAGGTTGCCAGGAGATCTGCTGCAGGGTCTATTTGCCATGCCCTCCAAATTCTATCATGAGCAGGGAGGGTGTGGCAATAAGCTGCGCACGGGCATCGACTGTCCAGGGGCGTGTTGGTCACTCCAATGTTAGCGCAGTTCTCTCGAATTTCACCCAAAATGCTTCTTGCTTCTTGTCATCAGTTCCGAGGACGAGTTGAGCAAGGGATACTGTTGGCCGCGCTCTAACTGATAATATCGACTTGTCTGTCACAAATATCGACCATCCCCTCCTCTGATATTTCCTCTGGTCTTTCCTCTAGTTTTCTTCAACTAGCATTACACCCCTACTCGCCTCAACAGCATTCTTTCTACCTACGGACCAATATGACCATCTTTTCCAACAATGTCCTTAGTCTGAAGCAGACTATCACAGTCAACTATGTTTCTGCTCACTGCTCGTACCACGAAAGGTCACTCAAGTGGTATGAGGAACAGCTTGCCCTCAAAGGACACATAGGTCTGGGTGACTACCTGCGCTCCGAGCTGCCAGCCGACGAAAAAGTATGGCCCAAACACAATGACATCGAGACTCTTGCGAACGACCTGATCGCCTACATCGGTCGATGTGAAGCTCAAGGGGAGCCGTTCAGGGTCGTGACTGATCCTGACGTCATTGAGCCTGAGCACACCAACGAGCTCAGTTACTTTGTCTGAGCCAAAGATTTGGGCGTCGATGTTGATCTTGAGTCTTGGTCTCCTCACAAAGCCTGGAAGCTTGCGCCGACCCATCTGGGTTACCTCGCTGCTCAGACACGCACCATGATATCTCAGAGCAACAACCCCTGACAACTTGGCTTGCACAGCTTGTTACGGACTTGAACAAGAGCCTCCGCAATCATAAAACTCCCACCTTGCCGCCTCGTACGGATTTACCACTTCGCACCACCTTGTCGCTCAATACTGCCGTTGATCTCGAACGTGCATCACTGCCCTTCAGAAGCGGTGGTGAAACAGATGATGATGCGACCTCAGACAAGATACAGTATCCTTCACCCGAATCTCAGAAAAGATATTGTGTCAAGCTTCGTTTCAAGCGCCAGTTTGATATGGTTCGTATGGGTGGTACGATTGTCGAGGTCCCCATTAGATCTCACACYRATGGYGGCCAAGCTGATGGCATAGTCATGGATGATGGTGGACATGGAGGCAAGCTTGCATTTCTGGTTTGCCTCTACAAGCGGCTTCACACAGAAGTGAAGCTTCCCGTTCTAATTGATCTGAGCGAAATGCAATCCCTTCTTGAACTCCTTCTGTTCCTTTGTCAAGCGATCTTCGAGAAGTTTGGACAAGCCAAACGTCTATCAAACGATCCTAAGATGCTCAATGTGTACATTACAGAGATGATCGAACTCTATAATAACACTCACGGACCGCTTCGAACCGTGGACCATGTGCCAACCTCCCCAAAGAAACCTCGAGAAGTTTTGGCATGTCTGCGCCATCTGTTCCAGGCGACCTTGATTGGATCAATTTGCAGAGCATAGCCTATAAACAGTTTGCTATCGTTGTTGGCTTCTACCTTGGTCTAACAAACCGGGTTCCCAGAAACGAAGCTGGTTTATGGTATCTGACCGGAATAGCGACGGATATGGCGAGCGCAATCTACCCCCCGAAGAGTATCTGTACTACTCGACGAGTTTTACTTGTGCCTGACTGGTACCTTCTACCATTCTGACTCTGGAGATTCAGAAACAAAGGAAGAAGATGAGGGTGTGTGCCAATTAGAGGGAGAGGTTACCAACCTGGACCTTTCGTCGAAAGATGCCTCCAATAGGCCAAGCGAGGACCATTACATCAGTTCCCAACATGATACGCCTTTCGCTAGTGTCGATACGCTACAGCATATCGCAGGTCACCCTCAAATATATCACAAAATCCTCATTTTATATGTTGCCCTTCACGGAGGCTCATCTCAGGCTCCATACGACTTTACGGCCTTGTACGAAGCCTTTATGCAAAAAGGACTGTTAAACTTTCTAAAACTCTTCCGCAGACGCCTAGCTGGAACCTTTCGACCATACAGCGCCTGCCGACATGACCTCCTAGCAGACTTTGAGGACTTACGGCTGAGAGTCAAGACTCGAAATGGTCACAACTTCACGAGACTTCATATTAGTCACCAACTTGAGCGCGGTTTGGACGACAAAACAGTTCTCCTGCTATTAGGTCAGGCTGCTAGGATATCTGTTCCTGAATGTTCGCGTGACACGCTGGTAAAGATTGCACTTCTGACAGGAATGCTCCTCGCAGAAAGTGGTCGCTACATACTAGACGACTCTTCAGTCACGGACACTGGCTACAAAGTTGCTCTACATTCCTTGCTGCTCCGAGAATGTCCACATGCTGCCTCACTTCAGTCTTTTGGGTCTAGATCACCATCCACTACTGCCACTACCAACGTCATGCCTGATGAAACATTGATTGGCAGCACGGACGATCAAAGCTCTCGTGACGACCGAAATGAGTTTGACTTTGTTGACGTGGATGAAGGAGACGAGGCAAAACAGTAATTTGAGCGAAAATTTTGACAATGGCAAAGGTCTGTGGGGCTCTAAGATGGATCAACTCTCTTTCGATATCATCGTGTTTTTCAAGGTACCGAAGGTAGAGCTTACCTTTTTTAGTTCGATCAAAGTAGTCTGACTGTTTATTTATCGAAATCCAAGTTGCTCAATAAAACACAGCTCTCAATTCATCCTCCAGTCCGGTAGCGTGTGTAGAGACGACATGACCAATTTTGTGACGAGATCATACGCATATGAAAGCCTGTTCACTCCTTTCTTCATCTGGCAGCCTTGAGGGTTTTATCAACGTTACTTCCTGGACTCCTAACACCTACGGAGAGGAATTTCATAAGACAATTTGCCGGCCTCTCATACAATCCAGGATGGTCCATACAGTTACCACTGACCTTGATCGGGACAGGGTTCGTGGATCTCGTGGCGTTAAGAAAGGGGCTTGGGAACTTTTGCGTCCAGGACACGCCTGCGGTGCAACCTCCAAGTCTCCGTAGGAGACTAGGCGTGAAAAAGCTGATTAGTTTCCTACAGCCATGGCCGAGGCAGGTCGAGAAGAGGCCGTATGGTTGATCATAGAAGAGTTGATTGGCTTCTCACGGGCTGCGCAGCCATGATCAAGACGAGTTGAGAAGAGGCCACGGGGTTAACCCAGTCTGTAGCACGACTTCCTGGGAAGTCGCAACAAGGGAGGGCGACGAAATGCGTGAGGGGCCTAGCTCATTGAGTTGGTACATCAGCCACTCATATCTCAAGGCGCAGGTCACGACACCAGGGCCATGAGAAGATAGTGGGATAAGAGAATCGAGTATAAGAGTAGCACTCCCCCCGACTTGGATTTGACTGCTTCTTGGTCCCTTTCCCATCACCTCCATTTCCTCTCCCGCCCACCTGTTGACCTCAATATCCTGCTCCAATTGCCCAACGCTGCCACAATGTCCCCAAACCTGGCACTCGGTGATCGATACGCTTACAGTGGCCATTGAAGAAAGACGAATCCATGCTTACAAGTTGGCTTTGCCTGCTGTTATTCTCCCTCAAGCCAAACCAGCTCTTTTTCTCGAAACGAGCTCAACCCATCTTGGCACAGACATAGAACTCAAGGAGCATTTATGCCCGATAAGTCTGAGTTTTGCGTTTGTTTGCAGAACTAATCTTGTGATGGCACTGTTATATGGTTATCTCTCTTCAGCAATGCAAGCTGGTGATCATCCGAGTTGGGAGTGTCAGACTCGCTTGTACGAATGCTACACATACGTCCGGATCGGCTCCAACGAGGAAGACCTAGCCACCGCTCGTCGGTCATTTCGTGATACCAGGTTAAGCAAGATTCTACCTGATTAGAGGGCAACGGGCAAGCTCAAGGATTCGTGCGACTGCAAGAGGACCATCCGCAACACAACCGCCGATAGAAGCTGATTTTGCGTCTAAAGGCTCTGATACTACTCTAGAGAAGGGAGAAGGGGCAACGCTATACCACTCGAAAAAACCATGATTCAGGTCTGGCTATCAAGTGAGGTTTTGATTGCTAGACTGAGGCAATCACGGTGTGTTCCTGCAGTGCTACTGGTCAAATTGAGCGTATCAACTTTGAGCCAGAGCTGATATAGTCATAAATGTCATGTTAGAAGCGGGGTTGCGGGTGTGACATCATGCCTACATTCCCACAGCGGGGGAAGAATGGCGTTACCCGTTGGCTCGAGCCGGAGGGGGGCCACTAAGCAAGCTTAGTTGGGCACAAAAGTCCGGGACAGTCACAAAAGGGTGGGACACCCGTTGGGCCCGATTTTTGGTGTGTTTTGCGGCATTTTCAATGTATCTTCATTCTGAAGGCGTCAAAAGAGGTGATATTGCTGTATCTGTTGAAATGAAGCTTCCTGTGATGATATATTTGCTATTGACTGTAACTGTAAGAGGGAAATAGCTGCAGCGGCGGCAAACTTGCCTGCCGATTGAGAACGCCTTCTCTAGTAAATTGGGTGCTTTCCTGTCCTTCCTGAGGCCTGTGACTGGCTCCTGTAGCGGATTTTTCTTCTCCAATGAGGTAAATGAGGGCATCACGAAATTGGGCTTGGTGTTGAGCCGGGCATAGTGTTGAGGGCACCGTTGGAAAGGGGGACTCGTAGTCGGGCAGGCAAGGCGGCGATGAGGGCATTGCGACTTCCTCTTCTTCCGATAAATCGATGAGGCTATCTTCTTCATTAAAATCGGCATCAACCAGCGGTTGCGTAAGTTGAAAATCGACGGAGTCATCGCTGTTGAGAAGGCCGGATAAATCTGCTGCTGAGAGGGGCTTTGCTGCGAAGCCGGCGTTGCGAATAGCCTCACGAGCTTCCGGGGCAAGCTGGGTATCGATCATGAAGCAATCTTCCTTCTTCTTCAGCTGTAAGAATATCTCGGCTCGTGAGGCATCGAGAGAAGCGTATTCTATATCTCTTTTAGTGTGTTCAAGCCACTTTTTAAAGCGCATCTTCTTTTCAACGCCGCCGACGATAACCTCCTTCTTTTGCTGCCACTCAGCTTTTATCTCTTCCATCTGCCGGATTGCAAAAGATCGTATATTCCGAAGCTGAGATCTCTGCTCAGACTTTGCTCCTGCTTCAATAAATTCAGCCTGCTGTTCACGAAGCTCTTCCAAGCTTATATTGTGAAAATAATCTCCTACCGGTCTTCCTCGCTTTCCGCGCTTTCTCTAATGATATCTCTTCTCAATACGCTCTTGACGATTGGTAACATGTTTTTTCACGACATCTTCAAGCACAATAGCTTCATTAACGATCTTCTGTACAGCTTTAAGTCCCCGTTGTGCTGGGGAGCTTAGAATATCGTGATAGCGGTTGCTGACATCTCTTGCTGTATCAGAGGTCATAGGGAATCGATTTTCCGCCGGTAAAAGTGAAGATAACGCCGGATCGATAGCCTTACGAGTCTTCAGCTTCTTCTTCAGCAGATAACTAACCGCCGGCGCCTCAGTCGGCGGGAAAATGCCTGACTTTTCGAAGCCTGCGATAATATGGGCAGCTGTGAAGCCTTCTTCAAAGATCTCCTGATATTATGAGAATTGGTATATGAAAAGAGGGGTTTTTTAGAGAAGATATGAGTTGCTAACACATACTGTGAAGGAGCCTGCAAAGTCACGGCAGTTGAACGTCAGATTTCCCTTGCGCAAAGCTTCTCGCAGCCTTTTTTGGTGTGCATTTTTAACCATTGAAAAACTCCTAGGTCCATCGGTTGAAGCATATGCGTTGAATGAGGAAGAAGGAAAGCAACGAGGATATTGAATTTTATACAATATTCTCTGAAGGCGAAGGAGCCGTGACCGGAGAAGCCGTCGATTATAAGCAACCGCCACACGAGCCCTTTCCTTCCGTGCCCGGAGGCGTGTCATATGGAGTGATAGGGTTGAATTCGCTTTTCAGGTGCTCGTTACACCCAAACCAGTGTTCAAAATCCAGCTGACGATGTTGTACAGTAGTAGATTTCTCCCAAGACCACCGGTTAAAGTGCTTCGCCCACTCGAGCGTTATCTCGGCGTTGGAAAAAGCCGTTTCTGACTGTGCAAAGCGCATATTAGGATCACCATCGATATCTGACCACTCGATCGTTGGAAAAGCTTTAAAGATAAGCCAAGGAGGAGTAGTTGCTCCTGCGGCGTTTCCCGTACCGATCACCGTACAAGTCTCCCTATCTTCCGGCGAGAATACCTCTGTTGCAGTCTTCTTTTTGGTACGTACGACGAGGCATTGTACGCGTTCTCGCAGTATTCCGACTCTAATTCCGGCTTGATCAGCATTCCAACACTCTGAGGCGCCGATTCTGTATCTGGTGATGACTTCAGAAAGTCGTTTAAACCACTGCTTCGTCTCCTCCACGCCGGCTTCTTCATACTCATAGCGAGCCGCTTCTTTCGACTTCAAAATCTAGGTATCAAGCTCGGGATGATCGTCACGGAAGCGCCTGTACCACATCCGTGAGACCGGCTGAGCGTGAGGGTCACGGCGACTTCTTATTGTATTTGCTGCATCTTCAATCTCGCCTTTGGAGGCCGGAAGACCGGACTTCTGCATCCAAATAATGAAGCATACGATAGCTTCTTCTTCGGCATCTGAAAGGAGTCGCGGCCGACCATTATTTGGCTCAGGAACCAGGCTAAAATCCGCTGTTTTGGCCGCTTCAAGCTGCTTGACGATACGCGCAATGGATGACTTGTTAGAGCCCTTGTACTGCCGCTCAGCATCGCGTATTGAAAGGAGCTTCTTCATTAATTTAGAAGCATCACGAGAGAGGCCCTTTTGGAGTCATTGGCGCGAAGAAACGACTGCTTGAGCTGCTCTGTTATTTGCATTTAAAGGCATAATGCACTTGGACAATAATACTCCTTTTTTGGCTAACTGGCGTCTAGATTTCTGTTGATTTCACATACAAAATCGAGGGAATTTGCGACAGCCGGCGGAGCGGGGTTGTCCCACCCTTTTGTGACTGTTCCGGACTTTTGTGCCCAACTAAGCTTGCTTAGTGGCCCCCCTCCGGCTCGAGCCAACGCGTATTGTTCTACTCTACGACCAAAGTGGTAGGAACGAAATGCTCGCATGTGCGACGTGTCCTTCGACAAGTCGCCAAGCCCCCGCAGCACTCGCCAATTGTGGCTCATGTCGCTAAAATAGAAATGCATATTTCAACTTGTAGTTTCATGTGCATTTTGCCATTACCTTATGAAGTGCATTGCATGTTAATAGACAAAGTGAGTTGAAGCCAAGCATTTTGCAGCCGTCATTCAAAGAGATTCGGTTGACAATATCCAAGCGCATAGAGAATACGACACTAACAGACCAGGCTAAAGGACTAAAGTCAAAATAAAGTTAATCAGTACATACTTGTACCTATTTAGGAGTTCGCAACGATAGGCACGTCTGTTGTTGATTGGATATCTATTCAGCTGCGAGCAGGCCCCGAGGCACATTCATCCATTAGCTGCGTCATTGAGTTATCATCTTGGTGTCCTATGTTCTGCGGTTGCTCTGGATTGAAAAGAATCGGCACTGCTCCTTCAGATTCAATAATCTGCCAGGAACGATTTCTGCCTTAAAGATAACTCGCCTCGACTTCTCCGTTGTCACCACAGCAAACTCCCTGTAGAGCACTATTCCCTACCGTCATGTTACGAGCGGTCACCTTGTGCGTGGTTTGTTAGCTTGGGGGTGCACCTTGCTGTGTTGCTAGTAGAGGCCGATTCTGCTTCAATATCAGTTCTACCCAGAATCCTCCCTGTGCATGTTATGCTTGACTATTCCATAACTACTACATACCTGAAATTCTCCTACATAGCATAACAGAGAGAAATTCCTTTGCGCACGCCGCTGCAGTGCCAGCAGCATATTCCTGCCATATATAGTTCTTATAGGCATCTGCATAATCACTAAGCCTCTATATCAATAAGTAAGGGTAGCTGTCTACGATACCTGCTACTTCTATATCAATATAAAGAACACCAAGCTCCTATACAATCTTATGCCTTTCAGTTATGTTTCTTATGCCTTGGTTTCTTGATGCAATCTTTCTATAGTAGATGCGAGATTTAGTTGATCGCGGCATCTGTCGTACATGACTGAACTCGTCGCAAAACTCGCAATCGTTCGTGGACAAGGGGCGCAGTACTGAACGGACTTGTTGCTGGCCGTTTAGGGTTTGTACAACACAATCTATCGCAGGAGTTGACCTCAAGTTGGTTCCAAAGATAGTTTCAGAGTTTATTGATAATGCTTTGTATACTGTATCAAAAAGCAACGTGCATGATAGCATTGGTTGGGGTTTTGGGGCCAAATCAACCACCATTTGCCAGCTCCGCATAAATGAATCACGTGCGCATTGCCGTTTTCTGACCTTGACATAACGGTCTCCGCCGATGGACGCAGGCCACTCAAGAGGCCGCACCATCAAATTTTCATTTCCTAGGAAACGGGCTTGCAGACGAGCTCTTGCTGACTAATGAGGAATTGGCCTCACGGACAGATATCATAATGGGATTGGGGGGATTCTCCTCAGGCCGATCGTGATGGCACTTCTGAAACGTTTCCACCAGTCCCTCCCGGTTCGAAGCTTAGAGATCGGATTTGACAGCAACAAGCGGCTCGAACACACAGTTCGAATGAACATGGCCATGAGAGCGAACAACTTATTGGAAGATTCGGTTATCTAATACTATGTGGCTAACCAATGTCTGTCACCCCTCATCGACTTGTTTCAATTGAGTCGAGTACCGGACTTGAATCGAACCCTGGGAACGATGCGGAAGGGCGCGCTGGATCTCGGTCCAAGAGTATTTGTCCTTTTTCATCCTACAGACTGTTTCATCCTCCTCCAATGTCCACTTGCGCCTGAACGACGTTGTGTCCGACTGCCAAGTCTTAAACGGTGTCGTTAGTCGACGAGAATCGGGCCGGCACGAACCAGTCTTGAGAATGATGCGGGTTTTGGTGAGATTGTTAATCTCAATCTTCTCACTTGGTGGCTTGACCCGAGTTTGAATGACCGTGCCGTCACCACCAGCATGCCCTTTCTCGCCCACCCTCCGTGGTCTTATTTTCAGGATGATCCGGCGTTTCTTGAGCGCGGGCAGAGACTCGATATCGTCAGCCTCAGGCCGACAAATTCCCGTAGCGAGCTTGATTCGGCGTTTTCTACATCCAGAGACGTGTATATCTGATGTCGCTGAGCCAGTGCTGTCATCCGGTGTACAAGGAGTGGGCAGAGGTGACAAGGCGCATTGAGAGCCGCTGCCTATCGAATCTGTGTCTATTGCCATCGGACCTGCGGAGAGGTTTTGTACACCGTTGTATTGGCCATCACACGCAGATGCTTTCGTAGCCGGTGGGTCTTCATTGGGCTCCAAGCTACCCCAAGAGCAAGCCCTTAAAAGAGCCAATGAAGATTCCGCAGTCGAGGCCAGATCAAGGTTCGCGGTCGAGGGCACAATAAAACTGCCGAGACAGTTTGGCGTTGCCAGTGAATCGTTGACGATCCCAACCTCGCTTGATTCTTCTTCTCGCCTCCCGCTACCTCGCAGTGAGGAAAGCGGGGGATCAGCCGGCTTCACATCAGTTCCACTCGGTGTAGATTGGTCCATCGGTTCATGTGACTGAAGCACAGGAGGGGAACCAGTGCTGTTGCGATAAACTCCTTGCTTTTGCTCCGTGACAAGTTCATAGCCATGAGCATCATGCAGATGATGATAGCAGGCCTTGTTGTTCTCACCAGAAAAGTTGCACCCTGGACACGACCACGGCCATTCGTCCTTGTGCTCGGTCTCCATGTGGCGTATGGCGTCGATATCTCGCTCCCAGAAGTACATCCTCGTCGCTGGCGTGCGGCGCTTCGACTGCCTGCATAGCAGACAGAACGCAGGGCGGACCAAAGTGTGCCTGTAAGTAACAGAACCACAATATCCTAGCGGCTCCGTCAAATGCATCTTACAGTGGTCGGAATATTCCTCGGCAGTGAAGAACAAGTTACAGAAATAACAGAACTTAAGAGTTCCAGGCAGCACACCACGCTCCTGGGCTACGGCACGTTTCCGGCAGCGGTGGATATGTTTGCATCGACTTCTCTTGTCCATGATGCTGAAATATGTGTGAGAAGCGCTCTGTCTCAAGGAACGGGAAATTCATACCTGTGCATTTCTATTGAGCAATAGGGACACCGCCCGTTCTTTGGCTCCTCGTGTTCTCGATAGAAGATTGGCGGCGCAGCCAACAGCAACCGCATATCATGCATAGCATCAACCTTGTCTTGTTGGCTCGAAGGCGAAGTTCTTGTCATCTTCTCAGCAAGCCGACCTATCTCGGGTCTAAGCTTGTGTATGGGATGCGGGTCTGCAATCGTTGCTTGCTGATCATTGAACAAGTTCTCCCGCATCAGTCGCGATGAGCATTCTTGCCGGTACTCCTCTAGCTTGCGTTTCTCGAGTCTTTCCAATACTTTTTGCCGCTTTTGTTTCGCCTTTTTACACGTGCTCTCATCGGCTTGTGCTATCTTCTGGTCCCATGCCAAAAGTTCTGCATCGCGATTGATATCCTCTTTCAGCGCAGTAGGTAGTCGGATTGGTAGGCCTTCCTGTCGAAATTGGGCGAGGCCTTGGAAGTAGTCGACAGCCCTGTGGTCAGGTTTCTCACGCAAGAAGGCCGACATGCCATCACACGACGAAATGTCTGCCGTGTAACTTTGTCCAAACACAGCTTTGTCAGCCTGTGTCAATTGTTGAGACCTCTCCACCTCGGTATACAGCTCTGGCATGATGTTAGCAAACATAGCCTTGACATAATACAAGGATCAACTTACTGTCGATTTGCTTTCCAACCTCTCGGCGTATCATATGTATTGAGCCTGGTACATCTCTATACCCTGCTTGCATGAAAAACGTTTTGAACATGTCGATGAATGTGTCTTCCGTCATCAGTTTCGTGTAATGAACATCTCCGCAATGATTCACACTTCGACAAATTGGGAGATCGCGGCACCGTTCGTTCCAATTCACCCGTCCTGCACCACCATTTTTGAGCATCCGAGTTAAGTCATCGAGTTCTAGCGCGCCATCGAACACAGCAAGCGTGAGAAGTATGGACACACAGAGTCATATCTGAGAACTGGATGCTGGATGCTTGAGCTGCCAAAACTACAGGGTTTCAGTACAGTTACAATAGAATAGGGGAATACCTACCATCTATTATCGGGATCCTTGTTGTTCTTGACGTGCCGCTGCTTGAGATTATAGAAGAATGATGGCCCATCCTCACGTGACTCCAGGACCAGCTGAATGTCCTGTAGGCGGTCAGTTATAAAACAAGTACGATTGGCCGGCCATACCTTATATGACACGCCGCAACCGAAGAGAGCATGGCGGCGGGCTCCGGAGTGGCAAAATAAAAGAAGTAGGAAGTAAAATTGGAGACGGTTCCTATCATGGATGTGCTTAGAATCTTGACCACACCATACTTGGTCTATGAGTCGGTTTAGATCCTCCGGCTTCAGATTATACTTCGGTCTTTGTATATTAATACAATACTGCCGACCCTCTTGTGTTGTTTCATATGGCAGGTCGTTTTGACAGCGGCACGGCCGTTTTCCAGAACAATTAATTCCCCCACACGTCTACCGGAGGAATCGGCTTGATTGAAATAGACACGGCAGGGCGTGTGAGGCAAGGTAGCAACACGCCGTAAGTCGACGTTCTCATGTCCATAAAGTCCGAATACAGCGGTTCGTCCTCGATTTGTGGAGAACTGGGGTCGTTCATCAGCCCAGCATGAGAGATCGGAACAATATATCTTACCGTTAACCCAATAGTTTCAGTCCGAACTGTCAAGGACCCAGCCCGCCTGCAAATGTCAGTAAGATACTCGCCATTATCAATGGGCATGTACATCCAAAAGCAGATAGGGGCATCGACATCCTCGAACAAACTTGGATCTATTTGTTGATCCTGCTTATGGGATAGGATAGCTAGTGTCCTCGCCCCGTCGGTAGCCACAAAATACCCGGTGGTCTCGGGCCCATTGCAGTCAAAAAAGCGCATTCGCAGGTTACTTGGTTGTTGCTCTGGTATCTTCAGCGTTCAGAGATTAATGACAGTGGGTGAAACGGAAACCGGAACTTGCCAGCCGATACGGGTGCAAGTGTTAAAGATCCCTTTCGTCCACCCTCGATGTCACGAATCTTGGAGCCCTGCCTTCACATCAGCTTAGAATGAGACTCGAATAATGGGCTACCAACATCGCTCCTTATCGCGACGGTAGATCGAATGTCATCCCGAGATATGTGTTTCTACCACGCGCCTGGCGCGCTCGAGTGACTACGACACAATTCGTCGCAGTGCTTGCGCGAGACAAAGACGATTTGACGAATACCGAGATGGTCCTCGGCCACGAACATATCCTTGCCTTCATTCTCCTCCGCGTATATGCCAGGGGTTAGCAGTATAATATGGCTTTCTCCCTTGACGTCGGTCCTGGCCGTGTTCCGGAGGTTCTTGACATATGATTGACCGTCCATCTTCACATACGATGCGTATACATGTTGTGTTAGATCGAGTGTATATTCTTCAGCGCTGTCGCACCCGTGCAGCTGCTCTTGCGCTGTAAGAGCGGCGCAATCTTCCAGAAGAAGACCAGCGACCATAGTCCACAGCTCTGTGGGAAGCTCTCGGGGCCAGAGTCCTGCGTGTTGCAGATTGTATGCAAGAGCTTGTTGAATATAGCGGGCTCGTCGTCGCTCCTCGCTCAATGACAGAGAATAAGTGTAGTGTGTAGCGGCTAGAAATGCCGGAGTTATCGAGTAGAAGCGGGATTCGTGGCAACGGGCGTGAAAGCATACTGTCGCCTTGGTACGCAATGGGCATTCGCCCACGAGACACATATGCAGCTTAATATTGAGTTCATCATCGTAGAAGGTTGTGTATCGACCAAATGAAAATTCGCAGGAAACTCGATCATCGCCAACCGCTAAGCAGATAGTTCAGTATCAGGAATCAATGATAGAAAGACAGACGATGTACGTACCAGCAACAATTAGCTCATCATCCGCCAATATAAACTGACACAATCTACAACGAGCCTGCGTGATGCAGTAGTAAGGCGCCAATGCATGTACAGCGTTGGCCATGACAAGCAATGCCCAGATGGTAGTGTGGAGGAACGCGGTGCGCGACCACGGATTGAGTTGTCCCACCTGGTGCAAGCAGATACCCGGAGTTATTCCGAATTAATAGTCCCTATCCACAACGATCCGATTCAGGGATTGGAAAAAATGCGCTCAATACATAGAAGTTTTGGCAAGGGATAAACACATCCAAGGGGAGTCTGTTGGGTGACGTGGCAAAGAAAATGGCACGCCTACTCGATAAGAAGGCGCAGTCCAGCGATGATGACAACGAAGATGATGGCAGCTCTTCACCAACGCCGAACCCAGCTGGTCGTTTACTAGAAGAATCGAGGGACATCGGTTCGAGCAAAACACAAGTGCAGGGAACAGTGTCTTATACGCAAGAGAATTGGAAGCACAGCTTGATTTCGACGTTGGAGCAGAAACACGCCCGCATTACGAGGTTCTCGCACATCAACTGCGTACTTCATTGCGATTCAAATATGGGCAGTAGACATCCAACAAGGCTCCGTTTTTCCCATCACATGACTTAACCGAATGGCGAAAATCTACTCCACCCGTCCAACAAACTGCGTAGGAAGCCATGCGGTCCTGTATGCAACCCTCCTTGAGGCTGTCTCCTGATTTATTGGCGTGATAACATATCTCATGAGCTACAACGAAGGTAAGATGGTTTTTAGGCGTAGCCTTTAATTAGCTAATCATGAAGCTCTAGAGCGTGGAGCTCTTGGTGTTCGCTTGGCTCTGGGGCAAACTAGCCGGGAACCACGAGTTATTCAGATCGCCTGTTGTCATTCCCCGACCTGTCTAGAGTGCCGAAGAAGTCGACTTAACTGCCCGTACTATTTCCGCGTATCATGTCGACTATCGACGTTTCTGCAGCAAGATCTTGCGGAACTGGGTGAGGACGAGGAGGTACCACTGGAGGCGGAACAGAACAGCCTTTCGATTCATAACGAATCTGATAGAATGTCCCTTCACCGATATGTTCGCCTGCAGCACCCTGGCTTACCATCTTCAAATCTGGTTTTCCACCCCGAAGTTGACATTCTATGGCTTCACTTTGACGCCGAGACAGAAATTGCATATGAGCTCCGACGATCCTATGGCCGACAACTTGACCATTTCAAAAACGTCATCGTCGAGGAAACGGGGCTTTGGGGGAATTTGGAAAAGGCCCTGGAGATCATGCGGTCTTTCCGTAACATCCAGATTGTCCACGTATGGCTTGAAAGCAATCGTTACGACGAAGTCGAGACACAAAGAACAACGGAGGAACTTCTGGAAGTTGCAAGGAAGCTGCAGATGAGAGACCGACCAGCACTTCGAAGACTTAACTGGGTAGTGAATTATGTAGACGATGATGGTCAAGTCTATGGGGGATTCCGAGCCAACAGCAATTGAGTATGAAGGCTTAATGGAAGACTATAGACGATCCCAGGGGCTCCAGATTCGCTGCCTCGGCCCCAGCCAACTTTCGTCGAAACAGTAGCGGAGGATAGACGAACAACATATATTACAGTCACAATAAAGATGCTTTTATCTTTTGAAGACTCATAATATCACACATCAGCCTAAGACCTTTCTCTTAGGTCTTCAGGTTGCAGGACCGGAGAAAGGAGGCGTGTGTGGTGGCCTCCTATCATCCACTCTTCCAGAGGATCGTGCGCCTTCAAGTCATAGTTGTCCGTAGAAACTATGTCTCGATGGAAAAGGTGTCTTATATATTCCTACTCATCATCCATTTCCTCCGGAGACTGCTAGGCAAGCATCTTTGTAGTGGATCGGATAAATATTGTTGGGTATAACCTTTTGTTGCAAGTCCTGGACTATCCACACTGGGTTTTTACCATTTGGTGGCATTGTAGTTTGGATTATGCCTGTAGAACGTTTATTGCGAGCATAAGGATGTTGGGACGGGAGAAGCATAAGATTAGGCAAAAGAGACACGGGACGCGATGACAGTCTGATCGGTTAACCCCGTGACCTTTGGCCAGTCTGGATAACCAAGTCTGGTCATTTGGTAGACCTCCTACCACATTATAGATACGTGTATATGTGAAGAACTGTTGGTTAGGTAGGCCTGGTCAACAGCAAAGGTGCGGCAAATTGCCAGCAAGATACGTACATTCGTCAAGAGGTCATACAATGGTGGCAAAGACCATGTAAGTAGACCTGTCCTTCATACCCAAGGTCAACGGAATTTGAGGTAGCACCACTTTCACAAGCATCTCTCTTGCCTTCATTAGTCATGCAGCACTCCGAAAGGTCAAGACATCTATGTATGTAATCATCTCAGTAGTACTGGAGCGCTGAATGGGATGTCTGTAGAACTTTATAAGAACTTCCTTGTGAGGCGGCGGCTTGCGGATGAGAAAGCAGGATTTGAGGTGATGACGCGGAGTTCACGCCTCCCTGCATCATCATCCATCATCGAGCCGTCAACCACTATAAATCAAGACAAGTGTAAGTATCGATTCAATAGCACAGACTACTACCAATAAGGTGCTGAGGCACCCGCTCAATGAGGCTTTGAAGAATAATGTCTTTTCTCCAGAATATGAATATCTGAACGGTGTCGTAGCCCTCGATCGTAATCAATTCTTGCATACATCGCTCTTGTAGTATATAGTACTGGACGACCGTGTCGTCGAAAAATAGTGTAGTTTAAGCCGATAATTCTTGAGCAGGTGCTTTCCATGCATCTGTAACGCGTCTTGAGCACTAATGAGCACACATTGCATTGTTGCCTTTGGGACTGGGCACGGAGATGTCGAACTGGTTCAATGAAATGGAATACTCCTCTGCCGATGGTGTTACACAAGATGTTAATATGTCAGATACTGGCTCGGAGTAGCCTCTCCAAGATGGGCCATCTCTCTATGCTAGACGCGGAGACCGATGTCTTGAGAGCAGTCGGATAAATGTAGCACCTAGCGAAGGGCATGTAGATCATACTAGGGCCTCGCTTAACCGTGATTATCTATTTGTTACGTTGATATGATATTCGGCTACCGTTGAATATGAAGGATATGCACATCAGGTGCTCAAATTTCTGGAGGATGAAGGCGTCCTTCGGCATCTGCAAGTTGTAAACTAGGACTTGAAACCAGGTGCGAATAGATTTCCTCTCAATAATCGACGTTTTCTAGACCGCGAAGGCGATGAGCTTATATTCCTATCCCTTGTGCATGAAGAAGCGCTTGGTCTTCTGTGCGATGTGTATGATCTTCTGAGCTCGGGCGAGTCTTGTCTGGTGGTAATTCATTCTCGTGAGTACAACCATGCTCTTTATCATTTACACCTTGCGTAAGATCTTGTGAGTCGATGATTGTCTCAGTAATATAGCTGAGGCCATAGCCGCTTCTAATTATAACACCCACTGGTTGCAAAAAAGACCCAACGGGTTTGATGAACCCGAAAGCAAACCATGATCTATAGCTTGATGGTAAACGCTATCGACATAGCATCTAGTAAATCACCAGTTCATCTGTATCAGGCCAGAGTAGAATAAAGGAAGGAACGATGATGTTGATTTAATGACTTGAGTACAAAGGATAGGCAGAGGCTGTATCTCTGGAAACAAAAAGACTGGATACTGAGTCGTAGGTGCAATCGAAACCAGCGTTTAAGAGTCGAGGTAGTTCCGTCCGTCCTATAACGTTTGTCGAGTCCGATCGTTTTCGAAACATCATGTTAGCGTCGTTTCGATTGAATAGTTGCAGGGCTTCGGGGTTTTACCTTGAATACTGACGTCGACGCTTCTGTCCAGCAGCATTTGACCGTCCTTCTCATGTCCTCTCGTCGACACGGCTTGTACAATATTGTCATGCAGCCCAGTCTGCGCGTTAACGTCCGCCCCTTCATCCAGAAGCATTTGCACGATCTCCGGGTGACCCCTATTTAGGGCAGCCTGTAGGGCACTGCCGTGCTTGCCACCCCCCACGTTACTATCTGCCCCTTTATCTAACAGAACTCGCACGATTTCCTGGTAGCCCCAAAACGAGGCAGCCTGTAGAGCACTGCCATGACAGCCACCTTCTGCGTCGATGTTCGCTCCGTTCTCGAGTAGCAGCCGTATCGCCTCTAGATGGCCCTCATCCGAGGCAGCTTGTAGAGCATTGCCATATTCGCCGCCCTGCGTGTTAACATCTGCTCCTTTGTCAAGGAGCAATACTATAACCTCTAGATGACCTCGAAAAGAGGCAATATGCAAAGCATTGCCATAAAAGCCACCCAGCGCATTAATATCTGCCCCTTTCTCTAGTAATAGTCGCACAACTTCCGGATGACCCTGGAAAGAGGCAGTATATAGCGCATTGATATACTTCCTACCCTTGGTGTTAACGTCTGCTCCATTCTCGAGTAGCAGCCGTACGACCTCTAGATGACCTTTATCTGAGGCAGCATGTAGAGCATTGCCAAGTAAGCCATCCTCTGCGTTGATATATGCCCCTTTATCTAGCAATAGTTGCACAACTTCCCGATGACCCTTGCCAGAGGCAGTAGATAGGGCATTGCCAAGTAAGCCACCCTCTGCGTTAGCATCTGCCCCTTTATCGAGCAATAATCGCACAACTTCCAGATGGCTTTCGTTTAATGCAGCACATAAAGCATTGCCATAGAAACCGCCCTGCGTATTGACCTCTGCTCCTTCATCAAGCAGCAGTTGCACAACCTCTATATAGCCTTTACATGAGGCAGTATATAGAGCATTGCCGTGTATGCCGTCCTGCGCGTTGATGTCTGCTCCTTTATCTAGAAGCATCCGTAGAATATCTGCGTGACCCCCAGCTACGGCGGCTTGTAAGGCATTGCCATAGAAACCGCCCTGCACATTGGTTTCTGCTCCTTGATCCAGTAGCAGTCGTACAACCTCTATATGACCCTTATGTGAGGCCGCTTGTAAAGCATTACCATAAAAACTGTCCTGCGCATTGACATCTGCTCCTTTATCTAGAAGCAGTCGCATAACCTCTATATGGCCTTTACATGAGGCAGCTCGAAGAGCATTGATATACTTGCCACCCTGCGCGTTGACTTTCGCCTCTGTATCCAAAAGCATCCGCACAATCTCTTGATGGCCCTTGGATGAGGCAACCTCTAGAGCGTCTTGGGTGCCCTTGATGTTGGCTTCCGCCATTTCATCCAGAAGCATTCCCATGATCTCTTGATGGCCCCCGGACGATGCAGCATGTAGAGCATTGCTATACTTGCCACTCTGCTTGTTGATATCTGCACCTTTATCCAGAAGTATTCGCACAATCTCTCCGTGGCCGCGGAATGAGGCAGCCTGTAAAGCATTGCCGTGTTTGCCGCCCTCTGCATTAGCATCAACCCCTTCATCCAGAAGCATTCGCACTATCTCTCGATGACCGTTAGATGAAGAAGTTTGTAAAGCATTATCACAAAAGTCTCCTGGCAGATTGAAAAATGCTCCTTGATTGCAGAGCGATCCCCCGAATATCTGGCCGTTGAACGAGGAAACCTGTTGAAAATCGCTACGGCAACCACCTTCCGCGTTGACGTCTGCGCCTTTTTCTAGAAGCAGTCGCACAATGTCTTGATAGCCACGAAATGAGGCAGCTTGTAGAGCATTACTATACTCGCCGCCGTGCACGTTGACGTCTGCGCCTTTTGCTAGAAGCAGTCGCACAATCTTTTGGTAGCCCCAAAATGAGGCAGCTTGAAGGGCGTTGCCATACTCGCCGCCCCCGATATTGACATATGCTCCTTTGTCTAACAGAACTTGCACAACTGCTAGATGACCCCGAAATGAGGCGGCCTGCAAAGCATTGCCGTACTTGCCGCCCTCAGCGTTCACATCCGCCCCTTCGTCTACCAAATATTCTACCACTCTTCTGAGTCCTCCCAGACATGTATAATAAAGCGCAGGTGCTCTTGGAGGCCCAGGGTCATCGTCCCATGAATAGTCGGCCTGATACAAACATCCCCATCGTCGAAAGGTTATCGAGTCTTTTAAGAAGCTCACAATTCGTCTGGTTATTTCTTCCGAAGTGTCTACCAAAATAGCATAGTCCATCCAGAATTTTGCCGCATATTGTGCCATCGGAAAATCACGTTGGACTGTGCCATGCTCGCTCTGGATATCGGTAAGATAAGCCAAGCATGTTTGAGTGAGGACAGCGCTAGCGCTTTGCAGGTCGAATTGGACTTGCTCAAGAAGATATTCTTTAACAGAGAAGTGGGCAAGATGAAGTTCGTCGACAACCCGATCATGTGTCCTTACTTTAGCGATAACCACTAAGCTGGGGCAGTATCGTAGTACATCGCGTTCTTGACACAGTCTGCCGTCAACATTGAAGCCTCGGGGTTCCTGATCGATCTGCGTAGCTATCACTTCGATGGCTTCCATCACCTTCAGAGGCCGCTTGGTGTGGACAAGAAATTGCAAGAGACGAATTGCGCTGGACTTATGTTTTGGCGGTATGTTTGCGAGCATGCGGCGATATGTTTCATTCAAGTCATGGGGTAAGGATCCAAGAGCTGTCTTGATGTCTCTTGGGCTCAAGCATTGAGCAAGACTATCAAGTTGGCAAGCTGCCCATCTGAACCTGAAACTAATTTTAGAATGATCTGCCCTCAAACACCTGATCTGTGTCAAACTTACATTCCGTCGGCTCCGTTTCCGATCTTGTCACGCACCATCTCTAGAATACTCGGAGATAGATTCTTATCCACAAAATCGGGCCTCTGCTTAAGCGCTGCCTCGACATAAGAACGTATATCAGCATTTACAGCTTCTTTGTCAAGCAAGACACAATTCTGCTCATCGAACAATCGAGGGATCTCGCGTTCGAATTCTGCTTCAGGCCGGCCAGTAACAATAAGCTGGGCTTTGTTGGACATTGAGCGTTTCAGCCATTGCATAAGTTCTTTCCTTTCAGTACACTCATCCAGAGCGTCGATGATGACGGAAACTTGTCCAGTCAACTCTATCATAGTATGAATACATGCTGTTAAAGCAGTCGTGTCCGGTTGCTTCCGTCCATCATCATGGGAAGCAAAAAGATTGTCAAGTCTTTTTGCAGCTTGGTTACTAGTACGATAGAGCTGAGCTGCTAGCGAGCGCAAAAGGTTCTCTAATCTCTGCTTCCCAGGATCGTTGAAATCGAAGAAGAATGCAAGCGTGGTGCGAGTGCTATTTGACAGGAGATGATCAAGAATGGTCGTACTCAAAACCGACTTCCCGCATCCCACCAAGCCGTAGAGCCACAAATGTTGGCGTAACCCAAATTCCCACTCATGAAAGGCGGGATTGTTGAGTAGCCAAGTTCCGGTGCCGGGATGGCGCTGTTTTCTCGCCAGATTAGCATTCGTTGAGTAATCTGGTGGTGATAGCCAGCGCTCGATTTTAGCAACATGATGATCAGATGCCATGCTTATCACCGTGTCTTTGGTAACGTTTCCCGTGATTTCAACTGTCTCAGGTCAGAAGATGAAATGGGTGCTGGTGTTACGATACTAACTAGAAGTGAGGACTTGCCTGATAGGCGTCTCGGTCTCGATCTTACTGGGTGGAATCTGACATAGGAGATCTTTCGCATATGCGGCCGCCACCATTGCCGCAAAGCCTTGCCATTCTTTACTCTTATGCGAATCAGAATAGTCGCATATCCCACGAATTACTACACACGGGAAGTGGTTCATTAAACCGGCCGCTTCCATCTCAAAACAAAGGACATCCTTGTTGGCCGCCAATGAGTCCCGAGCAAGTGCGTCCTTCATCAACTGATTTGCGCTGGCGACCAACCCATAATGGATGATAGGTTCATCATCTTGCTTGCTCCGTTTGATTCGATCTACCAGGTCAGCGGAATCGTTACCGCACACCTCAGCACATCCATTCGAAGGGTGCGGATGCACAACATCAGATCGGTAGAGTTTGTCGCTATGAGGAGGAGGTCGAGAGTATTTCTTTCGTAGGTGTGGCCGCTGTTCTAGTGCCTTGCCGACCTGCTCGCTGAGCTGGTGCCCTTCCAACTCATACTCGGCCTCAAGTGCGCTTACTGCAGTCAAGAGCAACTGTGGGGGCTGATTCAAGGACCCCGTAGCCACAAAACTATGGTCCTGGATCGCCTTACCGTAGTCGTACTGGAAGACGCCGCCTCTCCCGTCTCCACGCGTGCTCACTACGACATCGCCCAGTCGAATATCGTGCCTCACACTCGGGGCACCACCGCCGATGCCGACCATCAGTCCGAAACGAACATTGGGAAAGCTGCGCAGCATATCTCTTGCCACAGTCGCAGCGCTAGTCGTGCCGTATTCGGACTTAGGCAAGACAGCTATGACAACATTATGCTTCCCAATTCTTCCCAAAGCATAGTTATTGTTGTCCTGATGGGCGATGCTTTCAAGTTGGTCGTGTTTCTCGTCAACTAAGGCTCGCGCGGCGACAAACTCGGTAGTGACGGCACAAATCCAGCCGACCGTGTACTTCTCGGGATTTGACATGATCGGCAATTGATATTGAGTGAAGGGAAAGTCGTGACGTTGTGTGTGCATACAACCGCAAGAGGAGAGTACTGGGAGAAGCACGTAGCGAGGCCCTCATGTTCTTTGTAGCGGCTTTGTGTATCAGGCTTTGAGGATGAGTGAGGATTTCGTTGGGCTCGTAGTGCTTGCATATAGTAGGGTGGGCGTCTAAGCTGCATGATTGGTGAAGAAATTCATGCTAAAGCTGTTGCCTCTCAGACACGAGGCGGATGGCTGATAGTAGTAGTGGTAGTAGTAGTAGTAATATTTGACCTGCCTAACTCCCCAACTCGTAAGAGTGCCGATGCCTAGAGCGGATGTGAGGGGCTTGTATACAGTACTGGAAATGAGGTGCGAAATGAGTAATACTTTGTAGGGATCGGACAGTTAATCCCAAGAACATGTTGCGTATACGTCAGTCAGCACAAGAGGGGTTGACAAATAAATCACATGCGCATTTTGGCATAAGCAGCAGCGTTTCCGACCACAATACCTCCCCGATCAGCGACTCACACGAAAGTTAGCGACTTGCTGGAAGATTAAGTCATTGAAAGTCAAAGTCTATGTGATAACTAATATTCGTCGCCTCTGATCGGCTTACTTCAATTTGGTTGAGTACCGGACTTGCATGGAGCCCAGAGAGCGATGCGGAAGGGCGCGCTGGATCTCAACCCAAGAGCAATTGTCATGTTTCATTCTGCTGATTGTTTCATCCTCCTCCAATGTCCACTTGCTCCTAGACGAGGCTGTGCCTGACAACGAAGTCTTAAGCAGTGTTGTTGGCCGATGGGAATAGGACTGGCATAAACCGGTCTTCAAAACAATGCGCGTCTTGATGACCTTTTTAATCTCAGTTTGCTTCTCTCGACCTTGAATGGTCGTAGTGCCACCACCAACATGCTCTTCCTCGCTTACGTTCCGTGGTTTTACTTTCAAAGTGATGCGACACTTCTTTGGCGCGAGGGAGGATTCGATGTCATCAGCAGGCTCAGACGGGTGAGCCGGTGTAATTAACTTGATTCGGCGTTTTTTGCCTCTTGATGTAATTGGGCTTGGTGTTGTGTTCGTCGTCGCACAAGATGAGACACTATCGAAAATAGGCATATCACATGAAGGCGAGCCAGAGCTTCCCAGATCTGTGTCTCCTAGTACGGTGAAGACAGAGGGTTCTGCAGTGGTCGGCGAGTCTTCGTTAAGCGTTGAACTATTGGAAGGCACAACTCCCAGCAGCGCCAATGACGACTTCGCAGCTGAGGCCAGATCAAGGCTTTCCATAGAATACACGGCAGGGCTACCAAGATACAGATCCAGGTCGCCGATTATATCGATATCGCTCGTAGTGCGTTCTTCGACCTGAGAAGAAGCATTTTCAGGCGTCTTGTTAATCGGTGTTTCTTTATACTCCGATACCCAAAACTCATCCCGATCGTCCAAGGGTGAAATGAGCGGTATGTGTTCACTCGTGCCCGCTCCCGTCACAGATAGTTCGGGTGAATTTGGTGGGAGATCGATCAGCTCCATCCAATTGTCCGAATCGTCATTCGGGGTGTCGCCAGTAATGTTTGAGGAGCCCGCAAGCTTGCGTTCTTTGATCAGTTGATAACCATGGGCATCGTGCAGGTGGTGGTAGCATGCTTCGCCGGTTCGTCCGGAAAACCCACAATCAGCGCATGACCATGGCCACTCGTGCGCTGTCTCCATATGGCGTATCGCGTCGATATCGCGTTCCCAAGATTGCATCATCGTCGCTGGTGAATTTTTCAACTGCCTACAAAGCAGACAGAAGGCAGGGCGGATCAAGGTGTGTCGATAAGTGATAGAACCGCAGTATTTCAGTGACTCCGTCAAATGGGTTTGACAATGGTCTTCCCATTCATCGTTAGTTAAGAAGAAGTTGCAGAAATAGCAAAACTTAAGTCTTGAGAATAAAACTCTAAGCTTCTTAGCTGTCGCTTTTTGTCGGTAGCGATGGATATGCTTGCACCAATTTCGTTTACCTGTGATACTTGAGTTTTGTTAGAGTTGTACTGTATTTTGCAAGATGAATGTCCTTACCTCTGTATCTCTTTCGGACAATAGGGACACTGCCCATTCTTGGGTTTCTCCCCAGGCCGATAATACACACTTGGTGCGGACAGTAACAACAGCATATCCTGCATCGCATCAAGCCTGTCTTGTCGGCTCAGAGGCGAGGTTTGTGACATCTTCTGGGCTAGCCGAACCTTCTCAGGTCTGAGCTTATGTATGGGATCATCTGGGACTGTGCCTGATGTTTGGCCTTGGCGAAGGTTGAACAATTTCTCCCGCTTTAGTCGCACCAGAGATTCTCGCCGGTGGTCTTCTAATGTTTCTCTCTGGAGTCTATCCAAAGCTTTTTGTCGTTTTTGCCTTGCCTGTATTTGAGTTTTCGCATCGGAAGCCTCCGCTATCTTCTGGTCCCAGCGTAGAACTTCTGGATGGCGACTGATTTTGTCTTTCAGCACGGCGGGCAGCTGGGTTGGCAAGCCCTCGTGTCGAAATTGAGAGAGGCCTTGGAAGTATTCAATAGCCGTATGGTCCGGTTGGTGGCGCAGGAAGGCCGACAACCCATCACAAGACGAAGTGTCCGCAGTGTAACTTTGTCCGAACACTGCTTTATCAGCCTGTGTCAAATGCTGAGATCTTTCCACCTCAGTGTATCGCTCTGGTTGATGTTAGCAACTGCTTTTGACCTAAGATCCAGTGCTGAACAGGCCGCTTACCATCCAGCTGTTTTCCAAGCTCTCGTCGAATCATGTGTATCGAGCCTGGCGGAAAGAGTGAGCCAGGTATCGCAGCATATCCTGCTTGCATCATGAACGTTTTGAACATCGTGATAAATGAATCTGGAGTCATCGGCTGCGTGTCATCGACATCTCCCTGTCGATTCACGCGTCGGCAAACAGGGAGATCGAGACATTTTTCGGCCCAGTCCACCTGACCCTCACCACCGTTTTTGATCATCTGATCTAGATCCTTAAGATCCAGAGCACCATCAGCCACGGCGAGCATGAGAATAATAGCCACAGAATCATATCGCAGAATATGATGTTGCATACGAGCGTTGCCGAACCTGCAGGTCATTAGTATTGTTCCATTACGTACAAGGGAGTGCTTACGTTCTTAAGTCCGGGTCGGAATTGTTTTTGACGTGACGCTGTGCAACCTTGTAGAAGAACCGCGGCCCATCCTGGTGCTGACTCAAGACCAGATGGATATCCTGCCGTTGATTAACAATAACAGAACATGATCGTTGCGATCATCTTACCTTGTACGGCACACCAAATTCCAGAAACGCATTGCGTCTAGCCCCAGTATCGCAAAACAAGAGGAGTTGAAGGTGAAATTGGAGCCGGTTTCTGTCATAGGTGTGTTTGGTATCTTGACCACTCCACGCCTGATAAATGAGTTGATCAAAATCGTCTCGCTGGAAATTAAACTTTGGTTTTTTTAAATTGTGACAATACAGTCTGCTCCCATCTCTTTCTTCATATGGCAAGTTATGTTTTAACCACTGCGGTCTATTAGCTTTTGATCTACTTATCGGTTCAAGATCCATACCTCGTTAATCTCCGTTGTATTCTCCGCGCTAAGCTCCTGGCCCGTTCGCTGCAAGAAACCTGCCTTCCATGCCTTTGCTTTCCCTAGGAGCGTTCCGACGGTAGGGCAACTTGACTTTGAGCCGTCTGGGAGTGTTATGCGACCAGTGGACTGGAGCGCGTAAAACCTCCAGAAGTCTTTCAGTTCCACAATCTCTGGTAGCGGCGACCCCGTACTTAGGAAGCTTGTCTCGCATTCTTCAGGAGGCACGCCCTGATTGATCAACCATCTGTGTAAATTAGCGTTCGGGTCATCGTAAATTGGCCACGCTGTAACTTACGCCTTGTAGACATGGAACACCTGGGCCCGTGTCTTCTCGGTGTCTTCGGTAACCGGGCGATCTCGCTGCTTATCGTCATCAAGATGTTCGCCATATTGGTAGCCCGCAGCTTTGGCACGTTGCGCGATTCGCTCGAGAGTATTTTGCTTCTCCATCATGGAATGAGACAGGAGGATGGGCATTCATTAAAATCGCAATCTCGCTGTCTGGCTGCCATTCCGAATTTAAATTGCCGCCGACTCGTAGTAAATCGCGCCATGGTCGCGTCGTTGTTTTCGTTTGTGCGTGTTATGATTTCTGGTTTGTGAATGTTGGTTCAAGTTGCATGGCTCACCCTGAAGTCGCGCGAGAAGTGTGGCAGCTCACCTCAGGCATCAACCACAAACTCCAGCGGAGGGACCCGTCCTGGGAGAGCCAAATGCGCAAACTCCCCTTAGTTTCTAGGGATTGGAAGGATGGGATTCACCCGGTATTTATCTCAACCGATTACGGTTAATTAAAGCCCGCCCAATCTCGTGCGACAGAGACTTGCCAATCAAGGCCTGTGACGAACGCCGAGGATGCCGTAGGTACCTAGTGAGTGTCCAAGGCCCTGAAGTTAGTTGCCCCTTGAAAAGTTCAAAGCTCTTTTGCGATATGCCACTATCGATTACTCCGTAGGTATTGAAGGAGCCGAGGCACGGAAGTTTGGTGGGAACGCGACTCGGCCGACTTGTGTAAGCGACGAAAATGTTGCAAAAGTCAAAGGACAAATAGAACGATTCTGCTGGAGAATAACAGGCAGAGAACAGGAGAGCATAAGAGCATTTTAGCAGGGAGGTCTCGTCAGATTTATGCTGGCTTTCTTACGAGATGCATTCTGACACGGTGAGCATTCAACACGCAAGATACTGCAAGATATATAAAATGACTGTGACTTTGTCTATTTATCACACGTCAGCTTACCGCACGCGGAGAAGCAGGATTTGGATCAGCAGCACTCGTCTCAAATAGCATCACAAAAGGTAACTCTCTGGTTGATTGTATGGACAAAAAGATGAATTGGCTTGTTACAAAAAGAGGACATACGGTGGAGTCTAACCACCTGTAATGGACGAACAGGGAATCGAACCCTGGACCACTCCCAGATTATTCGGTCGAATTATGCTAAGGGAGTATTATACCACTAAACCATTCGCCCGGTTATTTGATGAGAACTCACGATTTGGTTTGAGTCTATGAAGCTGATCCCTCAGCCTGTGGATCAATGCCATGAACAACATGATGGTGCAAGCTCTAAAGTTGATATGTATCCTAACGTATGAAGTTTATGTTCTTCTTATTCTATATTTCTGAATTCTTATAGCGACTTCTCAACCTCATCAACTGCATCAATGACTCCCTTCCACTTCGCCCACTCAGCATCACCACCAGGAATACCACCGACGAGCGGCAACCTCGTACCGTCTGTGTCTCCAAAGCCTCTCAGCCTGCTAATAGCATCCTTGATACCCACAGTACCAAACTTGACCACAAGCTCCTCCATTGAGCTAACCTTGAACTGCAGCAGTCTTCGCTCCTGGATCTCAGCATCTGTAGGCTGCGTCTTGGACGACAGCTCGAAAAGTCGCACCAGTGACTTGGGGAAGAAACCCGCTGAGCCATCGATGGCGCCGGCAAAGCCAACCGAGATAACAGGTAGGAGCTGTTGACCGAGGCCTGTAAAACAGTGGAAGTGGGTGTGATCGATGGATGGGTTGGAAGCAACCTGTGCGGCTACCGAGACATCTCCATGAGAGAGCTTGCAGCCGACAATGTTGGAGTGCTTTGCAAGCGTGGCATATGTCGAAGGTGCAACTTTGACGTTGTTTGAGACTCCGGGGTAATGGTAGCTGAGCAATCTGGTTAGTCCGGGGTTTTGGTATAATTGGGTCGAGTCGACTTACATCATGACAGGAATGGGACTTTGGTCAGCAACGGCTGTGAACCATTGGACAATACCCTCTTGTGTAACTGCACCGGCATTGTACCCAGGAACGAGGCACAGTCCCCATTGGGAACCCGATTTTTGAGCATCCTTGAGTTGTTCAACAGTCTCTTCGACGCTGTTTGTCGCTGTGCCCGCAATAATGGGATAATCCTTGAAACCCTCCTTCTCAAGACCAGCCTTGATACCACTGAGAATGGCGTGACGATCTCTAGGGTGAATATGAACAGCTTCGCCTGTGCTACCGAGGACGACTAGACCCTTGATTCCATTCTTGGCCAGGTAGACAGAATGAGCAACCTGTGTTTCAATATCGATGGGAGGGGTAATGGCATTGTAGTTGGCAGTCTTCTTAGAAGCGAAGAACGTGGGAACGGGCACGTAGATACCCTTGGGCGGAGGAGCAGACATTTTTGGCAGTGAATTCTAGGTCACAAATGAATTGAGAAGAACAGAGGAATTATCGACTCGTGAGGGGTTCACTGATGACATTGTTTATTATAAGCACGCATTTGCCGTCGTGCAACCCAAACCTCGGTTCTTCGGGGTAGGTTACAGCGAAACCAGAGTCTTGGAGTTGGGGAAAGGCAACGGTTCGGCCTATCGAGACAAAAAAAAGATGGTAATACCCGCCGAGATCGGTGGAAACCTTCCCCTCATTCTGGAAAACAACGGGATAGTTTCCGGCTCGGTTGATAGAGTCATGAAGTGGTTGTGAATTGTTGTGTGCTAGCCAATGACTGACTATAAGGACAGGAAGCCTACTCCCATATACTGGCTCGTAACATCGCATCAAACAGAGCTCATGTTGTCTCTGAATCCAATCGAATTCCTGTCATCTTAATTCAATATTGATGTTCAGCTGCGAGTATTGAGCTGCTAGTAAGTAACTACTCTGAACAACATAACATGGCCAAGTGCAATGCCAATCAATGGCTTCTCCCCGATCCCACAACGGAACTAACCTATAGCCACACGAGATATTCGGCCGATGTTCCTTTCTTCAGGGAACAGAATGCTAACATTACAGTATCCTTGGGATTGAATAATTTTTTTTATTTGAGTTTATTCTCGAGTTAAATATATATCTCATGACGACATTCTGTCCTACCTCTCTGTAACACCGTAATAACCACGATACGATGCAAGTTCTATAGTCTAGGTAGTTCAGGACATCGTACTGACGTACATCTAGCCCGCCAACCATTTTCATAAACCGAATTAAATTTTGTATCTAAATTTCCCCCTCATTGCGTTATTTTCATTGAATCGTTCTCGCATACTCCATGCCTGGGCGTGACCCTCTATCTTCGTTCCTCAGAAGTTTGCCAGCCAAACGTCATTCCTTTTACGTGATACACATGTCTATGCAATCCCCCCCACGATTTTAATCGTGCGGTCATACTAATTCCTCTCATGGTGTTTGTTCTCACGATTTCATACTCATGAGCGAATGACATGAGTACCCTCAGCAGGTTCAAGCACCATCCATTGGCACGGCAGATCCTTCTTCTCGTTGTGTTCTCGCAGCTTGGCGATAATCTTGGCGGCGATAGCCTCGAAGTTGTGCGTGGCAAGAGCCAAGATGGTAGGGCCGGCGCCAGATAGACAGACACCGAGGAAGCCTTCGTCAGTCTTTGGGGACATTGTTTCGACGATCTCAGTCAGACCGGGGATGAGAGTCTGGCGGTAGGGTTGGTGAATCTTGTCTTGCATGGCAAGATGGATGAGCTCGGGGTCGGGAGGGGACTGGCCCAGGGCGACAGGCAGAAGCGCAATTCTCTGCAGGTTGAAGACCTAAGACCGTGGATTAGCTTCACCATGACCAGATATTGGCGTTTTGGCATACCACATCGGGACGAGTGTAGTTTGCAGGTAGCACTCCTCGTGCAGCATGTGTAGCAACCTGGAAGTCAGGGATGATGGCAACAGCCTTGATCTCCTTGGCCCATGGGAACTTGATATGGTGACCAATTCCATAGGGAGGGTTCGGCGGCTTCTTGCCCGTGTCCTCACCTCCGGCTGGCGCAGGTAGAACTTCGCTAAGCGGAATTTCGGTTCGGGCAACGTCTTCGGGAGTCAAGGGCTTGAGGTATGTTCCGACAAAACCTCCGTAGAGGGCAGCTCCGACATTGTCAGGATGTCTCTCTGGAATTGCGGTTAGCGTGCAACTGAGTCTATCGGAGGGTAAGTTTTACCAATCATGAGACAGTAGTCAAATAGTCGGTCATTGTCGAGATGCTTCAATCCTCCAACTTCCTTGCCCAGAGCAACACCAGCAACAACAGCGGCACCTGAGCTACCAAGGCCACGACCTAGAGGGATAGGGTTCTTGACATGCACGTGGGTCTCAACAGGGAAAGCCCTCTGGTCGTTACAGCGCAGGACATAGAGCGCTACACGTGTGATAAGGTTGACCTGGGGGTCGAGGCTAATCTCATCCTCGCCCTCTCCCTCGTAGGTGATCTTGCAGTTGAGTGGGTGCTCGGACTTTGTCTTTGACCGATCGATGGTTACGTGAAGCTCAAGGTAGACGGACAGAGCAAGGCCAATGACATCAAAGCCGGGGCCAATGTTTGCGCTGGAGCTGGGGGTCTTGATGATGAATGATTCCATGACTGCTGCTGCTGCTACTGCTGCTTGCTTGCTTGCTGTGGTGTATGCCGAAGTTCGGAACTGGAGCTTGTTACTTGGAGGAAAGTTTTGAGACAAGATACCTTAGCCAGCGAGGAGAGGGTCTAACGGCGCGAAGCAAAAGCAAATCGGGGCTAGTACAACTCCAACGCCTTTTTCTGACTTCTCACGACAGAGGAATTCGAACTGCAAATTCAAGAATGAAATGTCACGTCAAAGGAAGCCTGGCCGATAGTGGAATTGTCTATTACTGTGACTGACATGAAGTGATGGTCAAAGTCTCCCCGATGACGGAGCTCTCCACCACATGAGCAAAAAAACATGCGGTCTTATTACTAGGTAGTTATGACTGAAAATTTGCTTCAACATCAGCAGAGTGAATGGCATTTGGCGGGGTAAAATACTCTGGCTCTTCAGTCCAGAGCTGTTGCGGCGGGCCTTCTATCTATTGGTCGATAAGAGAGTTTGTTGAAGGCCAAAGGGATTCATTCTGATTGCTAAATATGGACATTGAATGGTCTGAGTTGCGCTGGGATGTTGCTTCGGGCTATCGGGTTTATAAGTCTGATGATGATAATCTTATCTGAGCCATTATGCATGAGGAATAATTCTGTTTGTTGCAATGACGGAGTTTTTCGATACGAGGAGAGCCACTCTTTCTAATCCTTGGCTTCCTTTATTATTATGTATGAGGCTCAGCTTGATCCCTCTATATCTGACGTTAACGGATACGATGTTGCACTGTTGTCTCTGCCCAACGTATTGTTTGTGATCTGTACGTTTGTGGGCCTCAGCTTGCTTAGTAGAGATATCTTGAAGATTGTAGAAATCCGTGTGTGCATTACTTGGCTTTAGTAAGTCCACTGCTGTGCAGACTGTCGAAGTTGAACTTGACGATCCTGTCTCTGGGGCGATTTATTTCTCATGATCTGGCATTCTGAGTCAAGTCGTATGCACTATTGGGATTGGGATCAATTGTCTCATGGAGCTAGCTAGGTATTCAATAAATGACACATTCCCAGCCTTTACTTTAGCATTTCGATGGTGTTTTCTGTGAACAAGCAAGTGACCAGCCGTGCGACCCCAACGGCCCAACCCAACCGGCTATGCCGACAGCCCACTAGGTACTCAGAGGCTTCCAGAACACCCAAGCTCCATATCCCAAAAATAGCACAGAACCTCAATTAGCATCCATCTCACCACCATGATGTCAATGTCAATAGTGCATCACGGGTTCTCACATCGGATTCACTTTTCGGGCACAAGCAGAACAGGACCAGATTAGTAGTAGATCCTGGATCCGTCTCGTGACTGCGCCAGTACCGGAAATTCCGGCACTTGAATAATGAATGAATGGATGGATCCTTGAGGTCTTTTTGTCCAGGAAGATCGCTGAGCCCATGACGTTCAAATTCTCGTGTTCTCCTGATGCTCCGTGGGATCATCCATGTTGCTAAAACTCCCATTTGCGGAGTTTTTATCCTCGATCCACAACCCGATGTTCTTGGCCTGGTGTTTTTGTTGTTTTCACGATGCAATACAACGTCAATAGCTCAGACCATACTGTCAATTAATTCCTCTTTGGGCTTCCAGTTATTGACGGTTCTTTGATGCGTCGACAACGCAGGGAGGAATGCGAGCAAGACTAGTCTGAGATAGACAGGCAGGACCCTTGGGATCAGTCATGCTTGTTGAAAAGACGTGACTAGGCGTGAATAGACAGACAATGCAGCTATTCGGCGGTGAGGTCATGGGATCACCGGCTCGGCACGTTGATCGAACGAGGTGATATCCTAATCCGTGGCACTAGACTTAGTAGTTATTCAACATGAAGCTTCAGCAGTAAGGTTATGACAGGCCATTCCGCAACAAGGTCATCATCATGATAGCCTCAATGGAGCCTTACTACAGAGTATGATCTTACAGATCTTAGTGAGCCTGAGCCTCTTCAATGCGCTGGAGCTACGTTACGTCGTGCTGTTCACAGGACGACACTAGCTTCAAGCTGAGCTCGAGAATACGAGATATGTCCTCGCCAAAAACATCCACGTTACCCCACAATGCCCCGAAATGGTGGCCATGACCGGCAGAAATCAACCCCTCTAGCCCCTACACCCCTGCACAACGGGAAATATTCCGGATCTTAGGTTCTGGGCCTGCCTATAGTCAACTCAACTGTAATGCGAGCAGCCTTTCCACACGCCACGTCCTACCTTTAGGCTCTATCTTGAGGTAGGTTCTGTATCCGCCCCTCGAAATAGCATACGGCGTGGCCTAGCCTTGCTCTGGCATCCGTTGCTAAAGCCAATTTTGGCAGCGATGGCACCGGGGGACGGTCAATACGAATGGAGCTTGGGTAGCTTCTCGGCGGGTTGTGATAGTCCATCTGCCATTCAATGCCAACTATGACGCTGTATGGAGACAATCTAGGCTTGTCCAGCCTCCAGCCTTCCCGGCGGCGTTCTCGATTTGGCTGTGGAGAGGCTGATCACCCGAGGGCTGTGATGGGTAACGTTAGATGCATGTATGCATGGTTCGTTCGATCGATTTCTTAGAGATCGTTGTGAGAACTCAAGTATAAGAAGAGCCCTCAGTCTCGTCCAGATGCCCATTCCTCTCTTGTACCATCACTCTCAACAACAACAATCAACCACTCACTCTCATCCACTTCGAGCTTCCAGCCAAACACTCCTCAACACCACCACTACTTCCCTCTTCACTTACACACAAACAACCCAACAACAACCATCAACATGAAGCTGTCTGGTGTCCTCTCTGCTCTTGCTCTTACCTCCGCCGTCTCGGCCACCACTGGTGAGTCTACTGACACTATTCTCTGATGTATCTTCACCCACTAACCATTGTTTCAGTCTCCTACGACACTGGCTACGATGACAAGTCTCGCCCCATGACCGCTGTCTCTTGCTCTGATGGCAAGAACGGTCTCATCACCAAGTATGGCTGGAAGACTCAGGGCAACGTCCCTACCAAGTACGTCGGTGGTGTCAACATCATCGAGGGCTGGAACTCTGCCAACTGTGGTGGCTGCTACCGCCTCGAGTACAAGGGCAAGAAGATCAACGTCCTCGCTATCGACCACGCTGCCTCTGGCTTCAACATTGGCCTTGATGCCATGAACGCCCTCACAAATGGCCAGGCTGTCAAGCTCGGCCGCATCAACGCCCAGGTTTACCACGCCAAGCCTTCTGACTGCGGTCTCAAGAACTAAACGGCGCAACTCCACGATTTATGAGATGCATATGAGGCTTTCTAGATAGCGGACATTCTTATTCTTTCCCTCCTTAGAATTATGGGTTTAATACTTGGCATTGGTTGGCGTTTAGACTACGATCTTACACATAATCTACCTAGATACTACACTACTACACATGAATGAAGATAGAGCTTAATTGCTTTCACTTTAATTTTCTTCTTTGCAATTCCATGAGGCGAAGTGAATGAATGATAATTTGAGACCCTGACCTAGTCATCTGGTTTGCTCCTCTTGGTCAGATTTTCTGGAGATAATGCAGCTTGAAGGAACTCGACTGACAAGCGGTTACTGTCATCTAAAAGTAGCACATTAAGCTGACCCTCCTACCGTAGCTAATTTTTGTACATGTGACATCCTTATCATACATTCCACTTCTGTTTCGGCAGCCTTTCTGTTTCGTTCCTACTGAGCTTGACATCGGCCTTTACTCCCACTCCCGGCGTGAGGGAGGGGTCTCGGCACCCTCAGACGAAGAAGACGATGATGCATAGAGGTCGTCCCAGTTGTTTAATGAAATTTCATCAATGTCAGAGGGAGGTTCAGATAGAGGGGATGATGGAGTATGAATCAAAGGAGATGGTGGAGCGTCTGATAAAGGAGATGAGGCACCCGTCACAGGGCTCCTGATGTTGGTCGAGTTTATGTCTGACAGCCCTTCGGGCGTTGGCATTCGATTGGATGTGACTGGCTCGAGAAGTTTAGGGTCTGTAGCAACTCTGGTGAACCGGATTCCACCTTCTTCCTGTTCTTCAAACAAAGTTAGTATCTGAGTTTCGCCAGATCCGCAAGGCTCAAGGGGTATCGTCAAGATCGAGGCTCGGTCTTGGGTGTCGAGAACAAGTGAAGAAAATGACGGGTGAGTTGAGTGGAACTCTCTCTGAGTACTTCTAACTCCCCAGTGCTGGGAGCCTTTTCTTTACTTGCACAGGGAAGAGGAAGAGGAAGAGTACATACCGCTCGGCGAGTTTCCAATCCATAGAGCGCACTCGAGAATTTCGACACGAGCCACAAATTCCTCATACTCTAGGCCATTTTCTAGTCCGCCAAGAGGGATCCGAATTTGTTCTGGGGCCTTCAGGACCACCGTGACTTCTTTTTCACCCGCGACAGACTCGATAAAGTCTATGAAGTCGTATACCAACCCTTCCTCACCCTTGAACACGACACATTTCTCTTCGGGGCAGTATCCTATGAAGTTCTCCGCAAAGGAGTCTGATAGCTTGGTGATGTACAGGTCGGTTGCTGCTTCAGTCTCAGGGCAGCGCGAAATCAAGACAACAACCTCGGATGATGGAAGCAGGTCTATTGAAGAGGGACTGGGTGAGTCTTGGCGAAAATTTGTGGATGTGAGATACGATTCGTAGGCTGGCTCGAGGATAGCAGCTCTTTTCTGTGTGAAATCAGAATGATCCCCTGCCAGCAAGGAATCCAGTCTGTCCTCGACAATCGCACCCATTTTGAGTGTTGGTAAAGAGATGGGTAAGCTAAGTAGGGAAGTGAGAGATTGTGTAGTCATCTAAAAGAAGAGCGTTTATCGCAGAGTCTGAGGCAGCAAAGAGTGACACTGTCATGTACCTGTCAAGGGCTGGCAATGGGAGGAACCTGCCAGGCAAGGAGAGAAAACAATAAACCGTCCAAACGGAAGGAGCAAATTCTTTGAGGAGAATTAACTTCCCTTGCCCACATTATCATAAATATTCCTCAGGTACCTGTCTCGTAAAGAATATCCCAAGGTTTATAAAACCCACCAAGTGTGTAATGGAGTTGAGTCACCTTTATTTCTCTGCATGACAAGTTGCTGAAGTTGCTGGGGGTCAGGACGGACGAGATCAAGAGTCTCTTATCCTAAGCATATGTTTTTCAAATTAGGCGACTCACCTCTCCACGAAGCTATAAACATCTAATGTCAATTTGTATGTTGATATACTCGTTTGTAGCGTACACGGACCGCAAGAGCACAGCATTGATGTCCCTATGCGCTGTGGCTCATACACCAAGGACTCGATTTGACAAAAAGGGGTAAAGCGAAGTAACAATCTATTAGTATCGGACCCTTATAATCTATGTGAGTTCTCAAATGATACTTTTGAGTATAGATATTATTCACCTCACCTTACCATAGGAAATCTAATGTCTCTTTCTTGCATGTTCACAAGACAAATCATCGTCAGAACAATTTGAAGTGACAGGGCACCCAAGGTAAAAGAAAGGCGGATACTTGCAATAAACAAGCTTCAAAAGGCGCTTGTTGTTGCACAGTCCGCTGTTTGTATTCTGGTAGCCGTAGGGAGCGGAGGGCATAGGTAAACAATTCCTTGTAGTCACTTACAAACACTTGATACGTCCGACTAACGTTAGTATCCGTTTGGATCCTCGCATGGATATGAAACAGCATATGCATTGATTATCAACACTAATGTATGTATATGTGTTTTACAAGGCTCCAATAAGTCTTTTCATAGGCTAGCTCAACTCAGCTCACAAGTTGCACTGCAAGTTAGGTGGTGACAGACTTACAGAATTCCTCAGATGCACACCTAGTCTCGATCTACAAACACCCAATCAAATCATCATTATTCCCGGGATATCTAAGCGAATCCGAGTTGATTGCACTGTATCCGAAGTTATTAGTGACGTGACGTGGGGTAATCCTAGTCCGTCGTCAGATCGTCGTACTCCTTCTAAACAACGACTTGCAAACTCCCGACTCTCCAAAATGCAACTCCAACCTGTTTTTTTGTTTTCGTTTTGGCCGCAATCAAACAAATCACTTTCAGGACTGAACCATGGCTTCGCTAAACATGCAGAATCTTCCAAACGAGCTCGTCGCTCACATCCTCAGCTTCCTTGACTCCGAATCTCATTTACAAAGACGCATTTACCTTGACCCTGCAAAGCTCACCAGGCCGGTATCATCCGCTCCAAATACACCCCTCAAGAACGCTTCGCTGGTATGTCGTCTCTGGAGAATTTCTGTCATGAAATTACTCTTTCGTTATGTTGTTTGGCCGTTATGGCGATTCTACAAGCCAGTCGTACAAGATATCGCATCACAAATTGAGCTCCTGGATTTCATCCGAAGAAACAACCTTTCATCCTCCGTTGATCACTTCACTATCCTGATCGATCTTCCTCTCGGATCAGGCCAGAATCGTTATCCAGATGGCCAATTCTGGGGTATTCTGCCCCCTGTATCTCAACAGCCGGAGACGCCTATGTCCTGGAATTTGTTATGGTCTGTTCTGAATCAAGAAGACCGAGACGCCGAGGGTAGTGACACAAGGACCGAGGAAGACAGAGCGCAGTGTTTTTGGGATAACAACTGGCTTTGGCATACTATCTTTGATGTCATTGATCCCTTGAGAATCACCATGATCAGCTCAATAGACATCCTCGCTTCGCTCTTGAGCCGGACCGTCGACTTGTCGAGTCACTGGGCTTTCAACAGCACCTACTATGTTCTATCATTATCACGACCATCGCGAAGTATTGCCGAGTCTAAAAGAGTACAGGTCCTGCCTTCGCATATTCCGGGATCAATGAATCGCATCCCCTGTGACTTGTTCCATATCAGAGACTGGAGTTCAGTCCTCATCAATGAAGGATCCTTCGCCCCAGTCTATTCAACCTACGAATTCTTTCACTACTCAGCAGCTACTCTTCTTCCTGCAATATTTGACTCTTCGGATCCTTCTTTCGATGCTCTATGTGCAAACCTTCATTCATTGTCCTACATCGCCACATTCCCCCTTTCTCACCATATTTCTGACCATCTCATCCCCAATTGTCCACCCGTGGAGCATCTCTATGTACAGCTGATGCCCAAGAATCGTGATTTCTGGGAGAGCAGTAGTCTTTCACGGGTGAATCTTTCCGACTTGTGGCTCGAGTGCGACACGTCTTACGCATTGCTTGTGCGTCAGTTGCTACAAACTGTTCCTCAGCCGGGTTGGCAGAAGCTGAAGGTGTTCGAGACAGGTGACACACCCGCAGAAGGAGTATGGAAGATGAATACTTATGATGGCCATATCAATGGATCAAATGGATGGAGAGAAGATAGCGAGGGTGTTTTTGTCAAGGATGATATTCAAAGTAGTAACGAACAAACTATGGCAGAAGAGTCATAAGCACGCAGCCGGGAAGATTGACAGAGGTCAGGTTTATTATTGAGAGGGCAGCATCTTGTAAACCTAAGTCTAACGGACATGGAACAATTCTATGATTGCCTTGCAACTTCATTGGCACTGTTAGAATATTGCCCCAATTCCAACAAGCCCATAGAATCTGGGTTTAATTTCAGCTACAAAGGAAGGGATTCAAAAGATAGAACACTGGCGCGGATGGCTTTGATCATCATTTATCTACATGATGCTCTATCTTGGTAGAATATGAAATCTATCACTCATCCACGACTATCCTGATCCAAGTAGCAGGATCCTTACTGAATCTTGAGCCTCCGAGGCTTCTTATAGATGAACCCTAAATCCAGACACAAACGCCTCTAAATGCACAAAGTAGTCGACTGGCCGAGTCTGTACATAATAGACACACCGCCAGAACCTAGTCCCTAGGCATCCCATTAAACCCAAAACGCCATGTCGAATACACAAAGTCTAATCTTCGTCACTATCGATATCGCCATCCTTGTCGCTGTCCGAAAAGTCTGGAACAGGCTCCATCGCTGCATGCTCCCTCATCTCTCGATACGTGCTCCAGGTCAGGCCCAAGAATGCGACAATGATCATGGCGCCTCCAACAATGGCGGCAAAGCTCAGAGGCTCCCCGGTAATCATCCAATCCACAATGGCAACAATGAATATGGTGAGCAGCGCAGCCACCGATGACAGGACGGGCGAAGTCAGCGAAATAAGAACGAGGAACGAGCCGCTGAAAGTGGCATTGGAAAGCACCGCGAGGAGAATGAGCCAGCATGTAGAAGCAGTTGGGATCTCGAACTTTTCAATGTTGAGCCAGTCCAGAATTGGGAGAGGAAGCCAGAGCACCGTGAGAGTGAAAAGCCCAATCAAAGAACCAAAGGTGTTGGCAAAGATCATACCCCTACCAGGTGAACAGCCCTCGGGTGGGCAAGCATAGCGCTTGTACAAAACCTCGTACAGACCATACAGAACTGAGCCAACGCCAATGACGAGATTGCCAAGGAACCGGTTTCCGGCCTCGACACTCTCGTCTCCCTCCTTGGTGTCACCATAAGCAACGACGAGGACACCGCCAATGGCGATCAGAACAGCAACCGACTTGTCGAGTCGAAGGGGCTCGCGAAGAAGTGGAACGGAAAATACGTATGCGAAGAAGGCGGAGCAATTGTAAATGGCCGTCAGATCCGATGGTGTTGTCAGACTAACGGCAATGTACCAACTCAAGCCAGCGACGGTCAGTGAGCAGGTAATGATGGCAGTGAATCGAACAAAATAGCGAACGGGTCTCGCGCGATGTTGAATCGATATATGAAATACATCCAGGGTCTGCTTTTCGATCATAATGGCGGTGGTGCGCAATTGCTGCTTATGTCGCTTCCAGAATACTGGCCATGGTACATCGCGCTTCTGGAAGCGCAGAATAAGGAGCTGAACTGGCCATAAAACAACCCAAGAACCGTGGGTAAAATACATCATACAGTAGGCCTTGTCCCAGCCAAGGTCGTGTTGGATGTATGCGCTCAATTCTGTCTGGACGCAGAATGCGATCAGACTGATAATGAGGAAGAATCCTGCGTACGTGTACCTCTTCTTGGTCGAATCTTCGGCAGCAGCGGCGGCAGTTTGGGGGCTTCGACTGCGCATCGTTGATCGCCGACTGAGACTTGGTCTTCCCATTGATTCTCTGGGATGATATGGGAGGTCGTCTTCGCTGGACTCCCTTGACCCCTTTGATCCATTGTTAGGAGGAGAGTAACCAGCGCGGCCGCGTTCTGGGTCATCCTCCTTGTACAGGAGAGGAGTGCCGGATTTACCATCGCCATGACGATGGTAATTCGGACGGCGAAGGTCATTGGGATCCATATTGTCCAATTCCAACCACTCGCTGTCACTATGGACTTTTGTATTCTTAGGATCGTGGCGCTTCGTGTCAAGATCGGAAGCGTCGCTCGGATGGTCGGCGGTGCCACGGGCGCCAACAACGTTTGGTCTGGCAGTCGAAGATGGACCTGGTTCGCATGTGGTATCGTCGCTAGATGATGTTGAAGAATCGGAGTCTGTAGACGATCGATTGTGACCTTGCAGAAGGCGGACTTCTTGGTCACTGGTATCACGCCGAGGCATGAAGGGAGAGGGAAGTGAAGGGGTACTTGTAGATAATAATAAAAAACCTCGACAAAATTACGAATACAATAGGCGAGGGGTGCGATAAAGGAGTGAAACGGCTTAGCTGATTTTGGGGCTGCACCGGGTTTGGTCTTTTTGGCAAATCGAGGCGTGGTATTGGATCCGTGGTATGTAAAGGTGGTGTTGAAAAACAGCCATGGATGGTCCGGGGCGGAGACAAGCGGGTCTCGAGACCCCGATTTTGCAGGGGGCTTACTCCGCTGTAGCGCAGTGGACCAACAGCGCGGGGGGGTTGTAATGGCACGGGGCAGGGGGGTTCGTCATTGTTGAACCTGGAATCCACTGGAGAACAGGCTAAGAATGTTAAACCATGAGGTGATTCTCTAGGTAGAGTCATGGGCGTTGGTAGGTAAGTTTGTTGCTAGCGACTCAGCGAGGCAGTGAGGTTATGGCGGTTACAGGAGAACCTAAGATTACGGCGAATAAGTTACCGTTAACCGTTGAAAGTGTTCTCTCGCAACTGAAATTAAACTCTCTGCTCCCACGTGCGGGAATAAGCTTATGCGTGGTACAAAAGGACACTCCTAGTTTGTTACCTACAACAGGTTTTGACCTGTCTGTAAGATCTGATTGCATTAGATGCTACCTTATTCTTATCTTGTCCTGCAAACAAATGACGCCTTCGGTCATGTGCCCTCTGCATTCTCTCCACGCGCCCCCAAAACCAAGACAACCTTTGTGAGCGGTATCATCATGCCACCAACAGAAATGACTGGCAGCACGTGAGTTTATATTCCGGTGTCTACCTATCTGCCTAGGTATGTAGGTATTCTATGCCAAGCTCTGTATTACTTCTGCCTATTGCTATTTTACTTGGCCGACGCACCAAACAGAGCCTCGTGCACATCATATGTATACTCCAAATCCCCGTGCCAGTAGTTGGCTGTATCTGCCTTGGAATACAGCCACGCCTGGTCAAGTGCCTTTACCACCTCGTCGGGCAGAGGTCCCTTTTCAACGAGCTCAAGGTTCTGCTCGAGCTGCTGGATGTTGGACATACCAATGATAATTCCATCGTTGCCATTTGTGACCTTTAGTCCGGAGTGGTGGATTATCCATCGCAACGCTGTCTCAAGCATGCTCAGTCCGTTCTTCTCGGTCGCTTCCTCGATAGCCTTCAGAGCCTTGAATGTGCTCTCTCTAAAGTATCGCTGACGATATGCGGTACCAATCTTGCTCTGATCAGAGAAACGGCCACTCTCGGGCTTGATGTCCATTGACTTGATCTTGCCAGAAAGGAGACCACCAGCAATTGGGTTATACACGACTATGTCGAGGCCGTATCTCCTGCATGCTACAAAGAGCTCTGCCTCGATAGAACGGGTGAGGCAGTTGTACATGCCCTGGTAGACCGTGGGCCGGACCCAGTTGTTATACTTGCAAATCATGACAACTTCTGCGACCTCGTACGCGGTGAAGTTGCTGATACCGAACTTGACAAACTTTCCATCCTTGTGTAGCTTGTTGATAGCCTCGAGGGTTTCTTGGAAAGGAGTGCCGCGGTCGGGACGATGGAGGTAGAGCAGCTAATGGGCGTGTTAGTGCATGCAACTAAGCTCATCGGGAGATGCCACTTACATCGATGCAGTCAGTTCCCAGCTCCTTCAGACTGGTCTCAACTGACTCGATGACCTTGTCGTATGTATTTTCGCCAGGTTGGGCGGGATACTTGACCTTTGTGTCCACGGTAAGTCCTCTCTCTTTCCAGTTGGTCTGCGAGCCAGTCCAGCCCTCCTGTTTGCCGCCAACATAGATGCGGGCAGTGTCGACTTCGTTGTAGCCCTTACTTTGAAAGAGGTCAAGAGCCTTGTTGTAAGTTTCAGGGTCAAAGATACGCGCGTCGAGCTGTTCACTACCAGGGGGTCCAAAGGTCATTAGGCCCAGGATAACACGAGGCTTGACGTTCTGTGTTACGAGAGGCATTGCGACGGTTGATGGTGTTTGTTGGTGTTTTAATTTAATTTAAGACTACAAGCAAATGAAAGATGGAGGGGTCAAGCTCTTTATAGATCCTCGGAAAGGATTTGTTTCGGAGATGTGACTCTTAAACTCCAGCTCTTTATTGTTGTGCCTTTCCGCGACCTACAGCTCATCATAGCACCCCACCAACGTCTGCGGCTTCGGGCGGGGTATGATTTCGGTAGATAGTAGGCAGTTACAGCCAAATGAGCGCCATGAGAGTTTAAACAATCGGATCATCATCCGAGAAATTTGTTTACGGGCTAGCACAAGGCATTGGTGGATTAATAATACTGTACATGCGTTTCAGCCTTTGACCGACGATCACGATGCCGTGATAACGAAAGGAGTTGAAGGAGTTGAAGCTCCTACATATAAGCTACTCATCAGGGTTAGCTTCATGACGTAGATCCACGGTTGTGCTTTGGTCCAGAGCATCATCGGACTTAGGCCCTGGTAGAACTATATGTCCACTGAACTGACCAGAACAACAGGATGTTATCTTATCAAGTCTGGGCTACCGCTGGATCCAAGGACCCATCATGGAACTCGCAGTGACTCGCTGGGTATCACAACCTGTGTGCTGATGCCATCAAAACTTAAAATGTTGCATAGACAATGGACCAAAGGTCAAGCTCCCATGAATCTGAACAAGTCTGAGCCTATATGGCTACTGTAATCAATCTCTCCATTAAGAAAACCCATTTAATTTAGAAACACAACAAGAGACGCTCTTGCGAAGAGCGTGTCATTTGAATAATGTGTTTGAGGTGGGGGTATATTTCATTGTCTTTAAATATCGGATAAATATCGGTGGCTGATAATCCGCCTTCAACTCCAAAATCTCAGTGTCGCGATCGGATTTTGAGCTTCCCAATTGCCGAGTCCATTCCCGCTACCATTTGCGAATGTGCCGTTTCAAACATGCTTTTGTAGGAATAAAGACATCATCGGCAATGAGCAACGGCTAACTCCCTCAGACTCTCCTCCTCATAGACTAATTCCATCATGAGGGCGCAATTGGCCCGCCATGCTCGACGGGTCCTTATCCAACAAGTCCGATCCCCGTCTTGCGCTGTCTATTCGGCCCCCCTTCGACGAAGATGTGCACCTATCGCAATCAACAATGGTTCCTCAAGACGGTTCTTCCTCGACGGCCTGTTCGCCAAAGCTCCCCGCGAGATTCGCCAACCCGAATTCGAACCAGGATGGCAGAAGATTATGATTTGGAGGAGTCGCATGCTCGACAACTTACGGCCGCCGCCCACAGAAGAGCTCATCCAGGCATGGAAATCTTTCTTCGAGGGAAAGCTGTCTAGTCGAATGGCATTGAATGGCACACAAGCGATGCAATGCCGTCGACTCCTCGAATATCTTGTTAAAGAACGCGAATTTCCGACCCAGGCCAAGATTGAGATATGGGATATTCTGAAGGCACTCACTGCTCTCGAGAGCCTCCGGCCTCGCGAGAGAACCGAGCATCATTTAGATTTCGCCAGAACCCTTTGGTCCGCCATCAATAACCCGAAGGTGCAGACGCCAAACTGGGTGACTAGTGGTACACTATGGTCACAGTACCTCACTGTACTATGCACCTTTGGTGGGTCGAAAGAAGCTCTCGAGATTGCCTACGCAAAATGGAACGATGTAATGGAATTCTGCAAGAAGAAGACGAAAAATCCGGTATTATCCTTGGCGGATGGACTTGCCAGGGACGGCCGTGAAGAGGACCTTGTCGAGCTGATCAATTATACCGAGAAGAGCGGCTACCCCTACGACAAGCACCTTCAGCGCGTGCTAGTCACTTATTATGCCCAAAATAACCGAGTCTCCGAGACAAAGCAGTGGTTCGAGAAACCACTCTCATCAGGAAGTCCGTCAAACAAGATTATACCCCTGGTCGCTTCTTTTGCTGCCCGCAACAACCTGCAAGAATGGGCGATCCCTTTTTTCCTTGAGATCGGTAACAAACTCAACGAGAAGCCGGAGCAGCATTACTGGGATAGCCTGTTACAGGCGATTCTCATCATTGGTAAAGGCTTACCAGAGGTGGAAAAGATGATATCCCACATGGACAGTTCCCAGGAAGCTATCAAGACCACCACAGCCACCATTAACAGCCTTCTCCGCGCTGCTCTGGGAATGAACGACTCGTTATTAGCTGAGGAGATTCTCTCGCTTGCTACAGACAAGGGTCTCCCGCTGGACGGCGAATCTCACCTTATCCTTATGGAGATGCGGCTTCATGCAGGCTATCTGCCAGGAGTTCATGCAGCATACAAGAAAGTCACACACCACGAGCCCTGGCATGTTCAACCTGATCTCTGGTGGGATTTCGGTCGACTTGTAAATGAGTATATGATGACTCTCACGACGCAATCGACACCAAATTTCAAGATCATCGGAGAGATTATCGAGATGTGTGAGGAGAACCAGGTGCTCCTTGAGCCAGAGACAGTTGCTTCGCTGTGTATCCGATTCTTAGAGAACGAGCAGCACTACGAGGTTATGGACATATTATCCGTCCACTCGTTCCAATTCAGCGCAGCGGAGCGAGAGGTCATTCAAGATGCATTCACCCAATTCTGTGTGAATCGCGAAACCAGCACTTCGCGAGCATGGAACGGGTACCAGATTTTACGGCAGTTCTTCCAGGATCTTAGCTTTGAGCACCGTGTACAGCTGATGGAGGCCTTTTTTAAGCGAAAACGTCCAGACATGGCATCCCATGTCTTTGGCCACATGCGACAGCACCGAAATAGCGACTACCACCCCAAGCGTGAGACATATATATCATGTTTTGAGGGTTTATCACGATGTCCTGATGAAGAGCCTCTGGACATCGTTCACAACATGCTCAAGATGGATACAACAGTTGAGCCCAACACCCAGCTCTATACCTCTCTCCTATTAGCTCATGCGGCTTGCGGAAAGACTACCCAGGCAATGGACTTTTGGCAAGCGATCACAGCCTCCCAAGAAGGACCTTCTTATGCCAGTTTAGAAGCTGTATTCTGGGCTCTTGAGCGTACGCCGAATGGTGCAAGCCACGCACACATCATCTGGAAGCGGATAAAGAGTATGGACGTTGATGTGCCGCCGGCAGTGTACAACGCATATGTTGGTGCTGTTGCTGGCAGTGGAGAGGAGGCGGGGGTTAAGGATCTTATTATGCGAATGAGCTTGGCGACTGCGGGCGAACCAGATGCAATGACGTGAGCTCCAATACCATCCTCCTACTGATTTAGCAAATTGCTAACATGAAACTAGACTGGGCATTGCTTTCAATGCTTTACCAGGGCAGACGCTGCAATCGAATTTCAAAAGCTGGGCTCAAGCAAGGTATCCTGAAGCATGGGCTAGCCTCGAGTCCAAGGGTAAGCGACTCAACAAAGACTCGCTGTGCCAATACAAGCTCAACAGAGTAATAAGAGCTTGAGTGTATCAAAAAGATTTTGCATAAAAGGAAGAGCTGTTTGGAGGTAGACAATTGTATCAATATGTTACATAGAGGTTGAGGCTGTTATACATATGACCAAAAAATAATGACCATGACATCAATCATCCCAGACAACATAAACGCCGGCACAGAACAAGTCGTTTTCCCCTTTCTATATACGACTGGTCTACTTGTGGCGCGAGAAGAATTGGTCTCGGAGCATCTCAGGGTGAGCGTGCACGCTGGGGTAGATGCCCATGCCTTGTACTCGGCGAACCATCTTGGCCACCTTGCGCTGGTTGACGGGCCGAAGACGTGTGAGATTGGAGTGGTTGATCATTCCAGAGGTTGATGTGAAGTGCTCGATAAGAGAGAAGTTCTAGACGAAATGTTAGTATGCATAACAATTGATGAGCGATATGAACACACCTTGTACATATCAAGAGGGCTGATTCCAAGAGCATCGATGACATCGTTATTCCGCACAGTCTTCTTCCTCCACTTCTGCATCTCGACGGGACTCAAATCATGCGGCGAGTAGACGTCACCAGCCTCCCATCGTCTGGGCATCTGCTTGAGGAAGTCGTTGGACATCTTCTGGTTCTTGAGAAACTCCATCTGCGCCGTCTTCTCCATAGTGTACGAGTTTGTCCGCGTCTTAAATCTCTCTAGGAGCCTTGCAGCAGCATCTCCTCGACCTCCTCGACCAGCTGGCCCCTTGCTGTTGCTGGCATTTAGACTAGCAAGCCGGCTGGCGTGTCCACCGGAGGGGGGTTGTCGGCCGGGAGCTGCAGTAGCTGCTGTGGTGGAAAAGGGACGGAAGACGCTGCGCGCAATTGTCGAGGCCGTCGAGGCCGTCGGTAGTTGAGGGGGCATTTTTGGGCGGTCGAATTGGCGGTTGCGAGGCTCTGGAGCTGATTTTGGTGATGTTCGACCGTTGGAGGTTTTTCGACCAAGCGGAATGCGGCGGGGCAGATTCCGCGACTCCACCCAGATTTTATCGTTTTCTCATCCAACCTTGAACTTTTATATCGCGGGACAGCAACGATCCCCTCTCTCCCAACAACTGCTCCGACACATAACAAAAGACCCATCAAGCGAGTAATACGGAGTGCTTAGTACTTGGAGGTGAACAAATACCGCGATCATGGTCCGAAAACTCAAGCATCACGAGCAGAAGCTCCTCCGAAAGACAGACTTCATCACATACAAATCCGACAATGGCCATCGCGACAAGGCCGTCATGCGACGGTACATGATCCAGAAGCCCGAGGACTACCACAAGTATAATCGTCTTTGCGGTGTAAGTCTAGGCCACTTCAATCTCAGGCGCACATTCATTGTACTGACAATCGCAGTCCCTGCGCCAACTCGCCCATCGCCTTTCCCTTCTCCCCCCCGAGAACGCAACACGCCGCAAGCACGAAGAACTCCTCCTCAACAAGCTTTACGACATGGGCGTCCTTTCAAGCGCCTCTAAGCTCTCTGCTGTCGAGAACAGCGTTACCGTCAGCGCTTTCGCGCGCCGTCGCTTGCCTGTGCTGATGACAAGACTGCGCATGGCTGAGACTGTGCAAGCGGCTACGAAGATGATTGAGCAGGGCCATGTGCGTGTGGGCACAGAAACAGTCACGGATCCCGCGTACTTGGTTACTAGAGGCATGGAGGACTTTGTGACATGGACTGTGGGCAGCAAGATCAAGAGGAACATCATGAAGTACCGTGACCAGCTGGATGATTTCGAATTGCTATGATGTGGCTCACAAGGTGGAAAGGGGAGGGGAGGCGAATGCATGGGCAATTGGGAGTTTGGGCGTCTTTGTATGTGTTCTTCGTTGGAGGAGTACACCATGAGGGTTCAAAAGTTTAAGTTTGATAATGGCTCTATTTGCGATAATAGACTTTTGGTCAAATCTCGACGCAGTGTTTTTGTTGTGTGGGACGTACAATTCTGGCAGATGACATGGGCAGCTCCTTTTTGGTGCTCAGACAATGTTTTCCGTGTTTCTGCCTTGATAGTCCCCTTAGATCAACCAAAATCTTACATGGATGGCGTCATGAACGACATGAGGGCAAGCCCTGAGCAATGGTTCAGAGATATTCTTAGTCGAGAATAATTGTATCGGGCAGCTCAAATCTCAAATAGAGGTTGGTCAAGATAGTTGGGTATATGATAAGCCAGGACCATAATTATATTTAGGAGAGGCGTGTTCCCAGGATCAGCATCTGCAAAAGTACACCCACACTCTGCAGAAATAATATCATGCTACACCACACAATTGATATACTAAGAACGATACAGTGACAATCATGATTGCTGTTGGGTGCCTTCGGCCCCGCTCGGCTCCGTATCCGGGAGGCGGAGAACTTACAAAATGAGCCGAGTCCCGTGTTGGGGTCTAAGTCAAAAATCCCCCATCCTACTCTATATAAAGCAATTCCTCTTCCTTATATAGCACACGCATACGTATGTTTCATGGTCTACGTGCTTAGATCACTGTGACTCATTGCCCCTCATGGCAGTTCTTTCAACCCTCAAGGAGCTCATAGAGTGCCTCACTGGCCCCTATCTTTTCATGGGAATTGCTATGCGTTTCCTTCCCGGCACTCTTCTCGAAGTTATCAGAAACAAGGACTTCCGAACTTTGTTCTCACCATCCCGCTTCAAGGATGTTTGGTTCGGCAACTTCTGGGCGTTCATCGGGCCGCAGGTAAAAGCCAATGCCGAGAGCCGTGTCATTCCATTACTCGAAGGCCGTGTGAGAAATGGCCATATGGGAGACGAAGTTGTTGGAGAGCCCATTAACGGCGTTGTTCTTGAGATCGGTGCGGGAACCGGAATGTGGGCGGATGTGTTTGCCAAAGTCAACGTTGGAGTGAACAACCAAGGAGATGTTGATGGAGAATTGAGAAGAAGAAAAGGAGGCAACGGGTTGACTCGTGTGTATGGCATTGAGCCAAATCCCAAGTCTGCGGCAACCCTGCGGCAACGAGTGAAGGAGATTGGCCTTGATGGTATTTATGAGGTTGTCCCCGTGGGCATTGAATCTCTCAACGATCCGGAGTCGTGGGATGGGCGCATTGAGCCAGAGAGTGTCGATTGCATCGTCACAATTTTGTGTCTCTGCAGTATTCCTGAGCCTGACAAGAACATCAAGCTTCTGTATCAGAGTCTCAAGAAAGGCGGTCGATGGTATGCCTATGAGCATGTGCGCATCAATGAGAACAGGGGCGTCCTCTTGCGTGCCTATCAATGTGAGTCAGTCATACACCCCAGAAAAGCAATTGCTGATAACGATAGGGGTTACTGGTCTTGTGTGGTCACAGGTCATGGGGTCGTGCCGCATTTGCCGATCGACGGGGAAATCCTTAAGAGAAGCCGGGCCATGGGAGAAGATTGACCTAGCACAGCCTGAAGGAGAGGCAAGATTTGGCATCCTTCCCCATGTTGTTGGAACATTAACCAAATAAGCGGGTGTCCATAATATTTCACGACTACCGGAACCATGTCGCGGCTGGGAATCAAAACATGAGTTATGCCTTATGGGTATCAAATCGGTGCGCCAACACCCGTCACAGCTCGTCATCGTCATCGTCATCTGAGAGGAATATCGAGGTTCTTATACTCGACCCATGACCCTCAGTCTTGATCTTCTTCTCACCCTCCATCTTGGTGTCAACGGCCTCCAGTTTTGTAGTATACGTCTTCACCAAAGCATGGTTGGTGTCATCTTTTTTGACGTCCTCCCCTTTCAGGGTCAGACTAACATCCTTCTTCTCATCCTTGACCTCTTCTTTGGCATCGATGTCGTGCTTAGTGTCCACCTGAGCAGTGTCTTTCACATCCTCCTCCTTGATGATGCCTTCTTGTATAAGCTTCGCAGCCCTCCTCTTATAAAAAGTGTCTAGACAATTTCTCCTTGCCTCTTGACTCCAACTCTCCACAACAAGTGCAAAGTCTGTTGCATTCCTGAAGCCAAACTCTCTAGCCATTTCGCAGAAATGTCGGAGCATTACTTCTTCAGGGGGGTTGTACATACTGTGTAGGCCGTCTCCTTGTTCGTCATCGGTGTCCGCGAAAAGGGCGCTCTGTCCATCAACATCTCCAGATGAGTATGTCGTCATGACAGCCCGTCGTGAGAGTTGCTCCTCGACTTTGGACGTTCCAATCACCTCACTATTGTCGTGTGTATACTCGACACCCGCAGAAGTGAGGATCGCTTGGATCGCGTCGCTCTTTGGCTTTTTGGCCTTTTTGGATTCAATCATTCGTTGCTGGTTCTCTGCTGTGAGCAGAGTGGCAAGCTGACTCATACCACCATCTTCAGCATCAGTTTCTTCATTCTTCACCACCGCAAGGTCCTCTCCATCCTTAGCCGCCTGCTCCATGTTGACATCCACAAGATGCACGCCCGCTTTTGCTTCGGCAATATTTGTCTTGTTCACAATTTCCTGCAATAAGCCACTATCGTTATGGTATGTAAAGATGTTGGCAAGACCAAATATTTCACCCTTTCGATCAGTGTCCTGTTGGACACCCTTGAAGTAACGACGTTCAGACGATGCAGTGTAGCCAATGTTTGCTTGCTGCTGTTTATAAATCTGACGCGCGTACACAATCTCCTCGACTGTCCCGAGCGATATAAGGCGGAAAACCTCAACATCGCGAGTCTGGCCGATACGATAGGCTCGATCCTGGGCTTGAAGGTCATAAGACGGATTCCAGTGAGGATCAACAATAACGACTTTATTCGCAGATGTGATGTTGAGTCCCACGCCGCCAGCTTTGGTCGAAATGAGGAAGACAAACTGCGTCGGGTCGGAGTTGAATGTGTCAACAACTTCCTGGCGTTGTTCATAGCTCAGGGAGCCATCCAGATAGCTAACAGTGTAGCTCGTATTGGTGAATAGATGCTGGAGGATACGAAGAAGTCGCACACTGTGAGAGAAGACAAGGACCTTGTCTCCATTTGAGTGCCAGAATTTGAGCAACTTCTTCAGAACTTTCCATTTTCCACAAAACTCGGGATTAACAAGATTCTTAATCCGATCCCGGTTATCGTAGACATATTTCCAGTCCTCGGGCAAGCAAGTTCGAAGAGTGTTTAAATCTGACTCGTGTTTCCCCTCCAAGTCGGTGGTTTGTGGCACAAGGAGAGTAAGATGATTTGCCATCTTTTGCAGCACGATCATGCTGGGGAAAACAATGTTCTGCCAGCGCACGCCGCTAGAAAGATGGCGATCACAGCACCATCCTCTCTTCTTGTCTCCACAGCAGGGATCAGAAAGGCTGCGAAGGAGATCGATGTCCGCGCTTTCCAAAAAGTTCTCGTATGCTTCCCTCTGGAGATCTGTAAGTGGACAGAAGACGACTCTGTCGGTTTTCTTGGGTAGTTGCTTTGCTATGATGGACTTCATTCGCCGAAGGAAATACTGTGGTAGCAGGTTGTGGACCAGTTTATCAGCTGTTGTTCTTGCCAGGCTGAGCTGAGCTTTAGTTGCATCGTGAGACTGGCCAACAGTCAGGGGCTTGGTGACTCTTTGTGTCCATTCTGCCAAAGTCCCGAAGTGACCAGGGTTAGTCCAGTCCAGTAATGTCCAGAGCTCTTCATATCGGTTTTGGATCGCGGTACCAGTGAGGCCCAGGCGACAGAGTGCATTGATCTCATTGAGAGCCTTGGTGGTTTCTGAGTATCTGTCTTTCAGCCGGTGACATTCATCAGCAATCACTGCGTCCCATTGAACCATGTTGATTGAGCTTCGGCTGTTCTTGTATGTGTCATAAGTGGTGATCATAATTTCGACTAGCCCTGCACGGGCAGTACTCAATGCGTCGTCCTTATGGGATCCGTGGAACAGGTCAGTATGCCACCAGCCCCAACGATCCAACTCGTTCTTCCAGTTCACGATGAGAGACCCCGGGCAAATAATCAATATTCTCGGATACCACCTGTCGGGATATTGGCGGATTTGTCTAAGCCGCTTAGCGTCACGCTCGTCGCCAGTCTTGCCAAATGCAACTGCTAGAAACGCAGCAACTTGCACCGTCTTTCCGAGACCCATGTCATCTCCCAGGATACCGCCTTCTTGGTAGACAAACTTCCTGTGCAGAAACGAGACGCCAGCGACTTGATAATCTCGAAGATACTGTGCGATCGACGCTGGGATGAGACCTGCTGATTGGGGTAGCTCAATATCTTTGTACGGTCTCGAAGGTTTTATGCCACTGCTTTCACTGAACCTGGGTCGCTCTTCCAGCTCCCTGAGTCTTCTAGTTTCTTCGAAGTGGATTCCCGAGTAATCAGGAGGCACCATAAGAGCATTATCGTGGTGAAGTTTCCTCTTAGTGTCAAACTTGCGCCGTCGCTCGATCAGGTAATCAGGTAAACCTGCGAGTTCGTAATCATCTTTGGGTGCTTCGGCCTCTCCATGTACATCATCCCCTTTCTTTTTGCGAGTTGGCTTTCGCCCGCCACGACGCTTCTTGGGCTTTGCTGGTAGATCTTCTTCGTCTCCAGTCCATTCTACCTTCTCTTCAATGTCAGCTGCAGTGTCGTGTTTTCTTTTTCCTGCGGTTTTTGTAAAGGATGAAGTGTGACCCTCAGAATCTGAGTACGTGCCTTCATCGTCAGGTATTTCTATTACATCTGATGGTGCAGGAGGCATAACGAAGAGTGAGGTCAGTGGTGAAGAACACGGTATGATGAACGCGTGGCGACGCGCTGTAGCGTCATAGGGAGCGAAAGCACGTGATTATATTTATGCATATGCATTTATGCATTATGTCATTCTTAAGCCAACCTCGATTGCCAAACTATCGCCATGGTCTCAACAAACGGCTTAGAGTTATGCATGATAGTATCAATCTCAATCGCAAAGCTAGATACGCGTACTCGTTATTCTAATTCTTGTCTTTTTGTGGACAATCAAAATGCCCAAGCTGAAATATTAGCTCCACCTTTGTTTCCATTTGGATCCATTGAACGCACAGCCACAGCGATCGCCCATGATGAACCGGCTCGACAATGCCAAATGATCCTGAGTCGGTAATCGTGAGTTTAGTGATCCTTTTCCCTTTCTTTCTGGGACTTTACGATGACACTACCAAATTTCGATGTTACCAAAGTTCCAAATATCAACGTAAGACAAGACAAACACTGCCAAATATAACCAAATTTGTACTTTGGTGCTGCTGTTTTCATCTAATCAGTAGTTTGAGTTTGACGTGTCTTGAAAAGTGTCCGCCTATGGATAGCGCATTGTCCATCGAGAACAGGGGACCCATGTCACACACATCTGCCGATGCAAGTCTGTACAATGGGACGAAGAGCAGTCACTTGTTCGCTTCAGCTTCAGCTTCATGTCGCGGAGAGAAAGTGTCGCGGGGACGGTAGTATTGACGTGTTAAGGGATTGTTGGATTGACGGGTATCGAATTAATTACTAAAAAGCCCAGTGCATCTTTGCATTGAGAGCCAACCCAACATGCGCCTCCATCATGTCGTGACTAAACAAAGGAAAACAAGAAACTTGAATCGCGCCCATGCCAGTCGTAAAATCAGCATCCAGCGCCAAGCGCGGAACACCGGCGTAAGGTATCAAAGCGAGGAAAACAATCTGCACAGCTCGTCACAGCGTCGTCGGCATACAGCATGCACCCGGATTGCTCGGCAGTCATTGGTGTCTTGGCCTTGGCCGTCAGACAAGGTGTCGCATGGATAATGACAACCGATGGCTGACCAGTCTTGGGCAATTAGAAAGCGGGGCAGCCATCATTGAAGCGATCCGAGAAGCGCCGCAGAGCTGAGGTGCGAGGTGCGAAGAGGCTTAGTACTTCAGGATGATGTACAGAGCGTGGATGATACCGGGGATGTAACCTGAAGCGGAACGTTAGTAAACTGCTGAGCAATGTGCGAAGGGACGGTCAAGGGATGATGGGTAAGCCCGAAGCCTCGGAGGGGTCGGATGCGGCTGGATGATGGAGGTTGGGATGAGGAGAGACAAGAGGAACGTACCCAAGATGGTAAGGAGGATGTTGATGAAGAAGTCGGCACCGCAGCCACGCTCGAGGAAGACACCTACGGGAGGGAGGATGATGGCAAGGAGGATCTTGCAAATGTCGCTGTTTAAAAAGTGTCAGTGGGTTTAATCTTGGTGATTGCTCAGTCAACCACGACGACTCGAGCGTCTCGTCCTGAGCTACTGGCTGTCATGTTGCGACAGCCCTAACAGCGGATCGCTCGGGATGACGTTGTGAAGCCGAGTGTGGTTGAAGATGTCGAGCTTACCTAGCAGTGAAAGGCATGTTGTCGGTTGTAAAGGCGAGGTATTACTCGGAAGTGTGTATAGTAGGTAGTGGTAGTGGTTGAGAGTGAGAAGATTGGATAGCTTCGTTAGACAGAGTTTGTATGAGATGTTGGGAAAAAGATTTTGGTTGAGAGGGAGATGGTTTGTCTTTTATACAAGCTTCGTCACAAACGGGCGGGCCAAGGACGGGCATGGCATCACATCACTCATTACGGATACACACCCATTCAACCTTAGCAGGTACTCACTGCCAACCCAATTTCGTTCCGTAGCTTTCCAACTTTCCCTGACCAAGTAACATCAAGCGTCCGCGCAACCTCAATCGCACCTTTACTTTCTGGGCACTGCGTCATCGACTGACTAGGATGAGGCAAGCCACAGGGACGACGAAGAGGAACAGAGCGTGGGCCAAGCAAAATGTGCCCTGCTTTCTCTTTTTCCGCCTGACCTCTTGTAGACTTGTACTTGGGTACATGAGTTTACAAGATTAGCAGTCGGGTGAGCCCGTCCGGAAAGAAAAAACCAGCTGGTTACCTCACAAACACCATCAATAAATGCTACGCTGGACTGCATTATAGCCTCGAGACTGAGAAAAATCAAATATCTATATGAGCCTACGGACTCGTATTTCTGTGTAAATAAGTTTTGTATCGCTCTCTATCAGTATGTGCTTGATATACTACAGTGGACAATGGTATAAGTGAGTTCGCTTTTCTTTCCATCACCCCAGCCAACTTGTCACGGAACTGACAAGGTTTCTCGGGCTACGTCATGAGGCGAATGCCGCAGTGTGGCTGGGGCGAGCCTCAATCAATCGCCAATTGGACATGATCTTAGCAACGTGATTGACGATGTGAAGGATTCGTTAATCGCTGTGGCTGAGTTATCGCAATCCTTCATTCTCGTTGCCAAATTCAACCTCGAATCTCGATATAGATCTGTGTATCATGTGCTGTGGCCACACTGAGCCTCTCTGATATCGCAACTGACGGTTCATGGTTCGAGAACGGATTGGACGTTGATGTTATGCAGTGTGCCTGACAAGCAAGATTACCTGACACCCAATTGTCGTAAGCAGCACGTTACTGGGCGACTACCACTAAAAGATGCCGAGTCTACCGACCCCCAAGTCCTTACAACAGGGTCGATTAAAAATGCCCTGCCTGAAAGGGAAACATGATTGTTGCTAAAATTTTCTTTGGTCATGCTCTGGGAATAAGCGCCCGAGCTGGCCTGCAGATTCTAGATTAACCTGATTTTGGTGTGGCTTGTCATGGTCTCCGCTGGCTCAGCTTGGCTCTTGGCTGGTCAATCTCATGTTTCAGAAGATTCGAGCGCACGCGTCAGTGCCAAGCATGAACTGAAGTTCCAAGCCCTCTATCACGGCCTCACCGGCACTTGCTAGGTGGAGGGCCAAGAGAGGACGAGTCGCCAGCCCCATTTCGACAAGTCTGGTCCTCGCCTGCAATCTCTCTCCCCTTGCGGTCTTTTCAAGGAAAGCGTCACGATAAGGATGAGTCCGTCTCAAAGTCAAACTTTGGGTTATGATCTCAGAAGATGATACGATGATATCAGTGTTAACACATCAATAATCCGGGGTTTGTAAAGTTTGGCCCCAGCTGTGCCGAACATGCAGGGCTGTGGAATACGGTTCGCCCAATGGCGATCAGTCCTAGAGGATTTTCGCACTGACAAAAGCAAGCCGAGCATCACCGCTCTCTATCCAGTGGTGGTTCCAGTCCATCAATGTAGGTACATAGTCAAAGTGTCAGAACGGCGTTCGTCAAATTATTGAACTTGGTGCCGGCATTGCAAGTCATCAGTTTCGAGACAATACCATCTTTTCATATGTTACGTAACTTTACAGCTATCAGTGTTTGTTCCACCAGTAACCTCTGAATATGGCCTTGTGAAAGGCCATGGGCAAATGAACATAATGCCTTGACATACGTCCGATTCGTCCAACCATCCAATTACGTCTAAGCCAAGGTAACTAAAACGACCGCTAAGGGCCAGTTGAACTCGAGATATTGGGGGGAAACTAGCACTTACGTATGCTGAGACTTGATCTGATAGTGTCATACAGATCGACTCCAGTGTAGTGCCAAGCACACAGACGGCTGCCTGTACTGGAGGAAAAACGATAAATAATACCTAGATCAGCGATCTGGCTTAATTTCTTAACCCGATGATATCAGTGCTCACCTAATTCCCGCAGTATGATGAGAATATGGAAGACCTTGGTCTCAAACAAGATGTCGACGAGGTGTAGGGTATTTCACAGCCACGACTACCTCGTATCATCCCCAGACGGCATGATGAGCATTACTTGAAATATAGGGATGAAGCAAGGAACCTTCGGCAACAGTACAGCAAAAATGCATTCAGTTACTACGACTATGAATTATTGTTATATTAGTGGAGCAGCAGCAACACAATGCTGTATTCATCATTATGTAGTCTTATCGCTATAGGCGATTTCATTATATGAAACTTTTTGCTATGGTACATTACCATGCACCCAAGCCATAAATATCTCTGCAAAACCCAGTGAACTTATCATACGAGAAACTTGGAACACGAGCCGTGTTCTTATTAAGAACCAGTGGCTTATTCCTCCTTGATTTCAGGAGTGACTTCCCATCGCTTTCCAAAGAAAACGGTGCCCAAGATCTGAGATCCAACGATGTATCCAATGTAAGCACCAACAACAATGGTGACGGGCCACTTCTGCCACTCGCGATCCCAGTCAAGAGGAATGGGAACAGCTCCAAGCCAAGCCCCAACCACTGTTCCAACAAAGCCGCCAAATGTCTGGTCAAATGGAGCTGATACACCCACCACACTCTGGAGAGGCACAGGGTCGGAACCACGAACGTAGAAGATAGGATAAATCGCGAGGACGGCGATATGTGCGCAGCACAAGAATGTATGAGGCACGTGTGTAAGGAATGGCGCGCCAAAGAGGACAAGGAGAAGATGAAGAGCCGGTGTCAGGATTAGAGTTAGGAGCAATGAAATAACGGCGGTCTAACCATCGACATTAGTTTTATGGCTTCCATGCACAACAGATATACTTACAGGAATGGCCTTTGCCTCCCGTCCATCCGACTTCTTCTTCTCACCAGGACGAGGCTTCTTTGACGACCCCGAGGATCCCGCTGGTGGAAGACTCAGTATAAGATAGACGGCCTGAATGGCAGCAACAACTGGAAGGCCAGTCTGAAGAGTCGAAACGGGATCGGCTACCAGGGCATCGAAGCGCCAGTAGAACAGGCCAGCGAGCAACAGCTGATGAGCGACTGATGCGGGCAGAGCGGCAGGAGAATTGACGAGCGGAATCGCGGGCACGGCGGCCTTGGGCGCGGGCTGTTGGGCGGGGGTCCCGCTCTTGACAAGTGTTGTCGACATGGTGACGGTGTCGACAAGTGGCATTGACGAGAATCGTAAAAGGAGTGTGTATTGGGCAATTGCTCGTAGCTTGTCTCGTCGCGATCGCCAACAGGGTGATTTAGCTTAGCTTGAGCTGACAGCTGTAGCTGGATACCACATCACGTTTTAGGTCACATGATATTGGAAGCTGGCCCAATGTTCGGCTCCGAAAACTCTCTCCTCCGCGCCGTTGCCTCATGGTTTCACTCACAACAGCAACTGGGTGATTCTTTTGAGCCAGAATTCTCCGAAAGAGGTCTGTCGTCGGCACGGGAATAGACAGACTAAGAATAAACCACGGGAACGAATGAACCAGAACCGGCATCGGCATCGGCGAGAGCCAAGGCAATCATGGCATGGTTATCATCATCTGGATCTCATGCGATCAAATCTGGCCTGTCCTGTCAATCTGGGCCAGAACCTAGAACGTGACTAGAAACATGGGCATGTGCATTTTGGGGTAGCATGAGAGCCTCGTGAGTGGTTGAATGACTATCATATCATGGCAAACCCAGGTGCTATTTGCAATCCAAGGTCACGAATGCAACCACTTGCTCTTCGCCGTTCCCCGGAAACAGCGCAGGCCATTGCTTCCTTCAGGATCCAGAAATTCCAAGATCCTTTTTGGGATCCTTCAGAATCAGTCGATAACGACGAAGTGTTGACGGGAGAAACAGGGTGTTGGTAAGGGTGTGCCAATTGACCAATCGCCAGCGTCACCGGTCCCCGCCGACCAAATCAGAATCGCACCACAAACGCCCTCGACGACCTAGAAATCGTGCCATGCACCTCTGGGCTGTTGTGCTGACTGATAGTTTGCGGTGAACAATGATTGGCCAGCTGTCAAAACACCCTCAAATACCCCAGGATCCAGGTCTCTACAGTGGCATGATGGTCGCCAAACCAGATGAAATCTGACCATAATGGATGTATTCGGCTGCACGGGTTCTGGGAGGTCGCCGTTTGAAGGAATCCGTGATCAAATTTCTGATCTCTCGTGAAAAATGATCGGCATCGCAATTCTGTATAAGAGGATGCTATCTACCGTTCCCAAAGATAGTCTCTTTTCTCATCATCAGCTTCTAAAGCATCAACAGAGCAATAACAACTCTCCACTCAACAAACATCTTCACCACCTTCAATTCTTTGGTCATATTACTAGTGGGCTTCCTCTAAGGACAACTTGAGATCGATTTACCTGAAAACAACTCAACTCAACCTGACCACTTACACCAACTCAACTCCTCTAAACTCAATCAACATGTCTCCCATCGTTGTTCGATCTGCCGCCCGCGCTGTTCAGCGCCGCCAATTCTCTCTCCTTACTGCTATGCGAAACGCTGGCCGAGCCATGGAGTCTCACCCATTCGAGCGTCTTCCCATCACTCAGCAGCCTGCTAAGCCCGACTACGCCAAGATGTTCAAGCGAGTTGGAAGCCAAGCTCTCTTGTAAGTTGTTCTGACGTCCAAGACTCTGCCAATATCATATAAACTAACACCGTCTCAGCTTCTTCCCTGGCTTCGCTGTCATCCTCGGCTGGCCCCTCGCTGCCCAGTATGCCTTCGACGGTCGACTGTAAAGGATAGATATGCAGAAACACCCAATCTCTTGGATAAACATCGACCGAGCAAGACCTGACGGTAACACTACTCAATAAACACATGCACGCATGGATACTGGGATATTGGGAACCGATTGTGACAATGCACAGTCACTTGTACATAGCATGGAAAGGCGTTGAGGTGCATTGCAGGAAGGGTGCTTAAAGCAACCCATCTACGACTACATACGATTATTTTCTAGAACTATATAATTCCATACGTTATAAATTCGGAGCTTCTTTCTTTTGTGATCACTGCCCATTGTCTCCAATATTCGCAGTTTATCTCAGGCACCCTGCTTGATGTTCAGATGACATTACATCACTTACACAAATCATCCGATGCATGATGCATCAACGATATGGGGTACTTTAGCGATCGCTATCCTTGAGAACTCTATCTTGCAATGAAACGACTCCCTGGCAATATCTCATGAGCCCCCCAAATACGCCGAGTTATACTCCGAATGTCCCTCAGCAGATTTACAACATGACCGCTTCGACGCATATTCTTTAAATCTATCATCCTAAAATAAAAAATACTTAGGTAAACTTGGGCAAATTTATTATAGATTGAGGAAATTAAGGTAAATTGAGGTAAATTTAGATAAATTTATTTAGCAAACTTAGGTAAATTTAAGTAAACTTGGGAAAATTTAGTATAGGCTTAGGACGCCTTTAGGCCAGTATACTCTAAATCAGCTCTCCGTCACCATCTTCGACAAGGTCGTCGTCTTCATCCCAATCAACTTGGCCAGCCATCTCCTCTGCTTTTCGCTGGACTTCGGCCAGGCCCGATAGCTCTGCCACATAGTCCTTCTCCTGCAACGCTTTCTTCACAAAGCCCCATCCGTCACTGCGATAGGCATCAAGAATCTTGGGGCTGCATGCGCTGCAACAGTCGTAAGACTGACCGCGGATGACAATGTTCTGAAATGTCGATACATAACCCCTTATTTGATGCGGAATCAAACCCAGAGGATGGTCAGGTGGGTCTCGTTCTGGAACTCCAGGAGTTGGCTGTGGTGCTGGTGCATCTTTGCCTAGGGGATGTTGTAACAAGCTTGATAGAAGTTCCACAAGAAGGGCAGACGCAATAGCTGCAACACCCGGTCGAGTGACAGTACATTGTTGATCCAGGGTCTGGTCCTTTTGGGACTAAAAGAATGTTAGATACGGTTTAGAAAGTGGAAATGGAAACTGACATCAGCGGGTGCCACGACGTCGTTGCAGAAATAGCAACCAAGCGGTGGCTGCCCTTCGGCATGGCTTTCAGAACCATGTCGCATAACAACATACGAATCGAAACCCAAGGCAGCGTTCATGACAATCTTTCCTTTGGCCTTTCCCATGACCGTTGGCAGCCATCGAGACTCTCTTGAATCCATGAGGAGGAAAATGGCATCGTGTTCGTCGATAAGCTTCTCCAGCTTTTCGTATTCCTCCCTTGTCTTCGACTCATTCATGTAAGGGTGACCGAGCATAGGAACAAATAGTGTGTGTCCTTCACTATCTATGCCTGGGAAAATCTCTTTCAACGCTTCAGCAGCTCGAGGTGCTTTGGGTTTTCCTCCTTCGAGGCAGTCTTGGAAGTTGAACAGTGGCTGTCGGACAGGGTTGGAAAATGACACTCGCCCGTAATCCACAAACGTTATCTTCCGGACACCCCAACCCATAAGGTTTCTTGAGACATAACTTCCCAACGTACCAGCGCCAAGTAGCAGGCACTTCGTGTTCTTAATCGCATCTAAATCGAGTTCAGGTGCGATCCTCCATTTCATGAGCTTCAGGTTTAGGTCGACAGAGCCTTCAGCCTGTCGTACAGGATCCATATATTCTCCTAGGTTGACTTGCTGTGCCTGGAGTCTGCCATTACTCGACCGTGCCCAGCCAGTAACCTTGGGCATTTCAGTGGTCTCTAGGTTCTCGACTGGATCCATCTCGATTGGAAGAATGACGCTGCGAGCTTCGTGTCTCTTTGCCTGGATGTCTCTGTAGCAGATTATTTTGGTCTTTGTCAGGTGAAATCTTTGTCGGATAAGGACCAGAAGATTTCTCAGAGGCCATCCAGGGCTTTCTGGGTACGTCGAAGGGTCAACAAACGCAACGTAACGGTCCCCCTCAGCCACCTGGTCGAAGAAACCATTCTCAAATTCTCTTAGTGAGGCAACCTCCCATCGAAAAGGAAGTCCCTGCGAAGAATCCGGATCATCTGTATCCAGATCTTCACCGTGTACCTTCTTGACCAGAAAGAAGCCATGCTCGCGAGAGTCGACACTGTACCTCCAAGTTCCTACCCTGTCAACAAGTGCCGTGCTCTCCTTGGAGTTGAGACGTTCGGCTGGACCGGATCGCTTCCACGAAGGATCAGAGTGCAGAGCAGGGAAAGCGAACCAGTACGTAAACTTGTACTTTTTCAGGTCCGCGTATGAAAGTATGATGAATGACGAGAGCAGGGATGGAACAGAGTAGATACTACCATCGTTGATCGCATCCCAGATCTAGAGTTGTCAGCGGTGCTCCAGTCTCGGTGGGCCTGTAAATACCTGTCGGCCAGCAGTCCTGAGCATAGCAGACTTGTCTGTGTTCTTGAAATCCTCGAGTGTATTGACGTTCCTAATGATTCCCTCGGCCCTCATTGTCCCAAGAGGCGGACTGGGCGCATTAGTTCTGCCATGGTCAGAGACTGTGCATAAATCAAACAGTGGACTTACCTGCTACTCGTAAGAGCATTTCCTAATATCTGCATGCGACAGCTGGATTCTGGTTCTTCCAAACGGGGTTCGTAAAGACCAAGAATGCTCCGCGCTGAGTCGTCGAGCTTGTCATGCTCAAGCTTCGAAGCAAAGAGCGCCGAATAGAACGACAGCTCGATCTCTGATCCGAAAGGGGCAAATTGCAGCGGTGCCGCCATCGTGATGGTGAATATGCCAAGTTTGTGTGACGCTGGTGAGGCAGGCTTTGGGGTTGAAGGAGGAAGGTTATCTAGTCCCAGCTGCTGATACCTTGGGTACCTAGGTAGGTATTTATACTTCTTGGTTAAGGCAGCAACTGCGTCCCTGAGGCAGGTAAATCTTATGAAAGTTGATGCCGGCCGTTCATAGGATTATCACTGTTTTAAGGTATTGGATGCTATGGTTATTTACAGCCGGGGAAGCTCTTGTGAGATTGGTTTGGGTTCGATCTGTTGGGCCTGCCCTGTTCAACAAAGAGTTTGTTGTTTTCCTCGTCGCTACTGTAGGTGGTCGAGCAAGGTGAACTTCTTTTTGACGGCCAAGTGTCTCCTCGAGGGTTCGTGATCTGTTATAGCTGAATACCTACCTATATAAGATTGTTGTGTGTAATGTATTCATCAGTGATCTCATGGGAGGTTCACCT